CCGCTGCCCCTTCCTTTGCTGGGGCCCTGGACATGACTGAAATATTATTAGAAAAACTGCCGAGGCAGTGCGTCGTCGTCTTGGTTGTTGCAGTCGTTTCCATCGTCTCCATCGGGGCCATCATCTCCATCCACGTTTGGGGCTGTGGTCACAGGGGCGTTGCAGTTTTACGCCAAGTGAAAATCCAAATAAAGCTGGACCACGGGACCAGGAAGCAAGTCTAAAAATGTGTTCAATGCTCTCCTCCTCGTCGTGGTTGTTCTTCTTCTGGCAGCCGTTGTCGTTGTCGTTGTCGTGGTTGTTCTTCTTGTCGTTGTTTGTTGTTGTCGTCGTCGTCGTCGTGTGGCGGGGTAGTGGGTGGGTGGATTGGACGCAAATACAGTCGGGCTAATGATGCATTTGGCCTGGGCCCTCGTCTGGAATTGCGCATTCGTTGGCCTGGCCAATTTAAATTCTAATTTCATGTAGCAAATCAGATTAGCTGCCCAGTTTGTGGACTGCACTGGACCACAAATGGCCCAAACAGTTAGCCAGCGGATCCCCGCACTTTCGGATCAGCCTAAGGCCTGGCCTGGCCTGGCCTGGCCTGGCCTGGGCCTCAGGCATTTTCACTCCGGCTTCTCAGCCTCCTCCTCCTCCTCCTCCTCCCCGTCATCATCTGTGGAAGACACGGACATAAAAATTCATTTTATGACTGTGGCAACAATATTTTTATGTTTTTTCTTATAAATTTATTTCACATTTTCATTTGGAAACACGATAACCACACAGGCGGCAGGCAGGCAGGCCGGACAGCCGGACAGTCGGACAGCCGGAGTAGGCATGGCTTGCACTTTTCCCGGCATATTTTAGCCATAAGCCAGAGCCCGAATCCGAGCCAAAGCCAGGCACTAAAGCCGTTTACAGCTGTTAAGTGTCGCCAAGTTTTTTGTGGCTCTGGTTTTTAACTGTTTGGCTTTTAACTGTTTTTTAAATGCATTCACGTTGCAGTTGTAAAGATTGACAAAATGCAAACTGGTTCCCAAATGACCCTCCCCTGAAAAGAGGCCCAATAAAAATGATTTAAGTCAAATGGAGACCCATTGAAAGACTCCCCATCTAAGGCTAATTGGTGGGTTTCATCTCCCATCTGTCATCTGTCCGGAGAATCGCACACAAAGGCAAGATATAATATAAAGATTTAAATAAATCACGAAAGCCCTCCTCGCCCAAGGCCGGCACAATGGGAGGTGCAAAAGTAAATAGCGACTATTTATGGGGCCGTCGTATTTAAATTATTAATTAAATTTAGTGAAGGGAAAACATTTTGACTGTGGGCCTGTTAATATTTATCAATTTACAGTGCCCGAGTCAAGGATACAAGTTGAGTAGAATCCATTTCCTTAAAAGAAAGGAGATAAAGGTGATTCGGTAAAGCTCTTCAAGGGCTTATTGAACTTCCCTTGCTTCCTGGATTACTTCGTATCTAGCTCGTGCATTGAATTCTGAGGCTCTATGAGGTGTGACTCATCCGTGTGTGTTTCATGGCCTATAATCGTGAGATTTGTAATGTGTATACGCTAGCCGCATCCATTTATTAGCCTCTGGTTCCATCCGACGCAGTCCATTAAGCCCACACACCCGCTTTTCTCCGCTCTGCTCCGGGGTCACCTTTTGGCCTGCAGCCATCGACTGGCTCATCAATTTCTGCGTGCCATCCAATGAAAATAAATCGTAAATCAATAAACCGCACTCAAACTTTGGCCCCTCATTCTCATCTCCTACCCCCCTTACCCCTTTCCCCTTCCCCCACTTGATCCCGAACATCTTTCGGATCGTGGCACAGACCGGAGCGAAGGCCTGACCAATATTTCGTTGGTTGCATTTCTTGTAAAATTCAACAGTTTTTAATTTTTGATTAATTGGCCCCAGACTGCACATTTCATTTTGTGGCTCTGGCTGTGGCTGTGGCTGTGGCTTCTCTTTTTGTACGTACGGTACTGGTCTCTGGCGGGGCTGAGAATTTTGATGGATGTTTTTATAATTTTATGGATCTGTCAAGGGCTTCCCTGTCTGCCCCCATTGAGATCTCATCTCATCTCATCTTTCTCTGCAAAGGAAAGCCCCGGGCTTGAGGGGAGGTCAGTCAGTCCGCAGGTGTTCCGTTCGTTCATCCGTTCGGGGGGCCGGGGCCCTTAACAATTAAAAATTCAAATTTAATTTTAGCCTAAACGTTTCTAAACAAAGCAATGAAGCCATTCACACTGTCTGGCGCTGTCTGGCCCAGTGGGGGGCTGGGGGATCTGGATGTGGATCTGGATGTGGATCTGCTTTCGACCCGCTCGTGGATGGAGATTTATGCAGGCAACGGAGTGGCATGGAAATGGGGATTGGGGTACGGATTGGGAACGGGAATGAGCATTTCATGTTGCACTTTGTTGGCACAGTTTCTTCGTAAGAAAAACTTCCGCATTTTGTTGCTGTTGCTGTTGCAGTTCCCGTTCCCGTTCTTTTCATTGTTTCTGGCTCTTGCCCCATCCGTTCGCTGGTGGCGCCCTTTAGTGAGAGAGCCGAGATCCGAGAATGCTGGCGCATAAATAACGTGAGAATTATGGTGCAGGGGGAAGCCAGTAACAGTAAAAGGAACAGGAACAGCCACAGCCACAAGCCAGCAAGTCAGCACATAAATATGCATGTGCAGCAATAAAGAAATTGTTAAATGTCCCGCTCGCAGGACCCATGCCAACTGTGTGCCACTTTCGAGGCCCGCGACGCGTTGCTCTTTTGTAAGGCACAAATTTGGCCAAAAAACACAGAGGGAAAAAATGTGAAAAAATCTGCAGCGGCTTGGGGTTGGAGCTGGGGCTGGGCCGGGGGCTGGGGACGCAACCATCGAAGCGGTTCGAGCGGTAGTCAAACAGGCGGCCAGTCGTCGTCAGGTCGTCACTCAGTGGCGGCCACGTCACGCGCTTGCAATTGTTTTGGCCCGCATTGCCAATTACGACACCATCAGCCGTGGCAGCCGTGGCAGCAGCAGCAGCACCAGCACCGACATACAGTCGGAGCCTGGCAATTTATGGATGCACCTCGCTTTTGGGCCAGTTTTGCCTTTTTTTGGCAACCAAAATCACAAAAACCGCTTATTATCAACGCTTTTTCGGTTTTACAGCTTGCGGGCCAAAGGTCTAAGGAGCATTGCCTGAACAGTGTGCTAACGGGGGGGTTTTCGAAGCACTGGAGAGCATACGTGAAATGTTATGAAAATGTTTATTTTTGATTTTTATACGAGATATTTAAGGAGTATAAGGGTATAATTTTTTATCAGCATAAATAGCCGATAATAATTTTGGAGCCCATCAGCATGGCTAGATTTTATTATGCGCTTGAGCTGAGAATATTTGAAAATGGCAAAAACGAGGGCGAACAATAAATAGAACTCACCTTTTGCTTCCTAATTATCCTTTCTGCAATCTTTTGTACCGCGCGCGAATTTCCGTTTTCTTTTTGCACCGAAGCCAGCTCCGCTCACACATACACGTACATAAGTCCGATGGAAACCGCAATTCCAATGAGAGCACAAATTAGGAGTGTATAAAGATTAGGTGAGGTGACCCTCCCACGATATTTGCATATTTTGATCGTGCGTATACAAAACGGGAGAGAGAGAGAGAGGGACATATTCCAAGACTTGGTATGCCTCACCTTATACTATTGCGAAACTTTCACGGAGAGCGCGCCTTCGCTCCTCCTGCTGCTTCTATTACATGAATGAGGAAGAAAGAGACAAAACTTTGCGCCTTTTTGCATAATTTTCACACACGCACACACACATAACAAGGCAAGCTCTCGTGACCAAACACACATTTTGCCCATGAAAATATATTTACATGTGTATATGCATATATGTATGTATGTATAACACTTGTTGCACTTCACTTGAGCATACATACATATACACTTCCGTAGATTTTACTCATCAATCAGCATTTCCTATTCCATTTTGGCGAGGGCTTCGCACTCGCTTTTGATTGTTTATTGTTTTATTCACTTATACACTTCACTGCACCGTAGCGCGACATTTTTTCCGCACGATTTTTCACTATTTTCGCGGAGCTGACTTGGAAACGCACGCTTGGACAGGATGAAAAAAATGACTGAGAGCGAGACAGATGCGCATGTCACTTAGTGCTCGTTCCAATTCCAAGGCTTCCATGCTCTCCTTCTAGCCCGTTTCCTAATTGCTCGCGCATTCCATGCTCTCAGGCTGCACCTCATTCTCATTTTGTTTACAGTTCAAAAGAAAATGGAGATCGAGCGTACAGCTGTTTGTGAGATTGTGACGGAGCAGGGGCGTGGGAAGGTTAAACTGCGTACGCGGCTTTGGTGCTTTTTTTGTGCTATTCTTCCTAATTGCTTGCTTACTGAAAAAAACAGCTTGCGGCGAGAGTTTTTGAGTGAATTGTGAGTTTTAGAAGGACTGACCTGTGTAATTCCCACCTTTTCACAGCTTAGACTGCTTTCCATCCTCGCCGACAAGCAGTCCAATATCTCTTCCGTGAATTGGAGCACTTTTGCTGCTGCTCCTCGAAATAGTTTTGTTCGTTTGGCCTCCACAAATGAAGCTGCGTGGCCAGTCAGTGGTCCGTGTCGTGTTTGTCATCGCAGATATTGACAGGCAGACACATTCGTATCGTGGCTAGCAAGTTGTCCGCTCCGCTGGCAGCTGGCGCTGGGGACACTTGTGACAATTGTCAAAGCGGAGGCGAGCCAGCCGACCAGCTGCTGCTGCTGCCTCTGCCTCTGCTGGGCGCTGTTTGCCAACCTGTTGGCCACTCTTTTATTATGACAGTAATTGGCTGGTGTCTGTGCCAGGCCCGGGTATTCGGCTGGAAAAGTCAGTTTCACTTTTGCAGATGATCCGTTGATTTGGGTCAGCCTCGGGCCACGCTCCCATCTCCCCAACACCCAACTCTAAGCTCCGCCGAATCCAATTCACACCTTGCTCTGCTTTAATTTTGCAGGCGACACATTTGCGTGCAGCAGCGGACAATCACGATGCCCGTCAAGACGACCGAGGTGTACACGCGCCCCACCTGGAAGCACGTCAGCACGCCCTGCCAGCCCCAATCTTATTCGGGGCAGATGTGCACGCGGGTGCAGGTGGTCCACGAGCCGGCCTACCGGGACGTGATCAAGCACAAGACGGCCCAGCAGATGACCTACGACTGCTGTACGGGCTGGAGCCGAGAGAACCCGCGGGCGGATGCGTGCATGAAACGTGAGATTCTTTTCACTACATTGTAGATCTTTCGCTATAACGATCTCCTTGCTGTCCCCTTAGCTGTTTGCTCCACGCGCTGCCAGAACGGCGGCAACTGCACGGCTCCCCAGACCTGTTCCTGTCCGTCCGGCTATACGGGCCGTCACTGCGAGGTGGATGTGAACGAGTGCCACGTGGAGAAGCCGTGCGACCAGCAGTGTGTGAACACCCCCGGCTCCTACTTCTGCCGCTGCAGGCAGGGCTTCGTGCTGCAGGCGGACCAGCAGAGCTGCAAGAAGGTGTCCACCCACGACGACGACGCCTTCGAGGCGCGAGATCTTGAGAACGATATCGATGACATGGATCCGGAGGTGGCAACGCGACTGCAGAAGATCGAACGCTCGCTGGCCAATGAGCGGGTGCACACCAATGAGCTGCAAAAGTCCCTACAGGCCACATACAGTGTGGTGGACACGCTCCAGACGAGGCTGAGCACCCTGGTACGTAATGGTCATATCCGGGGCGTACTCTTATTGATCCTCCTGATCATTTCTCCACAGGAAAAGCAAGCCCAGGACGTGAGTCGGCTCCAGACGAATCTGTACAAGACGGAGTCGCGGACCAACAAGCTGGAGGGGATGCTCAATCTTCTTCTCAAGTGCCGAAACGGCCCCAACGCCAACTGTCCCTAGGGGCCGACGAGAGGGCACAAAGAACTGCATTTTTTTTACGAAAATCTAATATAAATTAAATGTTTAGTTAATTTAATTGTCTATTCTGTTCACCATGCTCCTGCTTGTAAGCCATTCCCGAATGCGAGTGCCTCTGTAGTCTCTAGAATCAGCGCCAGAACACCTAGTACTTAAGCGATGAACGTGTCATAAGTGTATTACGATCTGAGGATTTATGTAGTTGTAACCGTCTCCACTGCTCCGCTCCCATGTGTGTGTGTGTGTCAGTGTTTAGTTTTTTTTTTTTGCATGTATCTGTATATAATTATAATGTATATGAGAAATTCATTGCACAAATAAATGCATTTTCAAATTCATGTCGCTTTATTAATAGACTTATGTCGAATATTAAATAGCATGGGGTACAGCAACAGCCATAAGTGGACTTTATGCATATTTTCCTCAAATCGTGCTTCCCTACATAATCTATTCCACTGGATTGCATTTATATCCTTGACACCCATTCACTTTTAAACAATTTCAATTTGGCGCGCAGATGTGTAGTTAGCGTGTAATTACCATGTACAAAAATGTACATTTTGATTGACCTTTTTTTGTTTAACTTTTATCTTATAAACGATTCAATAGTCCTTAAAATTAAGGAAATCTACCCATCAACCGTATGAAATTATGTATTTAGTGCTGAGGTTCCTATTGAGCTAGTAATATTTAACCATCTTGGAAAAAGGACGATTATCCCACTGTCGACCAGGATAATTAAAATACACTCCACGAAAATGATGAAACAGGAAGAATTTTAGAGCAATTTAGGTAAAAGATGTCGTAGTCTTTTTTATGAAAAGATAAAGAATAGAACCGCAGTTGAACCCAAGATATTGTCCTTTTTGACTAAAGGGGGTTTAAGTGGGTTAAGTTGATTCTTTTCATCGGTATATTTTGAAAATGAGACGGTATATTTCGGTATATTTCTGAGGGTCAGACGGTATATTTGATCGATCACACTGTATACAAATAAAATGGAAAACAATGGAATTATTTTATCAGCGCTTGATTGTGTCGCGACCCGTATAATCCGACCATTAGTGGGTCGACATTGAAGACAGATTCAGATCTGCATCTGCTGATTACCCACATCCCCCAGAAAGAAGTGACGTCACAGGGAAAACAAGTGCTAACTGCGCAGCGCAACAAAAACAAAAAAGTCTCTCGGACCTACGACACAGGCACGGAAACGGGCACGGGCACGGGTGGAGAGAGTGTTCTTATACGCCCAACAGCGCAGTTTCACTTTTAATTTGGAGCAGGTACAAAGTGCAGCAGCTGCAACAGCGGCGATGACTGGCGACCAGAAGCTGCCACTGAAGCAGGCCGAGGTGTCGGTGCAGCGATTCCAAGATACGGCCGTGCCCCACCATCTGGGCCTGCTGAAGAACCACCGCAGCAACATCGAGAAGAGCCTGGCCCTAGGCGACTGGCAGAAGATCAAGCGGGAGGAGCTCAACGCCATGCGCGTCATCAAGCAAATCAAGAATCTCTTGCTCGAAATGGACGCGCTGCGGGAGAAGGTGCGCGAGGAGGACCTGGAGCGCTTCGACGAACTGATGCGTCCGGGCAAGGAGAAGGCCTTCGCAGGCATGAAATACTTTGCGGGTACGGGTGAATCGTCTTTACATCTCTCTCAAGGACATCTCATCTTTTTTTTGTTTGGCTTTTAGAACTGCAGCTCAAATCTCCCACTTCAACGCTGGGCTCGCAGTACGATGAGGAGCAGGAAGACAATCAGCTGCAGCACGCGGACATTGGTAATTTGCAAGCCCACCAACACATGCCCCAGCTGCAGGTAAACTTCCAGCTGGAGGAGCATCAACTGGCCCAGCGGCAGGCCTGTCTCGACCAAATGGAGAATCTTCAGCAGGAAATCTCGGACTTGCATGGCATGTTCAACGGCATGCGACAGCTGACTGCCGAGCAGTCTGTGGTTGTTCAGAACATAGCCGACAACGCCGAGGAGGCTCTGGAGAACGTGCAGGCAGGCGAACGGTCGCTGCGCTCTGCCCTGACCTACAAGAAGGCCATGTACCCGGTGATGGGTGCTCTGCTGGGCACCTGTGTGGGCGGACCCATCGGCATGGTGGCTGGTCTGAAGGCTGGCGGACTGGCCGCGGTTGGATGTGGCATACTCGGCTTCACAGGCGGCTCTGTGCTGAAGGCCAATCCGAATGTAATGCACGGGAACATTGAGGAGCAGCAGGCCGAGACCGATGGCGACACAACGTCCGAGAGACTGGAACTGAAGGAGAAGCCTGAATGACCTAGGACCATGTCCTCGGCCCTGGCCACCACGCACATGTGGTCTGCAAACACGCGGCGCCTGGAGTCAGCCACCACCGGGGTCATGAGCAGTGTCCGCAGCTATTGTTCTCTGCAGTGACTGCGAGAGATAGATTTCCTCCTGCTATTAGTTGAATTTCCATGTTTTGTATTCGTTTTGTGATTGCTTGTGCAATATGCAGCTACATCCCTTCCCTCCTTGTCTAGTTTAAGCGTTGTTGTTCATCCCATGACCCATATGATAGTTACTTGTTTCGTGCCGTCGCCGCAAGGTTTAAGATTCCACGTCTAGTTTTAAGGCTTTAATATGCAATATAAACTCTTATCTATAACATACAGAAGTCGGTTTTGTAGGAATCTACGCGCCTACAAACTCTCCCAGACTATACCTGAACTTACACTCTATCAATGCGTCCCCCCCAGCAGCCCTTTAGAGCGGCACATTGACCGTGGTCCAGGCCTGCTTGAAGTTCTTTGTCTGCGAATGCTGCTTCTTGCGTAGACGCTTGGCGGTCTTCTTCTTCTTGAACCAGGCCGGATAGTTTCCATACTGGTCCTTCAGAGTCTTGCTGTTGAAGACATGCTCCACGCCAGTCTTTTCGTTGGTAACTTTGACCTTCTGGCCCTTCTCCAGGCTCTCTTGGTGCTCATAGATCAGCTCCTGCTGCTCCCTGGTCTTGGCATCCTGTGGAAAATGCCGTCTTAGCATGGAGACTGCTTTGAATACACCCTCTGCTTACCCGTTTGATCTCCTTGGAAGTCTTGATTTCGACCACATCGGCGATATCCTTCATGATCTCATTGCCATCGGCATCCAGCAGACCCAGCGTCTTCTTCAGACGAATCAGCTCCTTGGCGTCGTAGCGCGCCTTCTTTATTTTGTTCATTTCATCGCGGCGCTTGCGGGAGCGATTTTGTCTGCCCATTTTTGCTGAAAATTCAAGCTACACCCGTGAAAATGTATGCGAAAAGAAACTGCGTTGCCGAAATAAGTAAACACGTGCTGCGTTCCGGATTTATACGGTCTGACCCTCAGAAATATACCGTCTCATTTTAAAAATATACCGTTAATATACCGATCGAAAACGAACGAACTTAGATCCATCCTTTCTCTTTGGTTAAAAAAAACTGCGATATCTTTCACATGAACCGCGCTAAAATTCTTCAAGTTTCATCATCTTCGTGTGGTTAATTTTAATTTTACCATAATGAGCTGATCGTTCTCTGGGCATGATTGGTATTAATGTGGTCACACTAATTGGTTATTATTTAGTATTAAGATTTAAGGTTGTATTTTCTTGGAGTATCGAATGGTGTATTGTCTATGGTTGCTTACACATCTATCGATTTTCAAATATTCAAATTCCACAGATGATATATGAATGTAGGTTGAAATGCCATTAAATACAGAATAAAGAACATATTTAAGCCAAAATACTTGGATATTTTTTTATATATATTTCGTTCTTATCACTTTTCATAGTCAAATATGTGTAAATCCTTTGGGAATAAAATTTTTTTCTATATGTATGCAAGTGCATACAACCCTCATTTCCTAAAGTTTCCCCTTTGGTCTGCTCTCACGCACTTGAATAGCTGTGCTCTCTCTCTCTCTCTCTCACAATATGATTTTTGTATACAAACAAAAGTCAGCTGCTGGAGAGAGAGCCAAGAGAGCGAGAGAGAACAAATACTAAATAAAATGATAGTTTTTGCGGATCCATACGAATATAGGATGCTCTATATTGCTTGTTGGAATTTAGCCCGCGCTTTAAACATTTTGTGCGTAGAAAATAAGATCTTTAAAAGATTCTTATGTTGGTTAAGCAACCTTCTCATTGCCAACATTTCGTTGTTGTCTCAAGGTAGAGCATCGAGTAGACCGACCTCTCCTGCGCACTGCACATGCGCAGCAGTAGAAACCGTTTGTGTGTCGGAGCTCAGCTGTAAACCCCGACCAATACCAGTGCAGGCAACAGTGGCAGTGGCAGCCAGTTTTTTTGGCCCATCCACCATCATTCGCTCGCCAAAAGTCGTACGACACGGAGTTTCTGCTGTTCGCTCTCTGCCACTCAGTCAGGTCTCACCCCCCCGCTCACACACAAAAACGGAAACAATCAGAAAAAAAAAAAAAAAAAAAAAAAAACAAAAACATCAAACAAATTGTGAAAAACTTGCACACATTTGCCCAGCAAATATTCCCTAGTTTTTTCGGGTGTTACCTAGAACTGTGTGTGGCTCTGACGAAGGAGGAAGGTCTCTCTCGCCCCTGCAGCAATCGATCGATCAATAAAACTCCCGAGCAGCAAGTAAGTGCAACTTTTAACCCCTCCAAAACAAAAGAACTCGAAGCGGAAGTCAGCGAAAGTAAAGGGCATACCGCCAGTAAATCTTATGTACATTTTCATATATATATTGTACATATATACTGCGTTTATTCAAAGTATTTGTTTTGGGCCCATTTACATGTACCCTCCACACTCGTACACACACATCTGAAAGTGCAGCCAAGCGATGCATACACAAAATGCACAACAAACAAAAAAAAAGAAGAAAAAAAAAAACAGAATCTGATTGCACCTTCGTCGCATCCAAAGAGTTCACACTTTTGTGTGTGTGTGTGTGAGTCTGTTTGTGTGTGTGTGTGTGTGTGTGTGTGGACTCTGCCAAAGTTCTTTTCTTTATACCCAAAGCCCAAAGCCCAAAGACTAGAGCCCAGAGCACTCCCCCAATAAGATTCGAGTTTCTTGTGGGGGGAGGGGGGGAGGTCTTTCCATTGCATTGCAACCATTTGATAGCCATAAATTTGACTTGCCTCACGTTTTCAACATTTGTTTGAAGATTGTTATCAGAGTTTCAGCATAAATCCCCCCCTCGCCGATCGTTTAGCTTTGCTTTGGCCCCGATCTTGATGTGTTTTCATGGGTTGTCATCAGGCAGATGACAAGTGCAATGAATGTTGTCGCTGATTAACATCTTAATTAGCCTTGCAGCATTTATTTCCTATGCGATAATATATAGGAGAGGCATACGAGAGCATTTCAATGGCCAAAATTAGTGGTTGGCTCTATGCCAGGTCGCTGCAAAGATGCGACGGATTCCACTCAAAGGAGAGGCCACCTTTGGGAGAGAGGGTACCACCACCACCACCACTACCACTAAAAAACAAAAAAACAAAATAAGAAGAAGGCCCCGAAACCCAAGTGAATCATCCAGCAAAATGTGCAGAACAGGTCTTGCTTGCAGTTGCCATTGTTTGTTGTCCGATCCGGAGTGGAGGGTATAGAGTGGATAGAGGGGGGTGCACGTACGGGGGGGGGGGGAGAGAGGGAGGGCGTACGAAGAAATAGTAGTACGGGATGATAAATCAAGTCTGGCCAGTTGTTTGTCTGTGGCAACGAAAGAAAAATTGAAAAACAAAAGGAAACGCAACGTACAACAAAACAGAAAAAGGAAACGACATCGACATCGACAGCAAAACAGCTGATGCTGCTGCTGCTGCTGCTGCTACTCGGAGGAGTGCTGTGTATGTGTGTGTATCTGCCAGATACATTTCGCTTTGCAGTGTGCAAGATCACGACCAACGAATCTGGCCGCTTTAATTGGCCAAAAGGGTAACTTCGAATAGGAGCCATGTCAATTCCTTTGTGTGCTATTTTTGAAATGGTCTTGGCCGTATATGGTTCTGGCCCTGGCCCAACTTTAAGACGCTTTCCAGCAGCAGGGTAACCGGGAAACAGATCAACGGGGCAATGGAAACAATTAAGTCATCGTTAGACGGCATTAGTGGCTTTAATTAGTGCGGCACAGTTATCGCTCCCGTCCGACTACCGACCACTGACGCGGCAGTTTTTGTCAGGGCCCAAGGGTCTCGGGTATCGCAGCAGGGTCTCAAGCCACCAATCGGATACACCACATACCACATGCCGTATCAGGTAGCTGCCATGGCAGCTGACGCGCTAATCCCGAAATGGCACGCATTGAGGCCCCGACGGACCCGACGGACCCGACCCCTGCACCGAGATAATGCCCCGACTATAATTAGAAAGTTAGTCAACCGACTTTCAGTCAACTGTAATTACGCCTGTCTATTCGTACACACACGAAACACGCTACAAGATACAAGATACAAGAATCCCAAACAAAGAACACTTGATCGTGTTGTTTGGGTTCCAGTTACGGTTACGGCTACCTTATAGCTTCGGGTTCTCCGACAGGTCCTTTCTTGTCCTCCCTGATTTATGGCCCTGCCAGGCAGTGGCAGAGGCAGAGGCAGAGGCAGAGTGCGAGAAGAAAGTGAGTTTTCGTATCGGTGTAGAACCTGTTTGGCGTTTTGGAAGGATACCAAAAGTCAAGTTCAAGACGCATACTCGTACGGTAATAAATTATGCAACGTTGTTTTCGCGTTGACTGCGCATCAAATGTCGAAAATTATGTCATAATCCTGAGCGAAACGCAGCTGCAAGACGGGATTCCATTGGTGGGGTGGTTGTGGTTCCAGGTAGGCCCAGTACTGCGCAGTACCCCCCCGTGCCCCGTTGCTCGTGCCCCAGCCCCCCAGGTCCGTCCTCTGTACTTGGTTTGGGGGTTGCTGACGTGTTCATTTTCCACTGGCGTTGATTTGCAGCTAGAACGGAACCTTTCATCGATTTGCAGCTTAACCAAAAGGGCGATAAGGGGTGTACGGGGTGTACGGGGTCTACGGGGCGTACGGGGCGTACGGGTACGGAAACGGGTAGTGGGTGCCTCTACTGGAAGCTTAAAAATAGGCTCCTGCAAAAGCATAGAGCGGGAAGCTGCAGAAACTTTTACTGGGCCTACATTTTGCCCCCAAAAATAAATGCGGAAGTTGCTTTACTGTATCTACACATAGATACACTCTCGCACACGCACACGCACACACTGTGGCACATAATTGCAGTTAAAGAGAGTGGAGAGAGACGGAGAGAGAGAGAGAGAGAGAGTAGACCAAAACATTCGATATAGGGCCAGGGCCTGGCCTGCCTGTGAAGGTTGCTAAGTAATCAGCAGGGAAATGGAACTCTCCATCCACTGCGCAGGTCAAACAATTTTGTTTGTAAACAAAATTCGACACCACGAGAAAGAGGGAGAGGGAGACAGGGGGAGAGAGAGAGAGAGAGAGCAGCTAGCACTCTCTCTCCCTGAAAATAGGGGAAAATCCGTAACAGTAACTGTTACAGTTACTCCGTACCCCACTGCGGGTCCAACTATTTCCATCTGACAGTTAGGGGTTCAGGCGGGGCGGGGGTTCTTTGTCGATTTACATTTCAACCATAAATTTAAATTTTAATTGCCAACGCTCAGGCGACATTTGACACGTTTAAATGATGCGGCAGAGCCAATCCCTAAATCATTTCCAGTGGGTCATTGGACAGATTAATTTTCATTCAATGCAAGTGGGAAATGTGTGTGTTTTTGCAGAACAGAAAACTTTTCAACAGGGAAAAGAGGATACTTCAAATTTCCAAAATAAATTTACGAAAAACCGCGATTTCATAAATTTTAGTGGGAATCTGCATTGTGTTTATCAACAAAAATTGATGAATGGTAAACAGAATTGTATAGACCTTTCATAGGATTTTTGATTTGTGTCGTAAGAGTGGATATATGTACATACCTGAAGATATAGCGACCCAAAGTTGAAGCTTTCTACCATTTATCCATGGTATCCAGACCTGCAACCCAATATTAATCTCGTGCTAAGTACTTGATTTCAGAAGCTCTCCATTTCCATGTTTCCATTTTCATTGAGCACTGTTTTTCCTCATTAGGTTCCTTAAAGACCAGAATTTTCCAACCGTTTAGATGAGTACAGTGAAGACTTTGGCATCTATATTTATTCGGATGATGAGCTAATGAGAGTAGAGTGATTTGCGGTCGTCATTAGGGGCAGACAGACAGACAGACAGATGGAATGGCAATAGCCCTGATGTAATCTGGGAATATAAGGGCGCGTAAATCGATTCACTGTTTGAATATTACATATATTGATTGATTAGACAGGGAGCTAAAGCTGTGGCTGACCCTATTCCAACACATATATAGGACAGATGGGACGGGTATTGGGACTGGGACTGGGCCTGATAATGATAAACAAAGTGATAAAATAAATGCGCCGTGCCCAGTGCGATTCTGTCCAAGAAAATGACAAAAACACAACTGCGTTTCACGTACTAATTGAAATTACGCGTTATAAAACATCCATTTATACAGTCTATATATAAATGTGTGTATATATAATAAAATAAAAGCTCATCTAAATGCCATTAATGTATTAACACACACAGGCAGAGGGCAGTGCAGCAGAAGGTACACCGAACTTGAAATCTCTCGCATATAGAAATTCTCGGCAACCGGGCAGGGCGAGGCGAGGCGAGGCGAGGCGAGGCGAGGCAAGGCCATATTTATCATCGATCGATCGTTTGATAAGCTGCATTCACACAACGGACTTGCCCAAGTCTTGCCCCATCTACAGGCGGCAAGACAAGTGTGTGGGATGACGTTGGCGTCATCTCAAAAGAGAGAGAGCTTTACGTGTGGCTATAGAGACAGATCTAGAAGTATTCCTAAGCATAGCCACTGAAGAACTAGCACACTGTATTCCCCTACTATGGGAGTGAAATATGCCCATTCTCTGTGCTCGTATCTCTCATATGGTATGCATTACCACGAATTCCACATGCAGCCCGAAAGATATCACATTCCCATCGGATTCACAAGCATAAACACATGTATGGAATGAATACATAAAATAGGACAACAAAGTAGCTACTCTTGAAGCTTCTGTCGATATGCGTTGGCGTTTGTCATTTGCTTTATGGTTATTGTTGTCACTGTTGTCGTCGCTGGCGTCGCTTGGGTCCCATTTTCACAACTCAGTTGCTGCGCAGTTGCCGCAAGCTATGCTTCACTCTTCATAGTGGGGAGCAGTACAGTACGGTGCTGCTCCAGAGGGGTGGTGCCCCAGAGTTGCGTTTGACTCCGGACGGAGTGCGCAATAGCCCACAAAAGAATGAAAGAAATTCTGCCCAGTCCACACCGCACTTTGATGCTGGCCGCTCCCGCTCCCGCTCGTCCGTTTGTTTAGACAGTTTTGGGGGGGTTGAGGGTTAGACCCAGAGACGACACGAGATGCTGGCTTATAATTTATGGTTGCTGCACGTCCATGTCCCTTCACCCTTCACTCCCAGTAGCGTGGCATAAACATTTCATGATTAGATAGACCCAAATTTCACTCCCTTTCGTTTTTCGGTTTCGGTTTCGGTTTCGGTTTTTTGTTTATTTGAGTTTAAAGTGTTGTTGTGCGTAAACACGAGTAGTTTTCTGATATTTTGTTTTCGTTGGCGTCTTCTTTCTTGTGACGCCAATCCAATATATTGTTTACCTCTCGTTGGGAAAGTGGGGGGGAATTGTTTTCTTAAACACAATCGGTGCGCGTGCGGACATGGATTTATTGGGGGAAAAAAACTTTGGTATGGGGGTGTGGGATCACAAGATTTAATATATGTATTTGGGCACACATATATACAGATCTCTTGGCTGCTCTTTTGGCACCTGTATGCCCCACTCGACACACTCTTGTGGCTGTACTTTCATCTCGCTCGGCCAAAAGCTACAACTTGTCGCTGCTGTGTGTATCAGCTGTTGCATGATAAAATATCTAAAAATATATAGAAACATAGAAAGAGGGGGAGAGAGGGAGAACAAGCTAATGGCGAAGGCAACCTTGAACCTGGACGCGAGGTTGTTGCCAGAAATATCTTGTAGGAGTATCTGGGAGGTTTGGGCATGTCCATTATCAGCCTGGGCATGGCATTATTTCATAGAATCTTCCATTTGATCAAGATCGGAATGTATTCCTTCATAAAGACAATCCCTCCAATGGCCTAAGTCTCCCCGCCTTATCAGCCTGACACCTAATGATTATTGTGGCATTTGCTTGATTTGAATTGATTTTCGTATTGCATAATGCGATAGTCGAGCAAGGTATTGCCCTGCCCTGCCCTGCCCTGCCCTCAATGTGGGGCTGTCTCCCCCGCAACGCGATGAATGACACTTTTGGCGAGCGAAGACGAGTAGTTCTCAGCGGCACTTCATTAGCATTTTTATGCGTTCCGACTGGCTCCGTTCTGGCATCTGTGACTTGGCATTAAAAAAAATCTGAAAAAAATTAGAGACTGCTGCCAGAGAAACTGTATTTTCGAATTGAACTTTGGAGCAGCCCCAACAGCCAACAGCCAGCAGCCACCAGCTGGCTGGCAACTACTTTGCCCCTCCCTGCGCCCCTCCCTACCGCCCCTCGAGTGGCTTAGTCACACAGATACTCGCTCGCATAAAGTTCGCGGCAAGTTGTTGGAAGCGAAGAGCCACTTGGTCTGGCAGTACTCATAGAAAAGTATCCAACAGATACAACAGAAAGCTGGGTGGGGGCAGAGCGAGTGGGGCCAGGAAAGTGTGTCAAATGCGCAAACGTCAGAGCAGCTGATCGAGAGAGCAAGATATATACACAGTGTACATATGGAGAAAGAGAGGGCAATAGTCAAGCAGTGGGAGAGAGTGGGAGAGAGCGAGAGATGTGCTCGGTTTTGTTAGTAAACAAAAATCACGAACCTTATGTATGATCATTTGCTCTCTCTCTCTCTCTCTCTCTCGCTCCCTCTCTCTCTCTCTGCACATAACGGGAGGGAGAGACCACGAAGCCAGCGACTGCACAGCTGCTTGGAGCATAATTTTGGCGCTTTGCAGCCCCGTGTGTCCCCGTGCCCTACCCCCCGGCTCGTGTTTACCCGCTCTCCCGAAACGCTTTTTGCGTTTTAAAAAAATACATAATTATGGGCTTAGATACGCTCTCGCGATCATTGCTCTGGCTCCGTGACTCTCTCACCCGCTCGTACGAGTCACGGAGTCGGACTCGGGCACGGACTCGGGCACGGACTCGGGCTCTCTCTCACACACACTCTCTCTCTCTCTCTCTCTCTCGGAGCACTTCTTCAGAACCGACCGTCGACTGCTGACTGGCATTCGCATTTGATAATTGAAACCCAGCACAACGCAGCCGCAGCCGCTCGATCGATCGAGTGCAGCAGAAGGAAAGTGAAACTCACACGAAAAGATTAGGTAAATAAATGAACAGCAAGAGACCATACAAAACATATGTATCTAACACTAAGAACAAGTGAGTGCAAAAGATTGTTTTATAAATTGTGAGTGAGAAAAAGAACTTTGGGCTAAACTGCAGCTACCACATAGAGGCCACAGATACAGATACACACACACATACACACACGCACGCACACACACGCACACACACATACACAGCATTGTAGTGGAACTGGTGTGTGGCGTAGCTTTTGTTCTTGCGTCCACTTTTGAAATTCAAATGCGCTTCCGTTGCCATTTTCAGTTGGCAATCGAGTGTCGACTTGGCTGTATCTCCGCAGTGTGGCTCTCTGCTGTATCCGTATCCGTATCCGTATCTGTATCTGTGCCCGTGGCTGTGCATCTGTGTATCTGATTTGCTTCCAATTTACGTGTACCCAGTCGTTCGCTTCTTTCCTGCAAAGGCTGTCATCCCCCCAAAGGTGAGCGATCCATCCCATCCCCCGTCAATTTTGTGCCCGCAATTAGTTGCCCGTTTCGTGTAGGGTCCAAGGTCAGGGCTGACGTCAGTCGGCGGTGGGTCTTTTGTGCCAGATATTGCATAATTCCGTGAAAGTTTCCCCAGCAAGTGTTTGTTACAGATTGGTTTTCTGTTGTCGCCCCCCAAAAAATACAAAACAAAAAAATTCAGCAAAACAAAAACACAAACGAAATTCCATCAAAACAAAAGAAACTTTCGCACTTTGGCACTGAAGCTTTAAGCTAATCAGACCGATATGTATGTATGTATATATGTGTATAGATTGGGTATTGGTTTGTACTTAGAAAGCTTTAGATATTCTTCTTTGTTTGGGAATACTTTTAGATAGAGGTAACAATATATATATATATATATATTTTTCGGGGATAGTTCTTCGCTGATGAAATTTCAGTGAAACTAACACAATACATTCTAAGATTTACCCATCAATATAGCATATCTGCTTGTAAATTCCTGCCTGTCAGTAGTCCACTCCTTCCCCCCGAACCATCAATCATTCTCCCTCTCCCATTCTCTTTGTACTAAATATAAACCCACTCCCTGATCTCTGCAGCTGTCAGTTATACTAAATTAGTTCAAGTTCATTAGCACAGTCCCCCCACTGCCACCCGCTGGAGATTGAACAAAGCCTGAACTGAACTTTCGACTGTCGGCTCGGCTCGGCTCGGTTGCAACACACGCCAGGGACCTGGAACAGACCCAGAACCAGACCCAGACCCAGACCCAAGCTATACTATATAGGGTATACGCGTGTGTGTAGTAAACAATACTATAGCTATAGTCATAGAAATTATTAGCATAGTCGGGTCTGTCTGGCGCGTCTGTCTGGGGTGGCGGGTCTCTTATCGGAACTGAAGTGAGTCGGCGAATAGTTTTTTGTTTTTTTTTTGTTTTGTTTTGTTTTTGTCGCTGATAGCGCGGCACAAGCTAATTTCGATGTCCCCAAAAGATCATTGGGTTCGGCCAGACAATGCCTGGGTATTGTTTTGCGGATATATTCACATATCTAGACTTATATAATCCACAGACGGATCAAGGTCAGGGCGTTAGCAAAAATCAACAAAAAATTCTCAGCTAAAATATGCGCCAAAGAGAAACAAAGGCAATGCAATCTGATGTCATATGTTCTAGGAATAAATATATGTATATATTCTGATAAATATGTAAATATGTATAACAACCAAGCAAACATTCCCAAGGTCAGAATTATTTGGCTGCAGATGTGACAAAAGTGAAATGAAAAATTTACTGCAGTTCACAGAAGAAAACAAAAAACAAAAAAAAAGAAGAACACAAAAAGAAACCATTTCTGTATTTCTATCTGATTCTGGGACCATTGCCTTTGTTTGGCTGCCGCCACGGGGGGTTATCAGTATGAGTGTGCACAGTGCACAGTGCCCGACATAACAGTAAGAACCTTCGATTGTCAGCCCTACGTGTTTATTAATAAAATGCCAGCACGGACCTGTCGTCCCCAATTGTGGCCCGTTGTGCAATGCGAATGCATTTGTAATGAAAAATATTTATACTATATATTATTTATATTTTTTGTTGTTGTTTCGTGGTGCTTAATATGCATGCAGCGAGTGCCAAAGTCAGGCGAAATATGGTAAGGAATTTTGAGGTCAAGTCGCAACAGAATAGAAAGGAGAATACAAGCAGCAGAAAACAATTGGCCATATCTGGGGGCATCTTGAAACATAAATTTTCGTAGCCCCGTAGCCATTATGGGGATAGTAATCCCGGTCCCCTATTGCTTAATGGTCTTTTCGGTTCGATCTCCTGGCAATTAACACAATTTATTTGCACTGAAACGGAGTCAATGGCCGCGCCATCAAATTTGATTGTCAAACTTTCGCTGACATTTACTCCGGGACTCGGCGGGCCTCATCAATCCCAATTTCTGTACGCTTTTCTGTCTCTGATGCAAGAGGAGAGATTTCACTTTGTTGGCTTTTCCTTCCAGCATTTTCACGTTTTCCGTTTTGCGGTCAAATTGCAAATTGCCACGGCAATTGTCTTTGCCAACTGCAGCTCCAACTTTAACTCCACTCCACTCCAATCCAATCCTATTTCTGTTTGCCTTTTGCCTTCTTTCATGCATAATTTGATCGACAAATATATCCGAGTGGAGCTGGAGTCTCTTTAGGCTGATGCGATAATCAGCAAATGGCTGCAAAAAGAAATCATCAGAGACAGCGGTGTGGGGGGAGCAAAGATACAGATACATTTGCCTATTGTCATGACGTGTGCTCAATTCAAATTGCATATATGCTATAGACTCGGACTCGGACTCGTACTCGTACTCGTACTCGTACTCGTACTCGAACGATTGTGTGTGCCACACAGCCGCCATACATATAATTGCCTTGATCATAAGCTCGGCGCATGCACAGAGCTCTACTTGGGATGATGGTTGAAGGCCAGCCAGGGGGTGGTGGCAGCGCACTGCCCGAGAGGGGGTGGCCAACCAGCTATCAACTGGGAGACTTAATGGGCTATGCAGCGATACTTAATGGCACAGGCCCCCCATCCCCACCCGTCCATTATATGGATGTCAGTCAGCACACAGCACACAGCACAGAGCACAGCACAGTGCTTGTCAAACTGTCAGGCGCAGCACAGCAGAGCAGAGCAGAGCACTGCTGCAGCAGCGGGGAAAAGCAGCGCAAAACTCTGATTAATGCAATCAAAAGTAATTACAGCCTTTAGATAATTCGTATAAAAGGAAATTTCACTTTCGCATTTCAATTGAAATCAATCCGAAAAAACCACACAAAATATTCCAACGAAAAACAATTAAATTATTGGTTTTCAAAAAAAGGAAAATCATTGAGGAAGAAGCCGCTTGTGGGATACTCTTTCAATATCGCAATTTAGAAGAAAATGTAGAAATGTAGAGGTAAAAGAGGGACATGGATCCATAGGGCATACCTAAAAGCGAAGACTAGGCTTTGGGCAGCTGAGTCGGTCCCCAGAATCCAAGAGCAAGAGTACCTGGTGTGGCGCGCAAAAGACTTACTTTTCGGTGCGAAGAATCCAATAGTTAACAGATGTCGGTTCCAAGATAAACAGCAAAAGATAAATGAAGTACTTTATAGTCTGCCAAAACACGGGAAAATTTTAAACTAAACCATTAAACCATTATATTATATTTTTAAACCAAAGAAATATTTCCCTAATTTGTAAGGGAATTTGTTTCAGAAGCAGAAATGCTGTTGGCCTGCTTTTTCTATGCCCTTTACATAAAGACCAACCGTTTGGTACTACCTCCACTTTTTTAGGGTATAAGAATGGCAATTAAATGAAATTAAGTATCCGCCCCATTGCACCGAGTGTGTGCCCACGCAAACAAGCTGCTTACTTAGCATGCAAGAGGTGGGAGGTGGGGAAGTGGGGTGGCCGATTACGTAATACGCTCAATTCTCATGCTTCCTACCTCTTTTCCTCCTCCGCTTTCAGCTTCAACGCTAGAAGAGAACAGTAACAGAAACAGACGCAGCGAAAGCGAAGCAGCGTACAAAGCAACAAACAAAGAAACAAGAAACAAAAAGGAATAAATAAAAGACTGAGCAACGTTCAAGCAAAATCCAAGGAACAACCACATTAGCAATCTCCCCCAGCACCAACACTCTCTCTCTCTCTCTATTTCTCTCTCTCTATCTCTTGATAACTGTATAACTAAGCGCTACAACAAAGTAAGAAGATCTCAGAAAAAACCCGATAAGCAATACTATATAGAGAAGAGAGCGCCATCTAACGCCCAACAGCCGCAACCAGCAGCATTGTATAATGTTAAGCAGTCTCGCAACGTTTCTATTTGGAGCGCCAGCAACGTCCGAGTCCAGCAGCAACAACGAAGTGAATCCCGCGCAGGCCAGCGATCCCTGTGATACCGCCATCGAACAGGCCCCATCCCCGGGAGATGTAATTGAGGTGACCTCATCGACGCCATCCGTAGCGGGCAACAGCAGTCGCGGCCCGGTGCGCGCCTCCCCCAACGGCAAGAGCCGTGGCAAGAATCGCCGTGGCAAGCAGAGATACAACCAGCAACAGCAGCAGCAGCAGCAGCAGCAGAGGAAGCAGCAGACTGCGACGATAACGAAGCTACTAACACCCACTGGTGAGACCCCCATTGAGGAGGACTTTGACGAGGACGAATGGTATATTGTAGAGAAGGAGGGTAAGTCCTTAAACATTAACCAGCCGGGAGGAGCGATCTTCAATCTCGATATATATATGCATTCCAGACGAGGAGGACGACTCTCTGCCACGCAGCGACTCCGAGGAGGAGCTCTCCGTTGTCGAGGTCCAGCAGCAGCCGAAGGCCGCAACCTCCTCCTCCTCCTCCGGCCATGGCCAGGCGGTATCGGGGTCATCGCGCCATCGGCGCCAGCACATCAATTCGCATTCCCTTTACAGCGGTCCGCGGCCGCAGCAGCAGCGCAACCACTTGCAGCGGTCCCGCGTGGCCCGTCCGCTGAGCATCTCCACCCTGAGCCCGCCCAGAAGTGTGCCCCCCAGCAGCCTGGCGGACCTTGACAATGTCAGCCAGTCGCTGTACGTGGCCTCGCCAAGCGGCAGCGACCACGGCCAGGGCCAGGGTCAGGGTCAGGGTCAGGGTCAGGGTGCGAACGTGCTGATGGAGGAGTCCTGGTACGTAACACCGCCACCATGCTTCACCTCGATTGGGCCAATCAATATGGAAACTTCACCATTTGAGAATCTATTGATTGAGCATCCAAGGTTGGTGATCTTTATAGTACACATTTGTCCCTTCCCCCCCGCAATCCACACAAAAATCGCACGCAAATAGATTTTCCCGCCAAGGATCGACTGGATCGTTGATTTTACTAATTTTTCAATGCCCTTTTTTGCCTTTGCAGCATGTCTGTTTATCGTAGTATTAGGTCCACCCAGGAGGGCACCGAAAGTTTTGTAAATCTTGATCTCGGGGTGGCAGCGGAGGCGCCACAATCGGAGCTGGCTCAGCAGGAGGCAGCCGAGCCGGAGCAGGCCCAGGCCCAGGCCCAGGCCCTCCACGAGCAGCGTCCGCATAGCGCTCGCTTCGATCGCCATGCGGCGGCCCAATTGAAGCAGGAGACTCTGGCACGCCAAAGCCAGAAGGTAATGCCACCAGATTTCCTTACCATTTCTGTGGCAGCACATGCTAATGCGCTCTCTTTCCTCCCCCAGAGCAACAACAAGAAGCAGCATCAGCAGCTGTGCCGCAGCGCCATCAAGCGGTCCAACAAGGTGCGCGATTTCCAGGCCAAGTCCCATCGCCCACGCCGCTCGGAGATGCAGCACTGCAAGCTGGTCAGTGGCGCCAACAACAACCGCAAGTGCTGCTTCTAAGTGCAGCAGCAACACCACCACCACCACCACCAACAACCCCCCCTCTCTCCACTAACCCCTGGAGGAGGAGCATTACAATCATGGCAAAAGCAGCGCGAGGGCAGGCCGCGCTTCGATTTTAATTAGTATTTTAACTTAACCCCAAAAAAAGAAAGGAAAAGAAAGGAAACAACCAACAAATCTGCGAAAAGAAATTCGCCAGAAAAATATCAAAATCTAGCAGCTACAAAAACACATATATATATTTAATGAATTAAACTTAATAATTAATTGCAGAAAAAAACAAAACAAAACAAACAAAAATTTAACTATCTGTGTAAATGCGTAGATTTAAACGTTCACAGTTTCAATTTAAACAAACAAAAAAAAAAACAACTTAAAATCTAAACACGAAAAAATACCAAAAACCCCAAAAAAATGCAATAAAAATTTTCAAAATGATAATGCAAAAAAAACCCACACACGAAAAAATGACAAAAAAAAAGATATGTATTAAATATGCAAGCAAAAAGATTTTTTTTGATATAGATTTAATGTGCAACAAACAAAACAAAACAAAACAAAAAAAAAAACACAAATATTTTATTTATTTAAACAAACAGCACACTGGATTGTTCTATGGTATATTTTGTAAACCATTTTTTATGTTGATTTGATTGAGTAATTACCGAGTTGAAAGACTAGGGATATTTTTTTTTATTATTATTAATTAATATAAATTATAGTAGTGTGTGCATCTATATATATGTATGTATATTGTATGTGTAGATTGTATTAAAGCCCTGGCACCAGACCGAATACTGTGTCGTATGCCTGTTTATGTTCTGAAAAGCGCGCGCGTATGTATGGAAAAACATGTGTGGAAAATGGACAAAAAAATGATAAAAATATATATAGAAAAGAATGAAAAAATTGCAATAAAAAAACAAAAATGATTATGCTATAAAGTACTTGGCCTTTTATTTGTTGGGGAAAAGAAAAACTCTTTTAAAGGAATGTTGAAAATTGAGAAAAATTATTGCAAAACAATTTCTGATGACTGCAATCGATTCGATGATCTTGAAGTCTACTCTGCATACACTGAGGGAAAAGTAGAGTACCGAAAAGAAACAGCCATATTTAAAGCAAAAGAAAGACCAAATATTTTCATATTAATGTCAAAGTGTAAGGAAAAAGACTTCTTGAAGGCATAAACATTCCAATTTGAGGGCTTCTTTCTCTGGGCAAATGTTTGCTTGGCAATCTCCCCAAAGCCATAACCAAAACCCTATAAGATCCATTCGAAAGTGGGTCAGCAGTTGCGCCGATCTAAGGAGCAGTCGTCACAGTTGATGGACAAGGGCTGCGGTGCCCTTGCGCGGATGTCCATCACCAGAGCGTTGTCCAGGGTCAAGCTGGATAGAGCCTTTCACAACGAGAGCCTAAAGTGCCGACTAACTAATTAGTGATTAGTATTTTAAGGCAGACACGCTTGGCAAGCGGAGGCAATTAAACGCGCTTAACTTTACTTTACTTAACACAGACACAGCAAGCCAGCAAGACAGCAAGACAGCAGTGCAGAGAGAAAGACACGGGCCAAATGTCTACAGTTAGGTGCCGTTGACCTTGGTTAAAGGTAAGGTATCGGTACGGGTACGGGTACGGGTACGGGTATGGGTATGGGTATGGGGCTGGCTGGATTTGGTTATTCCTTCTTTTGCCAGCTGCTGTTGCGACTTCCGCGATGCAAAACGAATCTAACGGCGAATCACAGCGAAAGTAAATCAGAAAATGGTTAGATCACGGGACCGAGAGCCTGAGATTCTTTCACAACCCGCCTCTGAGAGGCGCAGAGCCCACAGAGAGAATGCGGTTGGCTGGCTCCACTTCTAGGCCCTCGGATGGATGGATGGATGGATGAATGGATGGCTGGCTGGATAGAAGAGTGGATGGATGTGTGGCTGGGAAAAACTTTATAAAGATCCGCTGCAGCCGCGCTTGGCTTCACACCTGCTCGCGACGCGAAGAGCTGCAAACCATCGTCCAGCCAAGGCATTCGGAACTCTCGATACGCGCCACACAGATACGCACACACACACACACACACACACACACACAGACATAGAGGGTGGCAGAGGCTCGACTATTATGTAAGATTAGGCAATCTGCAACACACATCTACATATCCAGCAACTCGTGTAGGCGGTCGGTGATTCTATTTGGCAAGTTGCACTTGAGTGATTTTTCGGGCTTCCAAAAAACGGAAAACCTAATACCGAAAAACTGGAAACTGGAAACCGAAAACCGAAAACCAACAAAACTTTGAACAGACGTGCAACATGTAAAGCGAACCAGATAAACGCCACAAATGACGTAGACAAGAAAAACCAAAACGAAAAAAATCGCGCAATAGCCAACGACCATTATCGAAAGTGAAACCCCCCCCGCCCCGCCCTCCCGAAAAAGTCAAAAAGACAAAACGCCAACCGTTTTGTACCGCTTTGAGTCATTCAGTGGTTTTTTTTTTGTTTGTTTGTTTGTTTTTTTTTTGTTTTTTTTTTGGCACGGATCGTCAAGTTTTATGGCTAACGTCGCGAGGATTTGTTAACCCACGAAATGGGCCAAGTCATTCGGTGTCAGTTGGTCAAAGTGCGTGCCGCCGAGCTGTGAACCAGTGAACCAGCCAGCCAGACAGCCAGCCAGCCAGCAGTTGAGGGTGTTAAGAAGGAAAGCCGAGGCGTTGGAAAAGCAAAGAAAACTTGAGCAGGTCAGTGCTGGATCTCGACTGTGGCAACAGGAAACAAAGAGCTTATATAAGAAATGTGAGTATGGTTAAGTTAAAGATGGGCTTACTATCTGTTTGGGATTATTTACAAGTCTTTAAATAATCAAAGACCATACAGGGATCTTCTGCATTAAATTCACAAGAGCTCGGAATTATAATATTTATAATCTTCACCCAGACAAAAGAGCCCTGAGCCCCGAATAGTCATACTTAGAGTTAAATATTAATGCCAATATATTTATTCACTTACAAGTTCAAGATTGATATGAAAATATTTGATTTAAATATATTTCATAATTAATATAAATATATTTCACACTTCAATCAGAAATATTTCTCATTTAAATTATATATATTTCTTATATATATTACCTGAACCTTTAAGTTAAATATATTTATTATTAGGTATATATTATTATATATTTATTTATATATCTGAAGTATATTTATTCTAAAGTGTCTTGTATTTTTATTAAATATGGGTCGTCCTTTTAATGTAATAATTTAAAAAATATTTTTGTATTCAAAAACTGAATATTAAATTTACATATGGGCGTGCTTCTATTTACAACGCCATTTCTCTATGGGTGTTAAACAAATATAGTTCTCAGCTTACATATCTTGGATTTCGTATAAAATTATAGTTTCTGTACAAAACTTCACCAAAATAGGATTCAATATAATGTTTATCACGTCCCACAATCCTTTCAATCAAAAGAGCATAAAATTTTGAGAACTTTGCTATATTCCTAACGCCTTCAAGGGGGCAACCTTATCTCTTTCGATAAACCAAATGTCAAACGCCTTAAGCCGGCTTCAGCACGAGTCGATAACGTTTATTAGGGTACCGTTAGGCAGGTGCTTTTAATGCAGTTAACCAGCAAAAGGCGGAGGCAAAGTGGTGGCAAGAAAACGGCTCAAGGTCAGACCAATGCGATTAACTATAATTATAAAAGCCAAGTGTAGGAGCAAGCAGAAAACCACCACAAAGACGGACACCCACAAAACACAACAACAGCTACAATAAATAATGAAAGCCAAAAACCGAAACCAAAAAAAACCCAACAAGACGAAGAAGCACCATCCAACTATTGCATAACAGAGAGGCAGAGAGAAAAAAAACAATAAAAAACCATAAATCCAACAAAAAAACAAGAAGAAGTTGGAGTAATTATAACAACAATTAAGCAAACGGCGTGCGTTTTTACAGCTAAGCGTAAAGCGCAGCCAAGCATTTTGGTGGGTGAAGGGTACAGCCACAACAGTGGGAGGAAGGGGGCGTCAATGTACAATGTACAATGTACATCATTCATTAAAATGTAATCCAAGTTTAAGCAAAGTCTTCTAGTCGGGGGTTCTTCTTCATAATTAAACGGATGACAGTTTTATGCCTTTGACCTTAACGCCTGACAGACAGAGAACGCAGATACAGATAGGCAGATACACCCCACAGGCAGGAGATGGAGGGGCAAAAAGAGACAGAGGAGATGTGATTGTTCTGGTGGAACTATAGTTCCAGCGACATTGATAGCAAAGCTATACCCTAACACAGAAGCGAGTCCGGGCACTTTTCAGACAGAAGCCAAGGCACAGATAAAAGGCAATCTAAATAGAAACCAATCCACAGTGTATACAGAAGGGCAGCGCTTCTTGCCATCTTAGACAATCCAAAGATTCAATTCAAAAGGCCATCAAAAGAGCATTTGAGTATGGGCGTTCTGTAAGATTTTCTTGCTCGTGCAACACTCATCTGAAACATTGGCCACAATTAATTTATGAACCACAAACTTCCTTCCTGCCTCTACGCATTTGGTGTAACACCGCCAAGACACACACAACACACAACACTTGAGTGACCACTAGCAAGGTCAGCATCAACCATGCAGCAACCATGACGATGATTATGATTATGATTCCTATTTCTATTTCTATTCCGATTCCGATTCCGATTCTGATTCCTATTTCTTTTCCGATTCTGATTCTGCAGTTGATCAACGGACATGAAGATGTGCAGATTGCCGATGCAACCGCTGCTGCTGGGGCTCTGGCTGCTGCTGCTGATTGAAGTGCAGGTAAGGAACCTTTCACCTGTTCGCTCGGTTTGTTGCCCAAGTCGGAGGGGCATTGCCCAAGCCTAGATGGGGAATCTAATCTATTTAACAGTTCTTAGAATGAACTTCCTGATTAGGCCACATGAACCGTAACCAATCGTTGGCCAATCGCTGGCCCGCCTGTCTAACGGATATGCTCTCTGCTCTAATGCAGATTGCGTATCGACCGACCGCGAGCGGAAGAGAGGCTTTGTCTGCCTGGCCAAAAATTATGTGGCTTTGTGGCTGGTGCCTAGCCTCTGCTGCTGATGCAGCACTTTTCGTTGTGCGGGGCTCATAAAAACCAAAGACTTGGGACACAAACTCGAGCCGAGTGATTTATCGCATTGCGTATACGCCCCACGTGCCCGGCCTGACGCACTTCTCTCTCTTGGGCACATCTATCTTGCAGCAACCCATCAGCGGCCTGGAACAGAGTACAGACTACTCGGTGGTGAGCAAAACGGCGGCAGTGGCCACCACCACATCGGCTCCTCCACACACGGTGGCGCCACCTCTACGCAGCTTCAAGGGCCGCATTCAGACCACGACTCCGACGTCCAGAACAGCGACTGGGACTCGCCCTCTGGCCACTGGAGCGGAGGCGCAGCAGGAGCTGGTGGGCATCTCCTCCAAATCGTATATTTCGGGACCCACCACCCAGGCCTCGAAGCTGTCCAAGCGCGCCGGCCTGGCCGGCCCCAAAAAGTTCCCCAAGGACGTCCGCAACCGCAGCAGCGTCGCCGTGGAGCGCAACAAGCTGCATCATGATGTGCCCGACCATGTACCGGACTCTTCTGGCTATATACCGCATCGCATTGGACATCCTGTTCACCTGGACTACGGGTCCACGGGCGTGGATTCTAGTGGAGCTCCGACAGGAAGTGCCGGCTATCATGCGCCGCCCTATGAGGGCAACAAGTGGCACGAGGAGTACTGGGATCAGGAATACGCGGGTCATCAGTTTCTCCACAACAGCACTAGAGTGCAACGTAAGTTGAAGTCTCCCCCTTTTTAATGGTTAAGATCCTCCCTTAGTTCCTGCTCTTCCTCCAAATAGACATTGAAGCGGAGTGCCAGGACGACTACATGAAAATACGCATTGGCTTTAATGGCTCCTTCAGTGGACTGCTCTACTCTGCGGGCTATGCCTACGATCCGGACTGCATGTACATCAATGGCTCGGGTCGGGACTATTACGAGTTCTATATCCAATTGAATCGTTGTGGCACACTGGGCAAGAACTCCCTGCAGGAGGAGAGTCGCAAGAATCCAACAGTACGTACCTTGACTTGAAAGGAAAACTATTTATAAATCACATCTATTGTCTTCAATTAGAACTTTATGTGGAACACGGTGACGGTACAATATAATCCACTGATTGAGGAGGAGTACGATGAGCACTTTAAGGTCACGTGCGAGTATGGCTACGACTTCTGGAAGACGGTGACGTTTCCCTTTCTAGATGTGGAGTAAGTATCCATTTATCCTCCGCGAAATTCTAAACTGATTTTCTCCTCTCCCCCAGGGTGGCCACTGGCAATCCTGTTGTCTTCACACTGAGTCCACCCGAATGCTATATGGAAATCCAGAATGGCTACGGCATTGGGGGACCCCGCGTGACGGGGCCGGTGCGAGTGGGCGATCCCCTGACCCTGATCATCTACATGAGGAGCAAGTACGGTGAGTATTTAGAGTCCATAGCAAGTGCGAATATATCATGGCTCAATGGTTATCGTGCGATCGATCCATAGATGGCTTTGACATTGTGGTCAACGATTGCTACGCACACAATGGCGCCAACAAGCGGATACAGCTCATCGATCAGCATGGCTGTCCGGTGGATGACAAGCTCATCTCACGCTTCAGGGGCTCCTGGTCCGATGCGGGCGTCTACGAGACACAGGTGTATGCGTACATGAAAACCTTTCGGTTCACTGGCTCCCCAGCCCTCTACATTGAGTGTGACGTCCGCATGTGCCACGGACGTTGTCCGGTAAGTCGGATGTCAGACTATATCCAGAAGATGGCTCATTGCTGATCTGATCCCTTGCAGAGTCAGCCCTGTCATTGGCGCAACCTGAAGGCGGTCACTAAGCGCGACACCTCCAACATGACGGCCACGAATCTCTCTCTCCCTCCATTGTCCGTCGATGGAGACGCCGCCACCGCCACCACGGAGAGTCCCTCCACGCAGACTTCGCTCTCGGAGAACGTGAACCTGTTCCAGTCGCTGCGCGTGCTGCAGGAGGGTGAAAACGATGGCGATGATGTCTATGCCCATCGCCAGACAAAGCCCCCAGGGCCGCACCAGACCTGCCTGAAGACCTCGACCTTCTCAGCGCTGACCGCCGCTGGCTCAGCCCTGCTTTGTGTGCTGACGGTGACGCTATTCATTGCCTGCTCGAGGCTGAAGCGGCGCAAGGAGTCGACGCTCTACGACTCCTACATAGCGCACAAGGGTCAAATCGATTAATTTGCTTGGCTTTCGCTTTGAGCGTAAGATTGTGTATATAGTTTATGTCCAACCATGTTCTGTTCGCTCTTAGATTGTAGATTAAATTAAGTTTTTTTTGTAGTTTTTTCTTAGGTTTTTCGTTATAATTTTAAGTTTCGATTTCGCCAATGAAAAATCATCATTTCTATAATGAATATGGTAAAATAAACAAACGTTGGTCCCCACAATTGGTTTCAAAGTAACGCCCCTAATGAATTCTGCCCAGCCTCCCAAAAGTATGCAACAATTTCAGCTTCGACATGCATTTTACATACAGCTACATGAATCTTACATCCATTCTACTTACATTCTTCACACTGCTACATTACTTTTACATCTACATTCTACGAAATGCAAGGAATGCCACATTCGGCCTTCGGCCTTTCAGCTTGCTAAATTAATAACTTCTGAACGAATGAAGATATCTTCATACAAAAAAACGCACTTGAAAGGAAAATCTTTCGAAATTCAGTCTGCACGAGAACATGGTGCTACGATGTCTATAAGCTGTACAATGCATTGTCAAAGTTGAACTCTGTTGCCAGTGCATGCTTAATTTGCATAGATACAAATTTGTTCATGGTCAATTTACCTATAGATAATAATTTTATATTTAATTTGTAACATAATTGGATCTTATAAATATGATAACAACTAAAATTTTTTTATTTGAAATGTTGGTCTATTGCTTGTACTTTTTTCGAGGTCGTCACACAGATCGCTCTCTGTAGCTCTGTTGAGGTAGTTGCACAGATAAGGACCCTTATAAATGGGCTAAGAAATATTCGAAGAGCATTACAAAAAATTTCGTGGTGGGCTCTGGGAATTATTTTTGTAAAATACACAAAAAATTAATAGTTTTCTCTAGAAAAGTCTTTCCAAAAAGCAAATTTATTTATTGAAAAATGTTAACAAAAAGTACACCTTAGAGTAGAGACCAAACATGAATCATACGATACATACTCGTAGTTTACTTTTTTTCGATCTGAAAGATGCAGAGTGATGTCCGATTGTCTCAATGTTTCCATTTTCGAAAGCCTTAAGAAATCTTCTATCAGCTGCTCACTCAGAAAATGACTTTTGCCACCTCTTTTCGGCTGATGTGCCACTGTGTGCCGTTTAGGAGGGGATGCGGGAGGCGTGTGTCTGGCTGTCGTCTGTCTCATTTTATGCTGCCCCATGTGGGGGGCATAAGGAAACGCCATCTTGGCTTGTGCCACTTGTCGGCGCACTTCCTCATGGGCCATGGATATGGCATGCCATGCCCCAGCCATTGACATGCCCGTTCAGTGTTTTGTGTGCTGTGCTTGTCATGGATTTGCTGGAGATTTATTTATTGTGACGGTTTTTTGTCGGTCGTGCGCTTTGCCGCATGATTTTCATTTGTTGGTTGCTGCCGCTGTTGGCCGCTTCTGCCATGGGGCTGCTGCTGCTGCTGCTGACACAAATTTTCGACTGCGGCGTGCCGCAAAACATTGCCCAAAGTGTTAATATGGTTGAGGACTTTTAATATTACCCAACTGGCAGTCAGTGCAACTGCCACAGCCACAACAACAGCCGCACAGCCACTCTGCTAATTGTGCAATTTTCTCGATGGGCTGACGCCTCATTTTGGGCGTTTGGCCAGCGCTTCTCGGTGGTTCTTGAGTGTAAAAATTAACACGGAACCACCAGCCAGAAGCCACCAGCCAGAAGCCACCAGCCAGTAGCTGGTGTCAAAAATTGCTTTGACTAATTAATTTATTTGGCTATGGCGTACATTTGAGAAAACAAACATGCAAACACCAGAAACAAAAGAACTCGCCAGAGCAGACAATCCAAATGTTTATGATATTAAATTATATTTTTCGCACACAATTTTGCATACAATGTGCCGTGACGCCTTTATGGATTCCGCCTTTGCTCATTTATGATTAATTGCAGTTTAAAAACGCTGCTAAGCAAAATACAAAACACACAACTAATTGAATCACAGAAAATTCACATTCCAAAACATCCCCAAAATATTAAAATGCCCCAACATGCCCCGCCCAGTGGGGCAATAGTTATGAAAAGAGATTTCTCCGCTCAACTACCAGGTATCTAGGCCATCGCCGAGGGTCCATCTCGGGCACGTTTCGCGGCTGAGAGGCGACCTTGAGGGCGGCGACGGAGACGGAGACGGCGACCCGGCCAAAAGTGTTTCAATTGAATGCAGCCAAAATAATTTATGAAAATACAGAAATTAATTTGATGTAATTTGCGTTGGCGTTTGCCATTGATTTTATCGCTAGCCGAACTGCAAAAAATAGGAGAAATACTTACAGCTGTAGGAGCTGGCGATGATGAGGTGGCTGCTGGCTGCTGCTGGGTGCTGGCTGCTGGCTGCATGTGGATGCCGCTTTGGTGACACCAAAATGGCACCCAAATTGCGGCAGCCCCGGCTTGCGACGACTCCGACTCCGACACCGACACAAAGGCTTCAAAATGCTGCTTTTTATGCGCTGTGAGGCAGCGACCTTACAGTGTTTTTTGCTGACGCCAGTCGCACTGCCACATGATGTCTCATAACTTTTGCACGTTCGTGGCCTGGGTCTTTCGCTTGCATTGTATTGCGCTGTCATGCGCACATGAAAATCATCAACATCATCATCATCATCATCACCATCGCCATCACCATCGTCGTCGTCGTCGTCGTCGTCGTCACCATCATCAGGCAGGCAAAAGGTAACTTTTGCATCAGCAATGCAAAAATATGCTTTCATTACCAAACGTCTAGCGCGAAGCTTTACATGGCATGCATAATGTGTTCCTTTTGGCTGTATCTGTATCTTTTGCCATTGTGGCAAGAATCTTTAAGCGTTTAAGCTTTGGGTCTCCTCCGCCTCCTCTATCCATGAAAACCATTCAAATCGTTACACGGAAGTGCTGCCTTCAAACGGACTGCGTAATATTGTAATTTATGTAATTAAGGCTGCCGGACGGACAAGTGCTGACAGTTCCAGAGTCACGAAAGAACAGCCAAAGTTTCCAAACTGTGACCAATGCCATCGAACACGAACTGTTTGGCTTCCTCCCTGAATCCCAGAGTATACCTTAAACCTTAAGCTTGTTAATGATGTAATTCCCTTAACCTTTTGTGCATTCTATTTGAATCATTCAGGCGCCATGAGGAACTGCGGCATGCTAATGATATTCGTCAGTAATTAGGCGCAACATATCATAGAAAAAACAACTACAACAACAACTATGAAGTAACAAATTAAGCGCCACGCCCACATGACCTTTTGAGGTGTTGCTTGTGTGTGTGTGTGTAGGCTCAAGTGTTGTGCCATAATTAATTTAATATCCAAGTTTATAACACAATTAGGAACACACAGATCCGAGGGCGGAAGCGTTCGTTCTCGCTTTTCGCAGGCACTGTGGCGGAACTTCTTTTTTGAGGGCGGGTGGCATCCCTGTCGGGTCGGAGCACATGTCCAACATCCAACAGCTGTTGCGGCCTTTGTTTACAAACTAACAAAGGGAGAGGACGGGACGGAGAGAGCCAGCGAGTGACAGAGAGAGAGAGAGCAGCCACCCCTTGGATAAGGGAGAGGGTGCTGATTTTGATTTTGGGTGCTCTCTTTTATCCGGAATTTCAGCATCCGAGTCGACGCCTGCGCCGTGGCCCTGCCATTCGGCTGCTGCGCGCCTCACAGTCGCAGGCCCATTGATTTTTATCCAGAATCCCGAAGTAGAGTTCTTAATCCGCACCCAACCGGACCTGCTCCAGTCAGAGCAGCGCAGAGCTCTTGAGGAAAATTCGGAAAAGCCTTGTGAAAATTGGTCCATTAATTAATAGATAATCAAAGCGTTCAGCTCTGGCCTAAAGGTGAAGTGCAAAACCTTTTCAAAGAAGAGTTCCACCAGCTCTAAGGCTGCTGTTCTTTGTGTGTCTGCAGTTCGGGGCGTGGACTCCATTCATCCATCCAGTCCATCAGTCATGTCCTGGTTGCAGTTGTAAGTGCAGGAAAAGCGGAAAAGCGGACTACCATGGACACCAGCAACAGCAGATCCTGGCTGCTCTACGGCATCCTGGGGCTCCTGGCGATTGCCGCAGGTACGTACGTTGCGGGGCCGAGAGGGGGCGGCGCCAACTCTGCCCCCATTTCCGGGCTGGGGCCCTGTTATGTAATGAAAAACTCGCGAAAAAGGCCAAAGGAAAAACTCTGTTAAAACTCTGCTAACCGTTTCTACAAAATCCAACCCCTTCCGCAAAAAAACAAAAGAAAAACTATCTCTCTTTCTCTCTCTCTCTCTCTCTCTTAGCTAGCTAACAAATTTTTACAGCAATGATTTGATTTTTTTCTTAAATTTAACAAACTTGCGCTGGCAGCGCCGCCTTAACAAGTTCTCCAAGCTCTCATTTTGGCCAACAACCAACCAACCACCACCACAACCGCCACTGCCACTGCCACCGCCAGCCTCATGCCGCGGACCGCTGCTCCCTTATTGTACATCTCAGCCTCTCAACACCACAACCCCACAACCAACCAAGAACCAGAACCAGAACCACCAGAAACAACAGCCAGAGACCAGAAACAACAGAAACCAGAAAAAAGAATAACAGAAACCGCCACACGAACCATCGAACGCCTGAGAATGCCTGAGAATAGATTCCCGACAAAATGAATACAAATGAGACTTGGAGAAACTGCCAAAGCGACGCTGCTGCAGCGCTGCCTACGAAAAAAAAAAAAATACGAGAAAATTATAAACAAACTCACAAAACTGCGCTAGTCATTAACTAACTCTATATCAAACTATATAGTATATATATATTCCATATAATCTATCGTAGAACTCTCCTTAGTAGCACACCCACCACCACCACCCGCACAAGAAAGCAGTTGAGTGCTGCCCCTTAAGAATAGATCTTCTTCTATAGAACTGCATATCTCTGCTCTCTCTGTCTTTGTCTCTCCTGCTCTTGCTCGTGCTCTTGCTCTCCCTCTCTCTCTCTCTCTCTCTCTCTCTCTCTCTCCGTATAATGCTCGACAACTGTAAACTTCTGTACCCTACTATATATAGCCAAGACTATAAAAAACTATTCACTTTTAGTACACCTATATATCCGTACTCCCTTTGCCTCTCTCTCTCTCTCTCTCTCTCTGTCTGTCTCTGCCTATATATAAGTATATTCTCCTTAGCTATTTCTGCCTTTTGTAATTATACATTTCTCCAAGCCCATCCATCTAAGTCCCCCCTTAATCCCACCCCCCTGACTATTCCCCGTATTAAGGGCTACCACAAGGTCCTTGAGGGACACAGCCACAGCCGTTCACAGGATGAAATCGCAACTGAAATGAACAACAACCAAAAAAAGATCAACCACAAAACAAAAACTTAACCGATATTAACCAAGAAAAAATTACTGATTTCAGTCAATGAAATGCATATATACAACAAACAATATATATACTATCTATATATGTATATATATATATATATATGAAGATTTCTGTATCAACTGCCGAATCTTAATTCATACTCCTTCTCTTCTGAGCAGTCCAAGAAAAAAGATATACTACTCGTTAGGCTAAAAAAGAAGTAGAACTCGCAATAGAACCCTGAAAACGAGGCGTACTTTTAGTGTCTAGAGCTCTCTTTTTGGTATATAATGAATATAGTACATACACACACAAACACCCACTCGACACACACACGCACACTCACACACCCACATAAAATCATATACATAGTATCGGTATGAACATCCAGCCACCCCCATCAGACCGCCCTACCCCTCCCCACCCATTCACCTAGCCGTAAAGTGCAACTCCAGAAAGGAGTTTCAACAACAACAGCAAGAAAAAAAACAACTCCACTTACTCACACGGCAGTAGACACACGTGTGCTCCACATATATACACTATATACACGCACACGCTCACGCACACAGACAGGCGGCAAGGATAACCCGGTCACACACACACGCAGGCGAGAGTGTGAGAGCCAGCCAGCAGCCAGCATCCCAAAAAGAGCTTTCCGCTCTCTCGCTCTATCTCGCTCTCCCACGCCACGTGAAGGACACAAAGCTTTCGGATAAAGTTTGAGGATAAACTTTACTCAGCTGTCGGCGAAGGAAAACAACGGATTACCGGAATATAGACGTCTCTTTCGCACTTTAGTTAGAAAGGGAATCCCCTGCTAGGTCCTTACGATCTCTAAAGTCTCTAAAGGGGGCGGGCACCCAAGTATAAGTGTTGCACATCGTTAAGCACCTTGTTGATATCGTTATCGTTATCGCTAGCTGTGTTATCGTGTTATCGTAGTACAATTTAGGACTCTAGGACTGTAAGAACCACCAAAAGCGAGAGGCATTTGCATTAAAGCAGCCACTATGTGGGGGAGGACACCCACGCATAGTTCTTGTTTAATGGAAGTGCCTCCGAATGCGGCGTATATGCAACGTAGGCCAAGAACCATCACAACAACAGCCACAGCAACAGCAACATGCCACACTTGCAGCACCACCACCCAACCACCACTAAAAACCAAACAAAAAGTAATAAGCGGTACTCATGTCTCGTCCATTTTTGTTTAACTTTTTCCAAAATCAAAAAATCAAAATTCCAAAAATTCCAAGTTGGTAAAGAAGAAGATGATGAAGAATCGGTGAAATGTCTCTCTCTCTCTCTGTCTCTCTGTCTCTGTACTATCTGTCTCTCTCTCGCTCTCTCAGTCTCTCTCGCTCTCTCCTTCTCACATTGTCTCTCTCTCTCTCTGTCTCTCTGCCTAACTCTATCTCTGTCTAAGCTATAATCATCCTAAGCCCATTCAAAAATGAAAAATTAAATTTAAACAAAAAAAAAAAAAAACCAAGAAAACTAAAAACAAAAAATACAACAACTTTGCTCATCCGTTCCGTTTCTTTCGTTTCTCTGTATTCTCCTGATTTTCGTTATATCTTTGATTTCCTTTTTGATTTATTATTTATTCTCTGTCTATATCTTTCTCTCCCCCGATTTCTGGCAAATCTGTTTCGTTAACCGCCTTTCGTTGACTATTTATTTTGGATTCCCCTCGGTTCTCTTTTGTTTTTGTGTTTTTTTAGTCAGTGCATCCGAAGATGAAGAGCGCCTGGTGCGTGACCTCTTTCGAGGCTACAATAAACTCATACGACCCGTACAGAATATGACACAAAAAGTTGGAGTAAGATTTGGTTTGGCGTTCGTACAGCTAATCAATGTCGTAAGTGTTCACAAAAATCAAATTTGCCAAAAACAAAAAAACAAAACAAAAAAAACCATAAAATAATAAGAATATATCTATAAAAAAAAAATAACAAAAAAAAAAACTAACATTAGTAGAGTGTAAATGTATTTTAAACAAGAAGTTCTTTAGTTTCGTTAACGCCACACACACACACACACACACACCGACACACACCCACACACAAACACCAACACAAGCAAACCGCCCGCCCAGCCACGCCCATGTTTAAGTTAATGGGCCTGGCATGGTAGGGCAGCAGTCGTGGAAGCATCCCAAAGTTTATGAGTTTTGTTTTTTGAAAATTTATTTTATGCTTTGTAAATAATTACGTACACCGTTGCCTTGACTTTGACATTGTCTTTGTGTATGTTTCGTAGTGCTGAAGAAATACAGTTACAAGCCAAATACTAATACGAATACTAACCCTAAAGAACTAAGATTAAACAAGCAAACAAAACTAACCAACTAACTAACAAAACTAAGAGTTAACCAAATGCGAAATAATTGTCTTAACTATCCCTTCCCGCCCACTCTCTCTCTCTCTCAAAACCAACCAAAAACTCGATTCGATTTCGATTCGTTTCGAATCTCCAATACAAATCGTTATCGTAATCGTACTCGTACTCGTACTCGTCCTCGTACCGTTATCTCTCACGTAACCACCACTCAACCAAAAACCACCAAAAAACCACCAAAAACCACCATCAACCATGATATCACCACAATCAAAAACCGATCAAATACAAACGAATTCCCGAACCGAACCGTACCGAACCGAATCAAGAATGAGAAAAATCAAATTATGAAATCAAACGTTTGGTTACGTTTGGTTTGGTACGACTACCAGCTGCAGTGGGATGAGGCCGACTACGGCGGCATCGGGGTGCTCCGTCTGCCCCCCGACAAGGTTTGGAAGCCGGACATTGTGCTCTTCAATAAGTGAGTAAATGGCCATTATAAAACGTATGTTACTAGTACTCCAGACTCTCTCTCTCTCTCTCTGTCTCTCTCTCGCTCAACTCTGTACACTAACCAACCAAATAAAGAAAAAAAAAGAAAAATGAGAAAAGAAAAGAAAAGAAAAAAAAGTAGTAGGCGAAAGTAATCCACAGCTTTGCGGCGACCTTTCTCGTACTTCCATATAACCGAAGACTAACATTTACATTTATTCCCTACCCCACGACAGCGCCGATGGCAACTACGAGGTCCGCTACAAGTCCAACGTGCTCATCTATCCCACTGGCGAGGTGCTGTGGGTGCCGCCGGCCATCTACCAGAGCTCCTGCACCATCGATGTCACCTACTTCCCGTTCGACCAGCAGACCTGCATCATGAAGTTCGGCTCGTGGACCTTCAACGGCGATCAGGTGTCGCTGGCCCTCTACAACAACAAGAACTTTGTCGATCTATCCGATTACTGGAAGTCGGGCACGTGGGACATCATCGAGGTGCCCGCGTACCTCAATGTCTACGACGGGGACAGCACCCATCCCACCGAGACGGACATCACCTTCTACATCATCATTCGGCGCAAGACCCTCTTCTACACGGTCAATTTGATCCTGCCCACGGTGCTGATTTCCTTCCTCTGTGTGCTGGTCTTCTATCTGCCAGCCGAGGCGGGCGAAAAGGTTTGTTTAACGGGCGAAAAGTCCCTCTGTACTGGATATTGATCTGGATACGTCCCTTCCCTTCCCAGGTAACCCTTGGCATTAGTATTCTCCTGTCACTGGTTGTGTTCCTGTTGCTCGTGTCGAAAATTCTGCCGCCCACATCGCTGGTGCTGCCACTGATCGCCAAGTATCTGCTATTCACCTTCATCATGAACACGGTCTCCATTCTGGTGACGGTGATCATCATCAACTGGAACTTCCGCGGTCCGCGCACCCACCGCATGCCCATGTACATACGCTCGGTGTTTCTGCACTATCTGCCGGCGCTGCTGTTCATGAAGCGTCCGAGGAAGACCCGCCTCCGCTGGATGATGGAAATGCCGGGCATGAGCATGCCCGCACATCCGCATCCCTCGTACGGCTCGCCGGCCGAGCTGCCCAAGCATATCAGCGCCATCGGTGGCAAGCAGTCCAAAATGGAGGTCATGGAGCTGTCCGACTTGCATCATCCGAACTGCAAGATCAACCGGAAGGTCAACAGCGGCGCCGAGCTGGGCCTAGGCGACGGCTGTCGTCGCGAGAGCGAGTCCTCCGACTCTATTCTGCTCTCGCCCGAGGCGAGCAAGGCCACCGAGGCGGTTGAGTTCATAGCCGAACATTTGCGCAACGAGGATCTTTACATACAGGTGAGTGTGAGCCAGCCAGAGTGTGTGCAGCATCGGTGTACATTTAATATCTTCTACTTATGGTGTAGACCCGCGAGGATTGGAAGTACGTGGCCATGGTGATCGATCGCCTGCAGTTGTACATCTTCTTTATTGTGACAACGGCCGGCACGGTTGGCATTCTCATGGATGCCCCACATATCTTCGAGTACGTCGATCAGGATCGCATTATCGAGATCTACAGGGGAAAGTAAGGAGGCATTTAGCTCGGCTCGGGGACGGGCCAAACTGAAAATGGTTAACAGCATTGCAAACGCAACAATAATAAGCAAAAGACAAGACAAGACAAGAGAAGACAAGAGTGGAGAAAAACAATGAGAAAATTGCAACAATTAAAGCGGATTTTTAGAATTTACTAATTAAACGAAAACGAAAACTAAACGAATAATGGCTTGAGCAAAATAACACACTAATACAACTAACTAACGTAAACGTAAGCGTTAAAGAACACACACACACACACACACACACACACAGACGAAGTGGCACTCTGTGGGGAGGGGAGGGAGTACGCGTACACTAACTAAAAACTAAAACAAAAACTAAAACTAAATGCAAATAGTTATTCAACCAGCAAGAACAAATGTTTAACAATTAAATCAAAACAACAACCTAGTGGAATTGTGCGTAACTTTATAATTTTAATAACGAAACTTAGCTAATATATATACTAAAATCTAGACGGAGAGTTTAAGTTTAAGTGCTATAATACACGCAAGGGTGGAGTGGATGTGTTGTTTTTTTTTTCTCCAGAACTTTGTTATGTTGAAGTCACCCTAAACTTAAGTAAAACAATTTTACATTTAAGCAAAAGGAAAATCACACAGAATTTCACAATTTGTAAATGCTTCACAATCGATCACGGCTCCAGCTACCATAAGGAGAGCCCCCCTCACCCCAAACCAAACGAAAAGCCAATAAAAATGCAAAGTTAATTAATAGAGAGAAAAATGTTGTGTTGCCATCAAGCATACGCCGCGTGTTACGCGCTCGGAAAATCGTATTTGAGTGCCTGTGATTTTATTGACCATTTGCGGGAATGTCGATTCAAATGGGAATCAGTTGTGGCTGATGCAGGGAGATATTTATGGAATGGGAGAAGCCAATTATGTAAGCACGATTCTGAAAACATCTTGGCCATATGTGGCTCTCCGCTTTGGCGTTACTGTAAAATCATAAAAATTCGCACATTAATCATCCGCCCACGTACAGGCTGGTGTGTGAATTCTGTCATCTCCAATCGGAGGCCGGAGATAGCCCAGGGGTAAGACTAATGAACTAAACACACAGCCAGGAATTCCCTGTTGCCCCGAGGTTCCTGGTTGCTGGGGGGCCAGGGGCTGGGGCTTCATAATTAAATCACACACAAAAACCAACAGAAAGCCTAGGCTAAGCCAGAAGGCAGAAGGCAGCTTAAAAAACTAAAAAACTAACTAGTACGCGCTGTTATTGACTTACAATCGCCGCTGATTACCAAGCAACAACAGCAGCAACAGCAACCACAGAAGATACGCGAGTACCAGTACGTGTTCAGATACAATATCTATCTGAATATCTGCTGTGGCTATGCTATGTACAGCTTCACCTATGGCTACATCAAAGGTTGCAGCATCACGACGATGACGATGACGACGACGACGACGACTGGGCCAAAACTAGTCTCGTCTTGGCTGACTCAAAGCCTCGGCATGTGTCCGACCGAAACGCCGCGCCGCAACGCTTAGGGGCTGCTCTGGCTCTGGCTATGGCTCTGGCTCCGGCTTTGGTATAAATGCGCCAAGGGAGAACATTTGGGCATCATTCGATTTTCTGATTTTGCAACGAAGACGTCGCTGGCATCCCGCCTTCGACATCGACATCGGCATCGGCATCGTCCCAGCTCCAGGTTTTTTTTTTTTTTTCTGTTGCTCGTCTAGACGGCTCGTCAGGCGAAACCGGTAATATTTCGGCTTCGTTTCGATTCGTGTGAGTGTGTGTGTGTGATATTTTTTTTCGGAAAACTCGGAAAATCCGAGTTGGAAACCCAGCAGAAATGGTGAGTCCGCTTGAGCTACCCGCCCGAACCGGGAAGTGTTGACTGATGCCCCCCCCCCCCCCCCCCCCCTCCCGATCTGATCTCTGTTGCAGCGCTGTCTCCTGCCCCTGGTGGCCGCGCTGCTCGTCGCGGCCGGCGTCCACGCGGATGTCTCCCACCTGGACACGGATCTGCAAGAGGACGGCTACCACTACAAGCAGCCATCGGTGCCCTTCCCACCGCCTGGCTCCGGCAATGAGATCGACGATTCGGGCATAGGACCGGGTCCAGCTCCTTCGGCGCCAGGACCCTCCTATGGACCGCCTCAGACGCAGCCGCCGCCGCCGCCACCTCGTCCTCAGCCCACAGCACCGGCTCCTTCTTACGGCCCGCCTCAGACCCAGCCGCCACGCCCTCAGCCGCAGCCCACACAGCCTGCGCCCTCGTATGGGCCTCCCCAGACGCAGCCACCTCCACCTCCACCACCGCGTCCTCAGCCCACACAACCAGCTCCATCCTATGGTCCTCCCCAGAAACAGCCGCCACGCCCACAGCCCCAGCCTCAACCGCAGCCGCAGCCCACTCAGCCAGCGCCGTCTTACGGACCTCCCCAGACGCAGCCGCCACCACCACCACGCCCACAGCCCCCATCCCCACAGCCTGGACCGGAGTACCTGCCTCCTGATCAGCCCAAGCCTCGTCCCACACCACCGCGCCCACAACCACCACCGCCAAGACCACAGCCCCAGCCCAAGCCTGAATATGGGCCCCCATCAAGGCCGCAACCGCAGCCACAGCCCACTCCCGGATACGGGCCACCACCAAGGCCGCAGCCGCAGCCACAGCCTCAGCCGCAACCCACTCCCGGATACGGACCACCACCAAGGCCGCAGCCGCAGCCGCAGCCTCAACCTCAGCCACAGCCCAGTCCCGGATACGGGCCGCCACCATCCCCGCCGGGACCAGCTCCCACAGCTCCAGCTCCATCGTATGGGCCACCACAAACGCAGCCACCTCGTCCACAACCACCACGCCCACAGCCGCCACGCCCACAACCTCCTCAGCCTCAGCCACAGCCTGGATCTGAGTATCTTCCACCACAGGGAGAGAATGAGGTGACGCCTTCGCAGCCCCAGCCAACGGCTCCAGTTCCGGACTATAACCCACCACCCGGCCCTACTTACCAGCCACGCCCACCTGCACCGCCCGCACCACCTGCACCCACATACCAGCCACGCCCACCTGCACCACCCGCACCACCCGCCCCGCCAGCACCCACATATCAGCCCCGTCCTCCAGCACCGCCCGCACCACCCACCCAGGAGTACGGACCACCGCCAACCAGCCCCGGAGAGGAGGTGGCGGGCTCCCTGGGACCCGATGGCTACAACTACAACAAGCCTGCCAAGCCGTTCACCTTCTAGGCCTAAAATGATTTTTTTTTTTCGTATAATTCTGTACGCGTACTCGTATGTTTAGCCACAAATTGGACCCCACCCCAAACTCCCCGCGAAGAGATCAATTTCCAAATAAAAGACACAAATCTACACCAAAAACCAAAACCAAAGCCAAAGCCACTTGTTGGATAAATATCACTCACTCGGGGGATTCGTCGGTCAATGTCCAAGCGATGCTGTCGGCCTTCTGTGGCGTTACGTCTGACAGGCGAGGCGCCGGCGAGGAGGAGATTCACGGGCGACGGTCATTAGAGCCGGGGAGATGGCACCGGCCAAATATCAGCGGTTCAAGTGCAATCGCAATCGCCTGAATCTCTCCTGTGGTCGGTCGGTCGGTCGGTTGGTCGGTCGTTCTGTCCAGCTGGTAGGTCAAATCAATCAAACCGGGGGCGCCATAAATCAGACGAGTTGTCGTCGTCGTCGTTCCACAGGCGGAAATTCCGAGAGCTTCAAGCTGCCGTGAACGTTCTCTCAGGTTAGCCAATGTTTACTTTATGCTTTGTCGAATCTATAAACCTATTATGACTATATGCACTTTTATAAGTACATATATATGAAAGCCCATAACGACTGCAATTGCCAGAGAGCCATAGCTATAAGTATAGCCATAGCCGTAGCCATAGCCGGTAACTGCAATGGCAACATTAAGTCGGCTCTCCGTACATGGCAGCCTTCAAGGTGCCAGCCGTCTGTGTGCCCCCAGTTTGAGCCAAAAAATAAATATGAACGAGCGGATCGATCGCTCAACGCAGAGCGATCAACGCTGATCGCCGATCAAACGACTCTATTCCCACAAGCTGTCGCCCGGCAGACAGTCAGTCAGTCAATCTGTCAGTCAGTCGGTCAGTCAGTCTTCGGGTTCATCAGTCATTTACTCAATATGTCCGTCGCTTAGTCAATAAATTGTCTGGTAGCCATGGCAACTTCATTAGGCTGCCCAAAAAATATAAAAATAAATAAGAAAAACTGCAGCAACAGCAGCAGCAGCAGCAGCAGCAGCAGGCATTGTGCAACAATTTTCCACTCTTGGTTGCATAGGGCTCGGGCTGCCCAGTCCGTGGGGGCATGCTACTAATTACATAAGCATACTACACGAAAACGGCCTTCAATATTGCTGGACTCGGAATCGGACTCGGACTCGGATTCCTAGCGCCCTAGCGCTGTCCGACCGACTGCCCGACCGACCGACCCAACGGATTGCCATTTGATTAACGTCTTAACGAGTGGCTTGGGTGTGATTTATGTTGTTAACGCGGCTGCGGCTCTCTGCAGCAGCTGCACTCAGACTCTTTGCCTTTTTGCGTGATTTATGATTACAGCATATCGCAGTCGCGTACTTGTGGCACTTGAAAAGATTTCGGGCCTGACAAAAGATTCGCCACGCATTGTTTGCTTTGTGCTTCGATAATTAAGTGAGATGTTTTTCAGATAGATTCATGCATATGTATGTATATTCGATGGTGACCCCATCTGTGAAATAGTTTTAGATATAGAAGCTGAAAATCAATAACAAGAACAAGTTCATTTTGCAGGTAATCAACCTAACCTGCTGACCTTAGCTAATTTCACAGATGCTTCCCCGCTTCCCCGCTAGCGCTGGGAGATGACAAACGTTGTTTCTGTTTCTGTGAGAGCCCATCCGGGTGTAAATTTCCCAAACAAGTTATTAATATTCTGTCGGTTCTGTAGTCATTGGCGCGCCGTCAAACGAATCAAACAACACGCAAATGTAAATGCGAGTATTAAATATTAAATCATTCTATATACGAAAACAAGCCAACAAATAATTCTTACCCGAGGGCGAAATTCCCATTCCCATCCCATTCCATCCCATCCACCTTCTTCGTCGTCGTCGTCGTCGATCATCTCAAATTTCTAATTAATTCTTCAAAAATAATTCCGACAGCAGCTAATCGAAATTATTAATGGACAAATTATAATTATGACTTAATAGACATTCAATAAAGTCACAGAGAGTGATTTATGCCGACGCCATACGACCGCAGGGAGAGAACGAACACCTGTTTCCACTCCACTCCACTCCACTCCACTCAAATCACATTACGCATACGCAATGTGATCCACGTCAAAATGGGTTTGTGCATTGCGTTTTGCCGGGCCACTTCACTTGACTCTCTTGTAAATCAATCACAGGCGAAATTGCCCTTGGCATCGTTTCGTCTGTTCGGTTTTTTTTCTTTCTATTCTTCTCTCACATTTGTAGTGTTTTTTTGTCTGCTGTCTTTGTCTGTCTGGTACAAAGAAAAAAGGCAGCACTCGCAACGCATTTAAACGGTTTCCAGCAAACATTGCGTACGATGATTTGTGTAGACGGGGCCCAGGCCCAAAGAAATATGAAATGTTCAAGTGGAGCAGCCGTTAAGCCTGTACAGAGCGGCAAAAAACTACAGAAATCATTCACGCATGCAACTGGTCGGCTGTGGGCTTGCACAAGCCACCCCCGAGTGGCCAGCAGAAACGTATGCCTCTGGTTTGGTTTTAGCCAAAAATGTAGACAATATTAAAGGCATACTTTAAGAGAATTTCGTACTTTGGTTGAGTTTTAAGCTAAGCGAAAGCCATTTTGATGGAGCTTTGATTTAGACTTAAAGTTGCGCTTTTAAGTCGGGTAAAGCTTTCAGCCGTATTTACTGGTTCTCAACAAAATACATCGATAGAAAAGCTTATAAAAAATCTATAAAATATCTTATTATATTATATTTAAGTAAATATATTTATTCGCTTTCCAGCAGGCATCCTAAGTATTATAATCTGTATAATACAAATTTATTTTTGATTTTTTGTTTTTAATAATTAAAATCGGGAAAAACTTTTATTTTTACTTAGTAACAAACAAAACTTGAACAAAATGTTTCTTACATTTTTTTGTTTATAAAAATTGAAGATTTTATACCAAACCCATTAATTTGTAGCTGTAACTTTTCCCCAGACTCCTCTTCCTTTAAAATATATATAAATTAAGTTTGTATTTTTTATTTTTATAATAATATTATGTTTAATGCATGATCTATTTTTCAGAATTATATTATAATTTCTCAAAATTTTTTTATAAGTCTATAATTGAATAATGATTTTTATTATCAAACTATAAAGAAATGTATGAAACCATTTCTTTCAAAAAAATTGGTTGAGTTTAAAAATTACGTGGCTGTTCTTATTCCAAAAAAGTAGGTCATATTTTTCGACTTTGATATTTTTTTGTACCCCGTAACTTTTATTTGGGATCTCTGCTTTCCATAGCATACCGATTGGGAGACTCTTTAATAAATAATTATTGTGATACCTTACAGATTATTGAGTGGAAAAGGTGCCCCCTATTGTTTCTGTAATTCCCAAATCTCTGCCTCTTAAGGTTAACCGCTTCTTTGCCTTCGCCATCAATTTTTAAATAAATTCCCATGAATCTCCGTACAAAATCAAAGCAATTCGATGCAATCCAAGTGATGTCTCAATTAATGGCTCTGCATGCAAAATAAATAGGTTTCTGCATAATTCATTTGCTGCTACTCGCACCACTTCCTCATCCGATTGACCGACATTGCCCCTAGCCCCTAGCCCCTACATAAGCCCTCCCCTGCCCTGGGCGCAGTCTAGGTTCAGGTTCAGGTTCAGGCTATGATTCAGGCGTCGCATGCTCGAATCGCATTAACAATAAATTAATCAATTGCTTAATAGATGTTTAACAACTGTTAACCTTCCTGGCGAGCATTCGAAGTGGTTGCAGATAAATCAAATAAATCTCTGAGAGCAACAACAATCACCACGATTTGCTGGCGATTGGCAGCAGCAGCGAATATTTTGATTAAACGTTGCGATTCTTGAGCGTGAACAAAATCGTTTAGCTGCCAAAATTGGCAATTACTCGCTGCCGCACAGCCACAGCCACAGCCACTCGTGGCCATAATGAATGCCCAGACAACAATACCGCTTAGCCTTTTGGCCCAAACGTGCGTGGATGAAAGCAACGATAAGGAGTCACAGGGGTAGGTAGGATGATTGCCTTTGCGGATTTGCAGATGGCTGTGGGCGCCAGTGATTAGCATAATACCAAGGCATTCGCATGCTCTATTAAAATTAAAATTTAATTACAAAATCGAACAAAAACGCCAACATTAATCAGAGGCAGGCGACACGCACAGCACAACATAGATGCATGGCAAATACTATCCATAGAGGCGACAAATATGAAGACACTCGAGCGATCCAATCCGGTCCAGTTCGATCGATTCATTCACAGACAAAAAGCAGCCCCAGAAGGCGGCTTTGTCACGCAAATTTTTGTCCGCTTCTGACTGACTGACTGACTGAATGCTGGCTGGTGGCTGGTGGCTGGTGTCTTTTGGCCTGTGGCCTGTGTGGCTGCTGCTGGTGTGAAGCTATTAACGGCAAATAGTCGTCGTCCCTCGATGTGGGTCGTTGTGTCTTGAGCACTGACAGCACTTGTCAAACCAATCCATAATAGATGTCAAAACATCAGCAGCAACATCGTCGAATCCGAATGTAGCCGAACGCAGTGACAATGGACAAACTTCAGTTTGGACAAAATGCAAATGCAGAATCGGAGAGTCAACACAAAGAGGCAATCCAATCCGATTGAAAAGGCAAAATACACACTGGTTAATCCAATGCTTACAATCTCTTTACAAATTTTGACCTTGGCCTTACACGCTGGCGAGCAAACAAAGCGCAGCAAACGGCATCTCCACATCGAAAACAATGTCATAGCAGTTAGTTCAACACACACACAAGGGACACACAATCGACAAACAAGAGATACAAATGTATCTAGTGGATGGGGCGCCGATGCCACAGGCATTGACTCACTGCAGATGAACAGGCCAAGAATCTTACAACCATCGCGTTGGCAGACAGAGCGGCGGGCCGCAACAAGAACCCTCATCATCGTCAAGATAATCATCGTCATTATCGTTTTGCCAAAATCCAAATAAAATCAACAAAAAAAAGCCAAATAAACAGGTTCCCTTAATGGCCATTAGGCAGAGATTCAGAGTCACAAATTGGCATCGAATGGCTTATATATATTATATAGTATATATAGACATAAACATTTAAATCGTCTTGCCAGCTAGAAGATGGCTAGAACGGGTATAGCTGCCGCTGCCCCCAGTGTCAGGGCTGGCGCGGTTCGTCACCGGTCGATCTAGATCTAGCATGAATGAAATCGATCTGTTGGCGATGATGCCTCACTAGATTGTGGTCTCAGTGGAATACCTTCATTTACACTTTTATGGCAGCAATTTGTAGGAATTGAACCCACTTCTAATCGGTTACAGCATCTTATAGGGTATTTTTGGGTAAGTTCGAGAAGCAACTGGTCATAAATCTTTATTGCTTCAAACAATCTCCAAGACTTTCAGATTTTTGGTCACCAAAATAAAGCTAGCAAATTCTGCTTTGGAACCTTCTATATCCCCATCATAAATGTGATACGATTCTTAAATGGTTTACCACTTAAAGATGCGACTTAAAGACTTTTGAAAAACAGCGATTAGGGTTTTTATGGGTCGTATAAAAGTGGTTTTATATTTTGGCATTCACTATTAGGGAGAATAATCCCAGAGCTCTTTTTTCAGTGTCAGTGAAACGTGAGACCAGAAAACTTACCCAAATCAATTATTATTGATTATAGTGTCCAAGACAAAGTTCAAAGTGCCAGCCACACATGGTTTTAACGGTGGCACGAGCCGGGCCAAAAAGGTGCCAAAAGCAGTCAAAAGCAGCCACCGACGTCGCGCGCTTTGCCCTCAGGCGGCCATCGATTTTATTGTTTGCTGTTGTTGCTGACGAAAAAACTCATAAGAAGGCAGAATTAAAAACTAATTATTAAGTTAAACAATGATTAGATGAGAGGCTCTGTTGGTGTTGCCATTCTCATTCTCATTCCCAATCCCCCATTTCGCTTTATTTTATTTCGATTCTGGCTAATTTCAATAATTAATTTATGCTTCCCATTAAATGCTAACGTTCGTTCTTCTGCGGCGGGGACGGCGGCGGCGGCTTTCACTGGGCGCGTGTGCCCGTCCCGCCGGTTTGTCTGTGCCAGTCACAGGATTGATTGGAACCAGAATCAATCTAGAAATCGGATCCAATGTCAAACAAGTCAAGACAAACTAATTTTTGTTCTTCCAGAGAGAGAGAGAGAGACTGTCCCGTGTAGGTCAAGTTTCTGATGGACGATAATTGTTTAATAATTTATTTTGACTCCCCCGGAAACGAGACTGAGCATCGGCCATTTGTTGGCTATTTAAAGACAATTTATTGAGGCAGTTATAAATCTCTCAAGTGCCCCAAAACATGTCGAGGTGTTGCAATAAATATTTCTGTGCCTAGATCATGCCTCCAGCCCGCTCAGGAGGGTCCAACAGCTTTGGCAATCATTTTGAAATACATATTTCGACAAGAGTATGCCACAGTTCGCCATTGTCTGCGGCTGCTGCTGCAGATGATATATTTGTTTAGCTTTTTGGTTTTTTTTTTTGTTATACATTTTTTGCGTAATTTATTGAATATTCATAATGTGGACGCTCTCTGGCGCTGGCTCTGGCTGTGGCCTGTTTCGCGGTGAATGTGCGGAAGCTTGTACAAATAAATTCCTCAAAAATACTTACGATGTATTGTATTTGCGAATCTTCATGAAAAAAAAGAGACAGACATGTGGCTGGCCTGAGAATCGTAAGATATTTTCTGCTGAACCTTGACTTGGGATTGTATTCTTTTGGGGTCTTAAAGCGAATTCCCAACAATAGCTGAAAGCTCTCAAAATGTTTAATTTCTTTGCCTGTTTATTTAAATGTCAAGCAAAAACCGGCAGCGAGAAAACGGGGAGTGTCTCACCCCAAACCGAACACCACAAATCTCTTGGTGACAAAAACTTTGCTAAAGAAATGAAGACCTTTTGTGGTTCTGGTTATCAGGTGGTAAGCATCGCTTGTAAAAAGGCAGAGACTCGTGCTTGGGCCCCGCCCGGACAACAGGTCGCATGCGTAATATATGGGCATGCCTAGAACGAAAACCAGATACCACTGAACCCCAGGCCCCGGCGTTGGCACGTGAAGTCTAATCGATTCTCGATAGCGGGCAGTGCCATAAATAAACACAATTTTCGATTGCCGGCATTTAGTTAACAGTCTCCGGCGATGGCGGCTCATGGCTTTTGATTCACTTGTATGCAAATCCGGGCCAAAAGTCGTCGTCGTCGTCGTCGTCGTCGTCGTCGCTTTGGTTCCGGCCACAGACACACCGAAACGGTGATGGAAAGATCAAAAAACATATTTAACTGGCGATATTAATTTCGATATTGGCATTAGCATAAATAAGACTGCGTTCGATGTTAAATGCTATCATTATCACTGAACTATATACGGCATGCATATACATATAGTTTGTAGTGTGGGATTGCGATTGTGATTGTGGCCCCATAAATCTGCCACGCCCTTGATTGATTTATGCAGCAGCTACTCATAGATAGAACCCTGCTTTTCGAATGACACATTTTGCAAGTCAAATCCATTGTTGACGCAATAGACAATGGCCACAAAAAAAAAAACCACACACAAAAACAGAAACAAAACCTGGCAATAATGGCTGCTTTGTCGGGAATCGAAACCTAATACGCCAGTCGACCAAAGACCAAAAGCATTATTAATTACATTTTAAATTTTCTAATAACCGTAAAAATACACAATAAATTGTTTGTTGTTTTTTTTTGTTGTGTTTTTTGTTTTTGGCTTATGAAAAATGCTGCATAGAATTCGCAGGTGTCTCATCTGTGTGGCCCGTTGACAAACATTCCATCAATCAATGCAGGTGAAAGGCAGCCGAAAAATGATGTCACAGGCCGTCCCTGTGGTGGCTAGAACTATTTTTAAGTGGGTTTTTGATATACATTTATAACAAATAACATCTTTACAATGTTTCGTTGGTGGCCGAATAGTCGAAAATGGCTTTACCATTTCCTGTGTGTGTGCGTGTGTGTGTGTGTGTGCCACTTAATCTCCGTGGCACACAGCCTTGATATCGAACAAATCATTTTTATTGGCACTGCATCTTTTTGGTCTCGAGTGGCTTCAGCTTCATTCACTTGACTCGACTGTGGCAGGTGAATGTATTTCCCCACACACACAGCGCACGTACACGCACACGCACACGCACACGCACGAGAAACGGAAATGATGTATGCCCCCGAAAGCCGTTAAATTTGCTTATTGTTGCCCCTGCTGAGGTCAAGTGAAGACACAAACAAGCAGACAACCAGACAACCGGACAGACAAATGATGGAGCGATCAAATGAATGAATGGGAGGGCTACCAGCCCCGACAATCTCCTCCCGACACAAATCTGTTGCAGATCAAATTGCTGGACATTTTTGTGTGTCCGCTAGAACCCGAGGTAGAATTTCGCATAATTAGTTGAGTGCTCTCTTCGGTGGAACAATATTATTCTAGCAAAAATGTTATGCAAATCATTTCACAAAACAAAAGACTTAGGCAACGAACTTTTTGCCTGAGCCACGCGTCGTTTGATACAGAGATACAGAGCGCTAGAGAGTGGTGGGGCGGAGTATGTGGATTGCTCTGCTCTTTAAATGCTTTGTTAACTGTCTGTCTGCCAGTCTGCCTGTCTGTGCGTCATGCGGCTCGTGACGACAACCAAGTGATTGTCTAAAGGGTCCAAGCACCACCACCAACCACTCTTCTAGCTGCCGCAGTCTCTTCATTTGATTCCATTTCGTTTCGTTTCGTTTCATTTAATTTAAATTTTGATTTGATTCGTTGTTGTCGTTGTTGTTTTTTTGGTTTTGTGGGGCGGCGGGAGGGGGGGGGGGTGCGAGCTGCTGCTTCTGCCTGTTAATATTTTTGTTGCTGCCTTATTTCTAACGTGTCTCATCGGGTTTTTGGCGGTCGTCGCCATCACCGTCGTCGTCGTCGTCGTCGTCGTAGTCGTATCTTTGGCCAGCCTCTCTAAGACCCACGTACCGAACTGAACCGAACCGAACGGACCACCGTCCAGACCAGATATAGTATAAATTTCCTACCAACTGACCAGCTCATCATCATTTGTGCTTTGAACTTCTTAAGTGTAAATTGCTCGTCCGCTCATCAGCTCGAGAAAATTTCGTAAAAACAAAATAAACCAAAATCCAAATAAAAATGGTATGTGATCCTCATCCAAAAAAAAAACAAAAAAAAAAAAAGGAAAGGATAATGAATCCTTTCAAGTGCTTTAGTTCTAAGAAGGATATAGAATGAAACCCCAAAGAATCGAAAAGTGAAACCGATGATGTGTGAAATGGAAAACAACAGCGTTTTATTTTTTTATTTACTTTTTTTTTATAACCAAAAAATATCGCCTGCCCAACCTCAACTCAAGTGCCGCTCAAGTCCGGGGCTGGAGTGTCTCGCGGGACTTGTTTTGTTTCACACACCCCGTGCTGCCATAAATAGATTGCCCGACAACTCACAAGTGATTTCCCCTCTCTTCCCCTCTTCCACCGCCAGAAATTCTTCGTGCTGTTGGCCTTGGCCCTTGTGGGCGTTGTTGCTGGTGCCCAGCTGCCGGACTCGGCCACACAGGGACCCAATCCCCAGGACATTGCCACCCCCGAACCGGAATACATTGACATCGAGGAGCCTCTACCCGCTGCCGCCGCCCCTGCCCCAGCCCCGCGGCCAGTGTTCGCTGCTGCCGCTGCCCCCAGGCCAGTGATTGCCGCTCCGATCGCCCGTCCCATTGCCCGTCCCGTGGCCGTGGCCCAGCAGACCTTCTTCCAGCAGCAGCCCATCGCCCAGCGTGCCCAGTACCTGCCCCCTCTGGTCCAGCAGCAGCAGGTGGTGCCACAGCAGCAGCAGCAGCTGGCGGGACACTCGTTCAACAGCAGGAGCGGCTACCAGTACCGTCGTCCAGTCTATGTAAGACGCTTCTACCGCCTGCGCCGCTACTAAGATGGAGCAGCGATATATTCATATATCTACTATATTTTTAATACATGTTCGATAATATCCTAATAATGTTCCCCTCTATATTTTGCTGTTTTCTTTCTTCTGACCGCACCCGCACCCCACACCTCACTCCTGCCCGAAACGACTATCTATCTGCACCAAACTCCAAACCAAACTCCAAACCAAACTCCAATCCAAACTCCAAACCAAACTCCAATCCACTGCTCGAATCAAGCATTAACCTATATCCAAAAAAAACACCACGCTCACGCCACATTACCACGCACTGAAAACCCCTCTACAAATCTATCCAACTATCGAACCATATCGAACTATCTAACCAATCCTAATCCTAGAACGAAAATGAAAATGAAAACGAAACGTCAAAGAACAACGACCAATCAGCAGCAGCAGCGGCAGCCAAGATCAAAAAGCACAAAGCTAAAGCATAAAGCATAAAGCGTAAAGCTAAAGCATAATAAAAAGCAAAGTACAAAGAGACAAATGATGTTCTAAAGACAAAGATCGAGAAAACCCAAGTATTCAGTTATTGTTGAATTTCCAAGTAAATTACGTACGAGTAAATAAACGTAAATTATTTGTAAAAATGATAAACAAAATCTCGCTATATTTCATTCACCACCGCCGCAAGGCCAATCAAAAGGGGGAAGGGGGACGGTGGCGGTGGCGGTGGCGGGGGCAGGGTATGGATTTTAATTATAATATTCACAGCTCATCAACGCACGATTAAGTGTGTCGAAAGATTGTACAAAGTTTCGTTCTCAATTTGATGGGGCACGAGCACGAGCACCCATCACCCATCACCCACTGCCTGGGACCATCCGTCATTAATCATGGGAATGCGATGGTATTTCAGAGATGATATGATGGACATTTGCATACGGAAGCTGGTACCTTTCTGCGCACTGAGGTCGCCTTATTACCCTTCCATTCGTTGGATGTGATGGGAAATACAATTTTTTTTCTTTTTTTTTGTGTCTGTGTTGCGTGGCAGATTTGTGGAACTTAAGTGGTGTGTGTGTGGCGTCTTCTTCGGGCTAATTAGAAATAATTATTTATGCAGGTTCTTGCATCAGTCTTGACGGCTCGTAAACCGAAACTCTAGCCAAAAACAAAACCAAAAATAAAAATAAATAGAAATACATAAATCTACTGAAAATACTTTCAAAATACATTAAATAGAACCGGTTTAAGCTTCTGCTAAACCTGCTAAATTGTCTCCAAAAATAAAACCCACAAAAGATCGACTGGACAGGAATCTGAAGTGTAAACACTCCATTTTTAAGAGGTTCAATCCGCACGGGTGGCCAAAGAGACAATACGCATTTGATTGATGGATTGATTGTCAATTTGATTGCCTTGCTGCCGCGGCTTCAATTCAGGGGCATTAACAGACTCGACTCTATTTTTTTTTTTTTCTCTATGAACTATGACAAACTGGGTCTCCACTCCTTTGTGTGCCATCGAATATCGATGACAGCAGCAGCGTTGGCGATGACGCTTCCGTCTCGTCTGCGACTGGACTCCTCGATCAGTCAAGTGGCAATTATAATTGGCGGCCTTGCCACTTTGTTATTAATTACACAAGTTGTTACATCAGTCTGTGTTGCCACTTCCCCCGCCACTTCTCTTCCCCCGTGGCATTGTCAAGGCAATGGATTATGAAAAATGATATCTCTGGCTTCGATAAATCTATGGCGGAATAAATTATTGACCATTATTTTTGACCATCTACTACTTCTGAGCATTATAGTTGACTCTCATTTATAATTATTTTAATAATATTTAGATGTGCCCAAAGCTAATTTGGCTAACAAAAATTGGGGCATGACCGAAACTGTTATACTAATACTTTTCAAGCCATACTTTTGGGCAGATATTTTTAACTATTATATGCTCCCAAAAGTTGGCCATTAATTCGGGAACTTGGGACGAAAGCTGACCAACTGAAACAATCCAAGGTATTGCTAAATAAGTGTCTAAATAAAAACTTGAAGGATAAAGTTAGAGATAATAGAAGGCAAGTTTGAATAACAGAGACAGTTTGAATAAGAAATTGGAAATTTGTATCGTCTATCAAATAAATCGGAACGAGAATGAAACAGAAAAAGTTTTGGTGTATTTTTTAAGTCCATGTTGTGGCGTGAGAGCGAATTGAGTGCACCCAGCCGAGTATGCCAAAAGTGTGGTGCCAGGTGACAAGGTGGCAACCCTGGTCCGTCTGACAGATGGTCAGAGCTCGAGAGACGAACGTTGCACTTGTCGTTCACGACACTGTTGAAAAATAATGAAAATACAATGAAAATACGGCTGCACGAGAAACCGATTTTCTGTCAAACATATGTATATAAATATTTCTCTGCAATTATTAATATATAAAAAATTATTAAATATTTAAGTACTTAAATTAAAAAATTTTGCTAACTAAAAATAATTATTTAAATAAATCTGACAGTATTTCCTTTTATTAATGATAAATTAATGAATAAAATCATTTTATTATTTATAAATATGTGGCTCTAACAGTAACAGCACACAAATAATACAATACATACATAATCAAATACATATTGCATAATAAATTAAGAATCAAATTATTTATAAATTTTATTTTATTAAGGTAACCTGTCTAATTAATTTATTTATTAATAGTACTAAAATATTTTTTATGAATAAAAAGTGATTAAATCTTTTTGAATTAAAAAATTTATTAAAAAAAAAAACAATAAAATAAAATATTATAAAGAATAATTGTAACTATAAATTATTATTGATGCTTTCTTCAGGAAGTATCCATCACTAGTGAATGCATATATTATCAGCTGTTTAGCGCTGCTCTTCTCTTTCTAGAATACTAAACGAACACAAACGCATCAATGAAATTATCATACCAAAAACGAAAACGAGGAAACAAATAGTTTGTTTCATTAGTGGCAGATCTTAAACAGGCTAGACGAGTGAACCTGCCTCGGGTCATCAGCTTGGCTTTCTAAAATCAACGATGAGCGCGATAATTTATGGGGCATGTTTATTTAAACGGCGCTACTAAGAGCAACAACCGTATACGCGTATACGTACGGAGCTCTTAAGTAAATCATTTTTGAGGCACTTAAACAAATATAAGCGTAATAATCTAATTAATTTGCAGAAGAAGAAACGGGTTCCCATCCTCCAACCATCCCCAGCTATTAGATCATGCCATCGATTCGATTTGCATAAAGGCAATTCATTTTGTCAACACACACGCACACACATTCCGATTCCCAGAGTGTTCTTCCGAACTTCCTGATCGCATTAGTTTCACTTTCTATCCCCATCAGCGTGGGAGGGTTCTGAGAGCCGTACGGGGGCCGAGGGCGTATCTTCACACCTTCGAACAATGCCAGCGATTGTCTGCGGGGCGCAATCAAGGTACGGAGTATTGCCATAAATTATAAGATGTCGTTTATTGAAGCTCAGCCACAATTCGGGCCATAAAATTAGAGCTTATGGCCGTTTCGGGTGCCAGCTTCAATTACTCACTCTCGCCCGCTGTTTGCCCATAAATCAAGCCGGAATTGGCCTCAGAGCATTACTCAGTCGCATAATCGGACGTCTCGAAATAGCCGCCACTGGATCGGTATGCCGTGAATGAAACTGTTCTGCCACATTTGCGTATATTTTTAGACGCCTCAAGTGTAATTATGCTGTCTCTCTTGGCACTTGAGCCGAGAGTTCGTGGTCGTGGTAGTGGTCGCGGTCTGGGTCGCACTTCTGATAGGATTTTCCCCCAAACTCGAGTTTAAGTTCAAGAGCAGGATGTGGGTTTTCATCGTGTTGGGGTTTATTCGTTCTCAAAACTTAATAAATAACTATAGTATATACACGTGACATTGGCAGACAACAATAAAATGGCTAAGGATGGAAGGGTCTTGCCTCTCAGAAGAGGAATGGCTGGGCGGGGGCATCGTAGTGATAGCCATCCTCGCTGTGCGGCTCCACGATCTCCTGGGGCGGCAGGTAGCTGTTCACGGGCTCCTCCAGCGGGGCGGCATAGGAGGGGATCGGAATCTTGAACGTCGGCTTCGAGGGCGGCAGATACTCCGGCTGGGGCTGCTCCACCACGGGTGCGACGGCTGCCACGGGCGGTGGCAGGTAAGCAGGCTTAGGTGGCACAACCTTGACGATGGGAGCAGCAGGTGGCAGATATGCCGGCTTAGGAGGAGGCACAACCTTCACAACTGGCGGCGGGGGTCGCAGGTAAGACGGCTTAGGCGTCACCACTGGCGGCGGGGGTGGCAGGTAAGAGGGCTTGGGTGTCACGACCTTCACAGTTGGCAGTGGGGGTGGCAGGTACGAGGGCTTGGGTGTCCTGACGACCGGAATCTCGGGCTTCACTGACGGCTGGGGCGGCAAGTAAACCGGAGTCGGCTTGGTCACAGGCTTCACCGGTGGCAAGTAAGACGGAACTGGAGCAATAACACGAGCTGTCACGGGTTCCGGTGGCAGATATTCAGGCCCAGGGGTTGGCAGTTCGAAGGGAACACTCGGTGGATCGTAGTTGTAGCCGGGATGATCATGGTGATCATGATGATCGAACAGATGCGAGACATCGCCGGCCACCAGCGCGAGACCGCATACAGCAAGGAACAGGAGTTTCTGAATGGCAAGAGATAGGTGTAGATGTTATAGGACACTCTTTGGGCATCTTTCAGATGCGTTGGACAAACCATTTTGCTATCCAAGCGTTCTTCTTCTTCTTCAGTGGATGATACGTTCTCGCTGCGACGACTGCTACTCCCGAAATGATACAGTTTCCGGCAAGTGCTTCTTTATTTATACAGTTAGAGCTCTGGCCCGAGAACCGCGCGAGAGATGGCAGCCATAAAGCTGTCTACGCCGACGCTGCGTAGTCGAACAGAGACGATATGGCATCAGACTACTATCCAGATGATGGCGCGGCCTGTCAGCCAAGCGGCGTTTAGCATCAAGACACTTTGGCAGCAGCCGGTATTCGCTATTCGTATTTCAATGGCTTATTGAATCGAATCTCTTAATTCGCAGTCATCCGCGTTGCGTTGGCTTTTGTTTCAGAGATCTCTCGGTATGGCCAAGAGTCATTAAACTTGTTGGGTTTTATGATAGCCAACTATAGCCAACTATTTGAGATACTTTTTTGTGCCAGAGCCCCCCCCCCAAAAAAAGACCAAGATATTTAGGAGTCACTAAAATTGTTAGAGGAGGGTAAAGACTTCTTTGCTGTAAAATAACCCCATGATTGTCATGTAACATTAACTTCCTGTTTTGTTGAGGTACATCAAGAGAAAAAAAGCCTTGGGAATTGAATATTTTCATGGATTTGCAACGAGAGTGGAAATATATTTCCTGCACCCCTGAATACTCGCTTCGCGCGCTTGCCAACCCCCGTCTCGCTCGGTTCACACGCTCTCGCCGATATGTAACGAGTCGACGATGACACACAACTTTTTTATACAATAGAGAGATATCTCTATATATTACAAAGTTTTCTGTTTCAATTAAACACATTTAAATCTAAGTGAATTGTCTTTCAATTCCACTTTCTTTATATTTAAGAACCACATATTCAAGGTCTAGTATAGTAGACCAGTAAAACTAGTAACGATTAGTAGTATAGCGTATATTTGATTCGTTTTAGAGTTCAATCTGGCCTAGTTCACGCTTGCCCCATCTCTGGACCAGCATTGAAAGAGGTCAGAGGCTGTCGTTTGATAGCTGGCGGCTGCAATTGGCGATTAGCGAGTGTTTCTGTAACAGACACCGACCCCAGCGAACAATCAATATCTGTGTATCTATATATATATATCTTTTAGCATCATTTTTCATTCCTAAAGACAATAATTATAGACAGCTGCAGGTGATGATGAGGCCAGACCAAAAGACCAATAGCTGAGGCTTCAGCTACTTCGGTTGATTGGCCGCAATCCGCTTTTGGGGGTCGCGCATGGCGAGATCCAATTTCCAAGCCGTGGAGCCTGTGTCTGTGTCTGTGTCCCTTTTTGGACGGCTCGAACCTCTGGCTAAATGTCTTTAATAGGTTCGACCTTGAGGCTGCTGTCGAAAGAGTCACTCAAACAATGGATTGGTGAAATATCTCAGGCTGGAGTGTCGGAGTTTAAATTTCATTTCGTTTGCTGTTTTGGTTTTGTTTTAAAATGATTTTAATAGAGAGAAAAAAAATAAAAAAAATTTGCAAAGCTTAAAAATAGATGCAGTATTTATGAGGTTGGGTGTATCGGAGGGGGGTGTGTGTTCGATGGGGGGTGTGGCGGCCTATTGCCTGAAGCGACGCAGTGGCGGCTTGTACTGGTAGCCCTGCTCGGGGACGTGGACGTGGTTCTCCGACTGCAGGGGCAGGGCGTACGATGGTATCGGGATGTGGAAGTCGATCTCTGGCTGATGCTGGTGCTGGTGGTGGTGATGCTCCGCATTGGGCGGCAGGTAGCTCGACTCTGGCCGGGGCGCGGGTGGCAGGTAGCTGGTCTTGGGCGCCACTGCCGGGGGCGGTGGTGGCGGCGGCAGACTGGGAGCCACCTTGGGAGGCAGATATCTGGCCACGGGCTCCTCTGCGGGCAGGTACTTGTTGGCCGGTGCTGGTGGCAGATAGCTCTTCTCCGGCTTGGCAGGAGGCAAGTAGCTGGGCTTCGGTGCAACGGCTGGTGGCGGAGGTGGTGGCGGCAGGCTGGGGGCGACCTTAGGGGGCAGATACTTGGGTGCGGGTGCAGGTGCAGGTGCAGGGGGCAGGTACTTGGGTGCGGGTGCAGGTGCAGGAGGCAGGTACTTGGGTGCAGGCGCGGGTGCAGGTGCAGGGGGCAGATACTTCACTTCCGGCTTGGAAGGGGGCAAGTAGCTGGTCTTGGGGGCTGGCGGCGGTGGTGGTGGCGGCAGCGACGCCTTAGGTGGCAGATACTTCTGGCGAGGCTTCTCCGCTGGCGGCAGGTAGCTGCTCTTCGGAGCCGGCGGTGGTCCTCCATAGCTGTAGCCGCTGGGAATGTTGAACTTGGGCTCCTGCTCCACATGATGGTGATGGTGGTGGGGCTCTGGCTGGTAGTGCAGATCTATGTGCAGATCGTGGTGGCCATCTTGGTGACTGGCGTGCGAGGAGTGGGCATGGGCATCGTAGTGATAATCGTGATGATCATGATGGTCATGATGATCGTGATGATCGTGATGATCGTGCTCGTGATGGTGCCCGTGGCCACCGCCCCCAAACAGATGGGACACATCCGCCCGGACACAGACAGCAGCAAGGCCTGCCAGGGCCAACAGGATCAGCATGGGTTTCTGCAGGAGACGGAAATGATTATAGCTACTCCATTTGGGATCGAGGATGCGGCATGCCATCTATTTACCATTCCGTTGGGATATATTCCTGCGGTTCCGACGGTGGACGATGCTGATGTTGCTGCCGTTTGCTGACGGCTTCAAGTAATGTCACTATCGTTGATGGCCCCCTCTTTTATACTCCGATCGCAGTCGCAGCTTCCTCAACTCCAACTCCAACTCCGACTCCGACTCCAACTCGATCTCGAATCTCCATCTTGAGGTTCGATCTTTGGGCAGCAATCAGCAGCATTAGTTTATGCCCAAAACAAAGGCCAGCGGTGCATAATTTTCGGTTCGGTTTTCTTCACACTTTTCTTGCTTTTCATGAACTTGTGATCCGATCCACTCGGCCGGTGGCAATTATCGGCGTGTGGTTTCCTTTCCCCCCCAAACATTAATGCTATTTTGGATTTAATTAGCCGCACAACAAAAGCTTCGTCCGGCAGCCACCGGTGGTCCGTCAGAGGCGCCTCATGAATATGCAGCGGATGCGTCGTCGAAATATAAATCGTGAAACGTGAGACAATTGGCGGTGATTGACTCGACAGCCACTCGGCCTTATCCCGCCGCATAATGCAAGAGATATCCAAAGTGGATCAACGGGGGGATTAATGGGGTTAACAAAACAGCATTTATTATACGTTGTCTCTAAATTATATAATCCTAGGCCTAAACGATTCAAAAAAAAACAACAACAACAGTCCAGGACGGGGCGATACTTCAGGGTTCGGGGTTCAGTGCAGTGCAGTGGTGTGTTGAGTGGTTCCTAGAACACAAACGCCTTGGCGGGCGCCTCGTAGTGGTATCCGTGCTCCTCCTCTGGCTCCGGCTCCGGCTGTGGCTCTGGCTGAGGGGGCGGCAGGTAGGTGGGTGCTGGCGTTGGGGCAGGCGTTGTGGTCGTTGTTGTGGTGGTCGTTCTCGGTGGGGGAGGTGGCAGATAGGTAGGGACGGGCGTGGGTGGCGGTGTGGTCGTCGTTGTGGTCGGTGGTGGAGGTGGCAGATAGGTTGGGGCAGGTGTGGGTGCCGGTGTCGTTGTTGTGGTCGTGGTTGTGGTTGTTGTTGGTGGCGGCGGCGGCAGATACGTGGGCACTGGCTTCGGCGGCAGGTACGTTGGCGGCGGTGTGGGTGGTTCTGTTGTGGTTGTCACTACCACAAAGGGCACCACCGGCTTGGGATAGTCATAGCCATAGCCCTGATGCTCCTGCTGATGCTCCTCCAGGAGTTCCAGCGGCAGATGCGAGACATCCCCGGCAGCCAGAGACAGCAGCATGCCAAAGGTGGCCAAAATGAAGAATTTCTGCATGAAATGCCCCAATTGAAGACCGTTATCGTGTCGCGGGATAGGGTATAAGGATTTTGAAGACTCACCATGTCTGTTATCGTATGTTACACCTTGAGCTCGTAGACCACAAATGATTGACCAATACCACGGGTAGCTGTTTATTTATAGTCGAAAATTCTAAGACCTAGTCCATGGGCTCTCCAAAGGCCAATTATTATCATTTAAATCGATATCGGGCTTAAGCGCGATTCATGGCAGCACCAGCACCAGCATCGGCATCGGCAAGCATTCTTTGTATCGGTAAAAATGTATCTGTCTCAGTTTCGCTTTCAGTGTATCTGTAGCGCAGTATCTGCCTCTGCCTCTGTATCGGTGTCCATGTTTGTATGAATTATTAGCGCCACAATGCTGTTGCTGTTACTGTTGCTGTTGCTGCTGCCTCTGTCTTCATCATTGTTTCTGGCTCCAGTCCAAAATCTCCGCTTCAGAGCCATTATCTTTTTTTATGAGCCCCCATGGTGGGGCTTTTCATCAGCGTCGTCACTCCAGCGTTGGCTCAAGCAGCGCTTCAGTTTCTGTGGCATTGTCTGTGGTGTCAAAGTGAGCCTCTGCTTCCGACCCACTGCCGGCTGACCCACAGCGATAGAGAGGAGAGGAGCTGCTGCTGCTGCTGCTGCTGCTGCCGCTGCCGCTGCGTTAGTTCCGCCGCATCGGGCAGCGTTGTAAGAGCGATCCGCTAGCTGTCATAAATCATTTAGACTTCATTTATAATAATTATGGCGCGCGCTGCCTTTTGCAGCAGCTCAAGAAGTCTCCAGTGGAGTAGAGTGGCGTGGAGTGGAGTGGCGGCCAGCGTTTCATGGACAATGACGGACAATGAAGCTGTCTCTGGTCTCTGGGACATGAGCTTGCGGAAGCAATTCCAAATCTTACAAATCAATACAAGAATCGGAGGCACAGGTGGGTGTTAGGTGGTTTGCAGATGGGGAGACTGGAATATAAATTTTGACAAATTTCCCATCTCTTTAACGGCAGCGTTTAAACAACTAATTAGTTGGATTAGAGCGTCGCTAATCGCGATTTAGTAAACAAACAGTGACAGAGCCGTGGCTCAACTATCACTTTTTGTTTCATTCTTCGGCGGATAATTTATGCGGGTTGTTGAACCGCCCCAAACGGCGGTGGATCGATCCGATCCGGCTGATCGATTGTCAAGTGCCGGACGGAAACTGGACGGCGTGTGCTGTGCTCGCCTCTTGCCAAAAATCCGCGTAATTTATGCCGATTATGAAATTAATTGTCGTTCTTTATGGCCATTTGTCTCATCGTCTTCAATGGCTAGGCCTGTGTCTCTCTTCATAGACCCGAGACCTGTGCAAATTCGTAACCGGTTTGGGATTAAAGGCATATTTTGTCAAGCATGAACATTTATTTTAGCAAGACGCTAAGTCTACTACAATCCGCAGAGATACGACTAGATGGAATCTCGTTCTAAGCCGAGTCCAAGGCAAGTCTTAGCCGTAAGCCCTGCCCAAGGGCTTCTGGTGAAAGGAACGCCGCTAGATCTTAGGGGGATTTCGATTTTATTATCTTTAGACAGAAAACTTTGGTACAAATTCGAGGGGAAACAAGGTAGGGTCTCGCTCAGCTCTTGAATCGCCTGCTGGGCACCTGGTACTTGTAGCCGTGAATGCTGCTGGCACTTTTACTGCTGAAGGCGGATATTGGCTGGGATTCGTCTGCTGGCTCTTCGGCCTGGCCCAGCTCTGCGTCGGATGGGGCCACGGGTATGGCGTCCTGGGGGAACTCCTCGCCCGTGGGGAACTCGTTGCTGACCTCCAGCTCCAGCTGGGTGACCTTGGGCACGTCGTAGACGAAGCCATTACCAGAGCGCACCAGCTGTGAGACATCCGATGTGGCGGAATGCAGACAAACCGTCAACAGCAGCAGCATCAGCAGGCCAAAAATGGAGAGACGCTGCAGGGAAGAGCGTGAGGCGAATGTGTGGCAAGAGGCTAATGACAAGGCGCTTACCATGGTATCGTGTGTGATCTTGACTGGGGGAATGGAATGGCTCTTAGAATGGAGTTGGATCTCGGTCGCTTCCAGCCAAACGTTGCTCGAGCGAATGCAAGCGCCGGCGCTGAGACCCCAACTATTTATACTTCTATATGTTCGCCTCATTTGGCCAGGCTTTGCCTCACTTTATTAATTACGCCAGAGCCACAGCCACAGCCACAGCCAAAGCCAAAGCCGATCACGATGACGATGCTGCCGATGCTGGCAGCAGCAGAGAACGGAGGCCCTAGATAAACAACCAAAGATACAACGAGCGAGCACTACAAATAAAATGCTACAACATCTCCATCGCCATCTGCGCTGCCGTCGCCTCATTGCCAAGGCCAAGACTTGTTTTGTGGGGTCAAGTGTCAGTGCGTTGCCGCGGACCCATACACAAGCCTTTTGTCTTAGTCGCATTTGTTAGAGACTCTCGCATTGACTTGTATCTGAATTAATGATTCTATGCTCTGAGAGCCGTTGACGGATTTGTCTCTGCCCCCAGCCACGTGAGCCGTATCGAATCCCCCCCATGCAAATCAATAATTATGCAGCCGAGCCCCGATCCCCGAGCATATAAAGCGCCGCCATACGTTTCCGTTTCATCAGTGCTTTACGGCTGGGCAAATGCAGATCCACAGATTCTCGCACAATTTATCTATGCCAGCCTCCAACGGTATGCATAGCATCTGAGTGGACAACTTGGACAAGATTGATTGAATTTTTCGCTGGATCATTCCGCAGACTCGATTGGGCGGGGGGCATCCGTATTCCACTTGCTTCTACTGAATGAATACCCAGCACACACGACACACCCACTAAGCAAAGCCGATTCTGATCTTCATATGTTTTTGCTGCCTGCAAAATATACTCTCGTATATCCAATATCGTCTAGCTGTCACATAGAAGTTTAAGACCACTTTTATACCGGCTACTCGAAGAGTTTAGGCCAGAGAGAGCAATTATCACCGCATTATCCAACAGATAAATGCATCCCTTTCGCGAACAGCAATACCAAAAGACAGAGAGGGAGAGAGAATACTGCAGTCATCGTTTTAATTACTTCAAAACGAAGGGGGAACGTTGTGAGTCGCAGCTACGGCCGCGACTCTACATTTATACCCTCATTCAGTATGGCTCCCCTCCTTCGGGGGGACACACTGCACCGAGGAGAGTGTGTGAAAGAGAAGGAGTGAGTAATCGCGTGGATGGCGTTGCGTAGCCACTGAAATTTCATTTCCTTCTGGCTATAATATTTATTCGACCTGATCCACATTGGGCAATCTGCTGCATATGCAGCGCATGCCACAGATTTTCGTCCTTCGTGGGGTCGGAAAAGCACGGAACAATTTTGAAACAAACTGGCTGCTCTTCCTCTTATAGTCTTTGTGAACTAGGAGTCAAACAATACGGACAGACGACCAGACGGACATACAGACATGGCTATGTACATATATCGGCTATTGATGCAGATCAAGAAAATATATTTTCCTTATGGGAAACGCTTCCTTCTATACTCTTTTTGAGTAACGTGCATACAAATAATGTAAAAATTGTATATATGTATATAACGGCCCTTGCCGCTCCTAACAACGTAGCCCCACGCTTTTGGTGATATAAAAAAAAATTTTATTTTTTACTGACCTCTACATGAATTACTGGTATACAAAATAAACAACCATTTGGTGATTAGTAAAAGACTACTTTTAGGCTTTAGGTATATTTCGATTTTTGAAAAATAAATTATGGCATACTTGATGTGCGAACACATGATATCCTCTTTTTAGCTGCCAAGCGATTGGCAGGACCCTCCCGAAATCTAAATCACGTAAGGAGCATGCTCCTGAGGTTAATTAAAAACAGTATGCAAAGAGGACAGAAAAACAGTAAAGATACACTCTCGTCTCTCACTTACCTTTTGTCCCATATTCTTGGGCGGTTAGGATTTCTTTGCTGCATTTGCTGCTCCTTTCTCTCACACAAGAAAAGCCGGCAATTCTGTGGAGCGTGGACCGTTAGACTACGAAACCGCGCGACTATTTCGAACGAACGATTTACGAAACGAAAACGCAAACACACACACGAACGACAAAAAAAATTCCATAGAAATTTCAATAAGAGCACATATTTATGGTATATTCATATAAGGTGAGCCAACAGGAGTGAAGTTTCGTGTGGAAGCACCAACGAGAGAGAGTCAGATCACCAATATTTTGAATGCCCCACCCCACCTCATAATGAAGCGCTTGGTACGAGAGAGCGTCGATTCTAAGAGCTCGCTCTTTTCTTATTGCTTTACTCCTCTTCCTCACTGCGTGAATTACATGATGGAGTGGGAAAGGGACACAGCTCGGTGCTTCTTTTGCATTTTTTGAACAAACAAACACACGCACATTGCCGACCGAAGGAAAAAAGGGGTTGTGCATAAAATAGTATGTTTATATATTGTATATCAAATGCTAAAATTTTTACACTTCACTTTCACTTCGTTCTTTTGCTTTCCTTCGCCGCTCTGCATTTTTGATATATTTTGCCCTTTTGCCACACTTGATCAAGCACATTTTCTTTCATAGACAAACAGTTTTTGTACATTTTTAATTCAAGTTCCTGCACCACTAGACAACACAGCTATGCGACAGTTTTCCCGCTTGATATTTGACCATTTGCCCGATTTTTGAAACGCGGAGCCGACTTGGAAATGCGCGCTTGGACCGGTGTGAAAAACAGTGTGAGAGCGGTGCCGATTTGTATGCGTAGGTGGATTTGCGGCTCGCTCATTCCATGCTCTCCTCCATGAGGTAAATAGACAAGGTGGCGCGCTCACGCCACGCGCTCTATTTTCGAGTCATACTTTCCTCAGTACAAAGCGTCAAAGCGCTCTTAGCAGGGCCGAGCGTAAAAGAAAGCCCGAAAGAGAGTAGCGGACCACCTTGCATAATTTTATCATGCTCTGTCACCATCCATGCTCTCCCTCTTGTGCGCTTCCTAATTGCTCTCTTTTTGCATATTGACATTTGTTTCTGCTATTTGTCTTCTCCCTCTCCCACCCTAAGAGAGCGAAAATCTGAGCGTTTGCTGAGTGATCACATGTTAATACAATGGTGTGAGGGCGTGAGTGCGTGAGGGTTAAAATGTTTTGCATCTGCGTTGGAATGTGGAGGGAGAGCGGAGAAGAGGCCGAGGATGTAATAAGAGAGCCACTAAGCCACCTACGCATACAACCACGACATCGTGATTTAATACTATACGAGTAAGCGAGACAACACATGCATTTCAATTCGATTGATTTTAGTTTATTTTGACAGTTATCCAAGTGTATTCGTCTTTCCTGCGAAAGCCCAAGCCACTGCATTCACCATTCGTTCAAAAATACGTCTAATACTTAATGAAGATTCTTTATATTTACAAGAAGCCTATGTAGCCTAATAGTCGAACGATGGCTGGGGATCGTTGGGGTAGCTGTAGCCCTTGGGACCCTCAGGCTGGACGTACACTGGTGGTGGAGGAGTGTACACCACTTTCTGCACTGGCGCTGGTGGGGGTGGTGGAGGAGGAGTGTAGACGACCTTCTTTACGGGTGCGGGGGGCAGGTACTCGACCTTTGGTGGTGCGGGCTTCACGTAGACGGGTGGTGGAGGAGGAGTGTACACGACTTTCTTCACGGGTGCAGGTGGTGGTGGAGGAGGAGTGTAGACAACCTTCTTCACGGGTGCGGGAGGCAAGTACTCGACCTTGGGAGGGGCGGGCTTAACGTAGACTGGTGGTGCGGGAGTCACAACCTTCTTGATGACAGCCGGAGGGGCGGGCTTCTCGTAGGTTTCGAATTTGACCGAGGGCTGACCGTAGTGGTAACCGTCCTCCTTCAGGATGCCAGCTGGCGCTGGTGGTGGTGGAGGAGGGGTGTACACGACCTTCTTCACGGGTGCCGGTGGGGGTGGTGGAGGAGGAGTGTACACGACCTTCTTAACGGGTGCCGGTGGGGGTGGTGGAGGAGGAGTGTAGACGACCTTCTTCACGGGTGCGGGGGGCAGGTACTCGACCTTTGGTGGTGCAGGCTTCACGTAGACGGGTGGTGGAGGAGGAGTGTACACGACCTTCTTCACGGGTGCAGGTGGTGGTGGAGGAGGAGTGTAGACCACCTTCTTCACGGGTGCGGGAGGCAGGTACTCGACCTTGGGAGGGGCGGGCTTAACGTAGACTGGTGGTGCGGGAGTCACAACCTTCTTGATGACAGCCGGAGGGGCGGGCTTCTCGTAGGTTTCGAATTTGACCGAAGGCTGACCGTAGTGGTAACCGTCCTCCTTCAGGATGCCAGCTGGCGCTGGTGGTGGTGGAGGAGGGGTGTACACGACCTTCTTAACGGGTGCCGGTGGGGGTGGTGGAGGAGGAGTGTACACGACCTTCTTCACGGGTGCCGGTGGGGGTGGTGGAGGAGGAGTGTAGACGACCTTCTTCACGGGTGCGGGGGGCAGGTACTCGACCTTGGGAGGGGCGGGCTTCACGTAGACCGGTGGTGGAGGAGGAGTGTACACTACCTTCTTAACAGGCGCTGGTGGGGGTGGAGGAGGAGTGTAGACCACCTTCTTCACGGGTGCGGGAGGCAGGTACTCGACCTTGGGAGGGGCGGGTTTCACGTACACTGGTGCGGGGGCAGTCTCCACGGGCTTTTCGTAGGTTTCGAACTTGACCGAAGGCTGGCCATAGTGGTAGCCATCCTCCTTGAGGGCTCCGGCTGGCACAGCAGGGGTGTACACCTTGGCTGGTGGAGCGGGGGTGTAGACCTTAGCTGGGGGAGCGGTGTAGACGGGGCGAGGAGGCGTGGGCTTGGGGGCCTGGTAGATGACGGCGGGTGGAGCGGACTCCCTCGGCACGTATGGCACATCGATCACGACGGGATTCGACGGGGGATCGTAGACGTAGCCGTCCTCCTGCAGGTTGTTGCTGTGCGAGAACAGATGCGAGACATCTGCACTGGCGACGGCCACCAGGGCGAGAGCGATGAGAAGTTTCTGCAAATGAAACCACCAGAAACCACATGATCAGTATCAATAAGATTGTAATCCACACTCGGCAAATATCCATGACTATACCGGCAATAGTCATACAAAAAAAAAATACAAAAATAAAAATATTCCACAACTGTTTCACGGTTGTTCACTCGGTTTTTTTTTTTGGTATATCCTTGGTATCCATTCGCACTACTCCACTGCTTACCATTTTTGCTCAGAATCAAATCCACACGACGAATGCAGAAATGTGACTGTGCCGAAGCACCGCACAACGACATTATTTATAGTTCAGCGCCTCAGGATGGGCCAAAATGTTTTACGGCAGAAGATTCTCGACAGAGCCGCACCGAAAACTCAACAGAACCTGCTTGGGCTGGCTAACCGGCTGCTGCTGACGCTCTTCCTCTGGCTGGGGCGCTGCTTCGGCCTCTGCTTCTGCCCGAGAACGACACCCATAAAACCCCATCTCATTTTCTGTCAGATTCCAGGCGTTATACATTTTAGCACCACGAAACAGACGACAAATTTAGTAGTAGTTTTGACAAAAAAAAAATAAAGAAATGAGCCCGACCAAACCATATGCAAAAGACGTAAATGAGCTTGTATTTAATACGAATCGGGATGGTTTTTAATAAAAATCATAGCCAAAAGAAAGAACAAAACACAAAGCGTAGCCCAAAAATATCTATATAATAACTTAGAACCAAAGACAACTGTCTGCGGTCTGCGGGTCGTGAGTGGTTTGAAAAAAATGTATAATTTAAATTCAAGAAAAACCGGTGAAATATGCACGAGCTATATATGTATATGGGGGATCGGGAGTGATCATAGATAGAGAGAGTAGAGTGTCCCGCATGCGTGCGCATAGCCAATCATGCTCGATAATTTTTGGCAAATATTTGTAGAACAAATCGATAACCAGTAGGGGGCTCAGACGGACAGCCCACCATGTGTCGCGCCTATCGCGATGTTGATGGAGCCACTTGGCACTTAACGACATACACAATGACACTCTTTCTTCTTCCTCTTGCCACAAAAGAAATAAATCTTAGCATAAATTAATTTCGCATTTATGTGAAACTGTTTGTGGAATGTTTTATTTATAAGAGCATTCAGAGATTTGCATAAATTCCCAAAAAGTTCCGCTTGAAACAAAGTCAGGCGCTCTCTCCTTCTCTCTCTCTCTCTCTCTTTATCAGACTCCACATTATCGCAATTACTCACTGCAGCTGTAATGACCAAGGTCGCCCTTCACGCAATATCAGCATCATCCAGAGATCTGTGGATCAACCACAGATGGGGAAACAGCCTCCAGTTGGCAACCGGTTGGTGATGCAGTTCCCTTCTTTACACTGACCTTTGCCTTGGCTTGCTGTTTGTGGCAAGGGCAGAGGCGAGACCCACTTTCCCTCATGCTCCTGACCCACTGTTCGCCCGGATTCCTGTTGTTTCTGAACGCGCAACTAATGGATCTCGATCCACAAGCCAAAACTTGCTCTTAAATCGATTTTGAGCCATTTGCATGCTTTGTTTTTAATTAAATTTAGATTTAATTAATACGAATCTGCAACTTTTATCGCATACGGAATTCTTCAAAGTCTACAGTTAATTCCGTTATGTGAATTGATTACCAAAATTAATTGTCTCTTGTCATCAATGCATCATTATATTTCTTTCCAACAAAGTTCAAACTTTGATAATGACAGCTTCCCAGGACGGAATCGAACGGAACAGAACAGAACCCTCCCCAAACAACTGCTAGGTCGATCGTTGAACTAAGCGTAATTTATAATTTTATGCTGTTCTTTTTATAGATTTTTTTTGGGGGTTTTTTTCTTAATTTATTACGCAATCTTTAGGGCGTATCTTAGAGCCAAACAAACACGAGCATAAAATCGCATAGCTATCGAAAAAATCTGGTTTCATTAATATCAAACGCATACGTCATGCCTTAGATACAGTCTTCGTCACTTGAGTGATCATAAAGCGTTATGCTATAGCTCACTGGAAATTCGAGATGCGATGCTATGCCGTTTACTCACGCTAAATGGCTGTTAGCGGACTCATCTTTCAGGCCAATTTGTCCGGGGTTGTTCGATGTGTGTATTGACCTGATCTACCCATGTGTTACCCCAAAGTTTCCGGCATTTAAATGAGTTCTCAGCCATCATTCGTTCGCTAAGTATACGTGTGTATATAAATTCAGCTCTGATTACTTCATCCGAAATCATCTTTGTTTGCGGTTTAATTAGATGGATCTTGGGTAAATGCCACACAACGGTAAACTGGTTTAAATTCCGAATATACACACACATAAATATATATCATAATAAATGTATCTTTTAGATGGAAGGTATTTTTGTTGAAATAACCAAATGTGTATCCCACGCGTAGGAACAACATGACGCAGATCGGAAATTGCACAACTCCCCGTAAAATCGTAAAACCGATCCGATTTTCGTTAGTTAGCCATAAGCCACTCGTTTTATCCAGAAACCTGTTCAATTAGTTTAGTGAATGCTTTAGAATTTAGTGTATACATATAAATTCTCATATTAGGCATAATTAAGAACAAGTTTTGTTCTATTCATATTTCTTCTCCTGCTAAAACCACAAATTCCTGCCTCGCTTAATGCAAATAATTTCTTAAACTGCTTATCAATCCCCCAGCATAGACACACCATCTAATGCTATACATTAATCTTCAGGCAGGGGGGCAGAAGAATCCGTAGAGTTGTGTACATCAATTAGCTGCTGGCCACGGAAGCCAAGTAAAAATACTCACTGGATGTTTGGCAGCCTTCTTGCAATTCTTGAAAGAAACCGAGAACAGCAAACAAAAAGTTAAAGTTCATTCAAAATACAACAACAATTTATGTCAAGCTGTTTTATCATTTATTTATGTATTTATTTAAAGCTAGATTACGGCTAAAAGTTATTAAACCAACTTACAGTTCCTCTGGCTTACTTATTTTTATTACTACTTTTATTTATTTAAAAACATTTGTTTCTTTTAGGAATGTGATGATATCAGCTTTCAAGTTGTATAAATCAGCCTAAAGAGCACATCCATTGGGCAACAATTTTGATCGTCTTGCGGCTTGTGGAAACTCTGCAATAAATTGATAATTTTTCCTTGGTGGCAAATAAGAATGCTAGTTGGTTTTATTTACACGAGTCGTACATCTTGACGAACTTAAGTCCAGGTTACACCGTAAATAAAGCCTTAAACTCCGCTCTCTGAGGCTAACTCTACTCCTGGCGTTCCAGGACAATCCTCTATTCCAGCTGAGGGTTCTCACTGCGGCCATATGGGCTAGGGGCCAGGCTTGTCTGTCCTTAGATCGCACTGTACTTGCCGCTCGTTGAAAATACATTTTGCCAGATATTCGCAGTACAGCCTGAAAGTATGCGTAATATATAGTCTGCAGGGTGTAGACTTCGTGTAAAACTCACGTAGAAATGCCATCTCCGACCAAATCCGATTGGTTTCAGACAAAACAACAACTTTAATTCACAAATTATATTCATATGATTATAAATAGGTTTAAAAAACTTAATTTAAATTAAAAAAGAAACCCTTACCCTAGAAATCATTTAAAAATTAAGATAAAATCTCTTCAGGCTTGAGTGTGATGTACATTTCTTTGATCTTGTTTGTAAGGGAACCTTGAACAAAGATTTCTTTTAAGATTTGGCTACAAGTTCTCTAGAATTATGGTCATGGACAGGTTACAGCTTTTGGAGAGAGCCCCATCCCCAGCCACAAGCCGTCAACCCGTTTTCGTATAGTTTAAACAACTATTCCTTAGCTGTTGACAGGTAGAGTATATTTAAGCGTCTCTCATATCTATAAACATTAGGCAGAGTATGCCCTCGTTGGCTTTACTTCAATCTACACATATTTTCCGCTGTACTTTCAAAAAGTGAAAGATTCTGTCTGAAATAAGATTTAATGGATTTTATTGTCTTGTTTCGCTGCTTCCATTTCGTATTGATTCCCCCCAAAAATTGTTTTATTGCAGATCTCTGAACCCAATATCTCCTAACCTGCTTATTTTAAATGAGGCGCAATCGCATCTTCCAAATGCTTACAATCCCATACATATGCAAATATATATCTATACTAAGTAATTTTTAAGAGACCTTATAAATACGAAATGATCCAGCTTTCAAAAAAACAGTTCAATTGTTCGACTTCGACTGATCAACATGGTGGTGGGCATTTTGGAGCTTGCACTCTTATAATTTTTCGAAACTGAAGTTCTCTTTTCCTTTCAGCGCGTTTTATTTGTGACTTTTGGAGCGGCCCTCCTGCTCCTTCTGGGCCAGGTTGAGGCAACTTCTCTGTCGAGAACTTACCTGCCGCCCCAAGTTCAAGTGCAACAAATCGTTTCCCGTCCGCAGGTGGTGCAGGTGGTGCAGCAGCGCCCTGTGATTCAATCTGTTGTGGTGCCACAGCGCACTTATCTCCCTCCTGCCCCGAGAGTGGTATCGGTTTACAGGCCGGCTCCTGTTCAGGTGGTCTCCATTCCGAGGGCGGTCCAGCATCAGATCATCTCCCGTCCCCAGGTGCAGGTGGTGCAGCAGCGTCCTGTGGTGGTGCAGCAGCGCCCTGTGGTGGTTCAGCAGCTTCCTGTGGTGGTTCAGCAGCGTCCTGTGGTGTTGCCACAGCGTACTTATCTGCCACCAGCCCCAAGGGTGCTGTCAGTGGTTCGTCCAGCTCCCCAGGTGATCGCGATTGCTGCCCCCAGGCGCACCTACCTGCCCCCCCAGGGAGCTGCATCATCGCTGAGCGAGCAGTACGAGCAGCCCGAAGAGATCTAGTAAAAAAATTCCGTCAGGGCAACTCGACGACTGGTTTGTGGGTTAACCCACACACCGCAAACTATATTCTAATGCTAATTCCCGATGGAGCAGAACAGAAACGATCAGAGAAATGCAAAAATACATTTTGATACGTTTATTTGCATGTCTGACGCGATTCGATCCTCAATGGATTTGCATATTCCAGAATTAGTATTTAGACAATAAAGAAAGCGCAGAACAACATCAACGAAAATCATATTATAGGGCCATTAGGGCCAGTCATTTTGTGTCCCAAATCCCACAAAAAGCCTAAATTATTGTATAAAGAACGGCCACAGAAGACGTTAACCTTTTGAGAAGAAGACTCTTCGCTTCGAACTGTCTGTTTGCTCTTGAGCCTTCCCTATGATCTATCCATCTTTCAGATAATCAATCAACGTATCATTCAACCTATCGAGTGGCACATTAAGTCATTAACTTTTGGCATTAGATTTTGTTTCAATAAGCGGCTGAAGCTAATGGTTGACTCGGATAGTTTATGACCTGATAACTATCCAAATATCGTGGCCTGGATTCGTGTGTGTCGTGTATCAATAACTCCCTGAAGAGAGCCAGCTACTGTTTGGGCCACTGATCACCGTCATTAAAAGTATCTCGGTGTTTAGTTGTAGACGTTGGAGCCTAATCGAGTTAAATATACATTTTCTCAAACAAAAAGCAAAAGCGAAATATCAGGTTTGTGATAATTTGATTTTTGGCAACAAAAAAATAATGCTGCAATACGGTATAGCATGGTATCCTTATGAATATTTATAATCGCATAGCGTCGCGGTTCTCTGCCGATTGACAGCCAAAAAATGAGAGTTTTTATAATCCATACACTCCGGTACACCCGACCCGACCGAGTGGAGTGGAGTGGAATGGATGGAGACGAGCCACACATCTGGTGGCGCGGCCGAAGGTATTTGGCTAATTAAACAAATTTTTCGAGACAAAATGCGGAGAAAAACGTTTTGGGGGTTCTATTGATTTATGATATGGCAGCACTTCCGTTTAAGTCCGCAGAATCGGCGACTCGTATAAAAGTACAGGAGCCCCAGCATAGAGATATTATTCGATTCGTTGCCCCATCAGCACACAGATCATCAAAAATGGTAAGGATCTAGCAGCTGTTCCCTATCCTATCTGGCCTGCGGATTACCTTTCCACTTCCCACAGAAATTCCTCGTCTTGGCTCTGGCTTTGGTTGGTTGCGTGGCCGCCGATGGTGGCTACAACTACGGAGCACCCGCTCCAGTGAGGTCTTATCAGCCGGCCCCTCAGGTACAGCATAATTTTGCGGCCTCCGCTCCGGCTCCAGTGGCTGCCCCGGCTCCAGCGCCAGCTCCAGCACCAGTGTTCCAGGCTGCTGAATCTGCCCCAGCCCCATCTAGAAGCTACGTGCCCCCAGCACCTGCTGCCTCCGCACCCGTCCAGTCCTTCGCCCCTGCTCCTGCACCAGCTCCAGTCTTCCAGCCTGCTGCCTCTGCCCCGGCTCCAGTCCGTTCCTATGTGCCACCAGCACCAGTGCGGCAGCATCATTTTGCTGCCTCCGCTCCGGCTCCTGTTGCTGCTCCTGCTCCGGCTCCCGCTCCAGTCTTCCAGCCTGCTGCATCTGCCCCGGCTCCTGTCCGTTCCTACGTGCCCCCTGCACCCGTTGCTGCAGCCTCCGCTCCCGTCCAGTCCTTCGCTGCCCCTGCACCAGCTCCCTCTCCAGTACAGTCCTTCGCCCCTGCCCCCTCCTTCCAGGCTCCGGAGCCAGCCCCAGCCTTCGAGGCTGCCGCCTCTGCCCCGGCTCCAGCCCGCTCCGGCTACGACTACAGCCAGCCCCAGTCCAGCCAGGGCTACAGATACAGGACCGTGCGTCGTCGCGTCCTGAGGCACCGTGCTTAAGATGGGAAACCCCAGAAAAACGACACCGAAATAAACGATTATGTACCCAATTTCTGTAGAACTCTTACTTTTTTTGGGTGTGAAATGATAAACTCAGCTAATCTAAAGAAGGAAGCGTTTTCAGCCACAAAAGTATATACTAGATAAGAATCAATAGCCAAATCCCCATGAGCGCCTGGATCCCAGAGACTATAGTAGCTAAAGCTGTGATAGCACACTGAATCAAGGGTATTTACCAATTTTGAACCACCCCTTTCCACGCCCTCAAAAGACGAGAATCTGTGGCATCCACAATTTCAAAAATATGAGAAAACGCAGAATCGTTAAGAATTTAACATATATACTAGACTGTGGAATTTAGATCATATCGGATCATTATTATGGAGGGAATAACAAAATCTATTTGCAGTGGTACACCTTGCACCCGCTTACTCATTCTCTCTCTCTCTCTCACACCACCTTCTTCGTGCAGTGTGCGTGTGGCGATAGCGGTAAAATGAAAAGAGTTAAAAAAAGAGTTACTCTAAAATTCTAATCGTGTAGATCAATAGGTGTAGAGAGGATGAATGAAGTTAAAGAAATAACAATAGAACTTGACTAACGTGGGTCCTCTGTTTTCCCCCTTTCTAAAGACAACTGCAAGCTAAATTTGTAAAAAATATGTCGTATAAGTTTAATAAATCAATAGATATGCATGTAATCAAGGTGAATTATATTTTATTTTTCTATGTTAGTATTCGAAAACCGAATATTTAATTTGAACATGGGTCTGTTTCTTTTTACTAAGTAATTTTTCTCTCAGTGTAATTATACGTAAGCGCCAGAATTAACTGCCGCATGCTCCCTCTCTCTCTGTCTTTTTGTATAGCTGTTCGAATTGATTTTTTGGTTAATGCGGGGAGGGGGATATCTCTCGGAATTTGTATAGCACTCTCAAGAGAGATGGGCAAAATACACAGACAAAGAGAGGGACCACGACCGCTAGTTATGTTCTAATGTTAATACTTGCTCTTCGGTTATCCCCTTTCTACATAATGACCTACAAATTTGATAAGATTTGTAAAACGTTTTATCTGTTTCTATGTTTCTGCTACATCTGTCTCCCTCTTTTTCGCTGCTCACACCAGCCTCAGAGGTTTCCATCCGCCAGAGCCTGCACGAGGTAGAGTGAGAGAGTGAAAGAGAGAGAGAGAGAGAGAATGAGAATGATTGAACCCGTAGAAGGGGTAGGGTAGCCACAGCCATTTTATTTGTTTATTTTGGCTATAATAACCGGGCTAAACCAGATTCGGCAATCTTGTAGATATGCTAATATTCTATGATTATCCGTTTTCGGTTTTCTTGTATTTTCAACAGATGTTCATCTTTTGTGCGCGAATATAACACATTATAATAATAATATATACATATATCAATCGAAACACCAATTTGTTGATGGGAACATTTATGTTTGTTTGGCCAAACTTTTTTGCAAAATTAATTGCAGATACAGTTATCGAAGAGTGTCTCTGGTTTGAGAATAGGATCAAAAACCCCACTTATCACTGAGGGGTGGGATCGATAAATTCTAGCGCTTTGATCTGTGACAAATTTACGGCGTACTTTCGCTGTGCTTTGCTGGAATATTCATTTGTATTTAAATGGCGAACATTCAATGAGAACAAATGGGTCACATAAAGCATCAAATGAATTTCTCACGCTACCGCCAACAGGTTTCTGGCCTTCAGTTTCGGTTTCGTTGGGGTTTTGGGGGCTCGAATGCACTTCAATTGGATCCCCAAAGATTGTATAAAAGTTGCATCTAGAGCGGATAAGCTTCACTGGCATTTGCACAATGGTGAGAGATCAATGAGGAACTGAAGTACGGCTAAGCTTGACTAATTCTTAGGTTACTTTCATTCCACAGAAATTTCTCTGTGTCCTGCTGTTGTGCATCCTGGCGGCTGCCTGCCTGGCAGATGTTTCCCATGTGAAACACCATAAGCATCATCGCCACCATGATGACGACGAGCATTATAATTATCTGCCACCGTCGGAGGAAAAGGATGACCTGGAGCAGCCCTTCTACAAAAAGGAGAAGCACACCAGTGAGCGCGTGGTCTACCACAAGGAGGAGGAACACGACGAACTACCCCGCCATCAGCATCACCACAAGGAGCAGCACTACCACCACGAGGAACCCAAGAAACAGCGCGTGGATCACTACCATCACTACGACAAGAAGCCGGAGGTGAAGACCGAACATATCCATTACAAACACGACAAGCCGCAGGTCCGAACGGATAATAGTGGGGACCTGTTCACTCCGGCGGCCAGCCAAGTCGTATATAGACGGCGCCGTCCCCACCGCATAACCTACGCCAGTGCCCCCAACTCTGTCTTTCACACGCACACCCAGATCAACGTCCAGTCGCAGGACTCGGAACTCAACTCGCTCACCCGCCCAGATCTCCCAGGAGGACAGCAATTGCCAGCCGGAGCCCAGGCACCCACTGGCGCACAGGCGCCAACAGGAGCTGGCTTCCTGCCCAACTGCCAGATTACAGGAGCTGGCAATGCTCCTCCGGGCTGTGGACCGTCGGATCCACTTGGAGCTCAATTACCTGCAAGCGCTTTGGTTCCAGGTGCTGGGCTGCCTGCCAATCAAGGAGCTCCGATTCCAGCCGGTGGGCAGTTGGCTGTTCAGGGCAATGGCCAGCGCCCACAGAAACCCTCTCGTCCAGGCGGATACGGCGGCGGCTATGGTAGAAACAACTTCTTCTTCGATCCATCGCTGTCTGCTCAGCTGGGCACTGCAGGCTTCCCCGTCCCTGTTGGCGGTGCTCAGTTGGCTGCAGGTCAAGGATTTCCCAACCAGAATCAGTTTGACCCCTCTTTCGGTGCCCAGTTACCCGCCGCGGGTCAAGCTCCTGCAGCTGGCGGCCCTTTCGATCCATCATTTAGTGCAGCCGCTCAACGGCCGGCGGGTGGACAAGCACCGCTCCAGAATCAGTATGACCCCAATGCACAATTCGGAGGTCAGCTGCCCGCTGCCCAACAGCCAAATCAACTCGGAAATCCCGCTCTGGGCGCTCAGCTGGGAGTTGGCCAGGCTCCGCTTGGACAGAGGCCGAATCAGCCGAGTCCTCCTCCGTTCGGTGCTCAGCTTGGTGCTGGACAGGCGCCTCTTCAGAATCAATTTGATCCATCTTTGGGCGCCCAACTGGGAGCGGGTCAAGTGGTGCCACGTTTGCGCTCTGGACGTCCACGCAACCGTTCCAACTACCAAGGTCTAAACGTTCTCAATGGCAATGTGTTCGGGCAGCCGCATCTGCAGGGACCAACGAATGCTCTGGGCAACCAGCAGGACACTAACATCATCGATGGCAACTTCTACAGCGATCCTAGCGTGCACCATGGCCATGGCCATCATCGTGCTCTGGTCTCTGTCAATGGCAATCAACGGTCGGTTCTAGTGACGGACGCGGATCTTGATGATGCGGATGACGATACCGATCCCACTTTCCCACTGGGTTTCGCGGCCAGTAGCCCACAGGCTGCCTATGCGGCTGCTCCCAAAAAAGGCAGGAAATCCAGTTTGAACAGGCACAGCAGCTCAAAGGATGATGACTTTGACCTAGGAACAGCTGCCTCAGAGCACGATACGGACTACCGTGAGGATGGCTATCACTACACGAAGCCCAAACACTCGTTTGAGTATTGAAATTTGTGTACAAAATAATCTTATAAATACTCAAAAATGAATTATACTTAGCAGCATTCGGCTACAAGAGCAGTCAAACAATAGCATACTTTTTAGCACCCTCATGGGAGCTCAATCTCTCTAAAGCTCCCATTTCCGGTTGGGGCTATGCTTTTTAAAGCTTTAAATATAGCTTTTGCTGTGTGCTTAACACAGGTTAACACTAAAATTGTTTCAAAGTTAATAGGAGTACAAAATGTTCTGGTTTTATTCATTTTGGCGGCCATTTCGATCACCAGATTGTGTTGATTTCGATTTCCTTATTCTTTGCTTATAAACACTTAACCTTAAGAGTTCTGTCTTCTAGTTCTCGCATAAAAATCACTTATGATTATGATACACGTGTAGACCAGTTTAAACATCTGCCTCTTGACAATGACTTTAGCTGCTTTTATTTTGATGGAAAAATATCAATAAATCCATAAGGAAAGGAAACTAGTTCAGCGCGTCAATAGCAAACCCATACTAGTGCACTCAGACACTCAGAAAAGTATAAAAGATTCATATAGTGAGAAAGAGGGAGAGGAAGGGAGAGGAAGGCAAATATTGAAAATCACACACATGGGCAAAATGAATTGTCGACATAAATTTATGCGATAATTTAGATTCGATTCTCATGCAAATCCAATAAACTAAAAACTAAAATCAAAATAAAAACACAAAACACAAATAAAACAAAATCTATTGTTTCATCGGAAGAGAAGACACATCGGACTGCATAGAGATAAAGAAGCAGAAACTGAAACCGAACCGACAAACAGTTTCAATGGGACAGCCCTCTTTCAGTATGTATTGACCTGGCTAAACAAACCACCTTTTGAGTATGCAAGACATGGACGATCAAACGATTTTTGATATTTTTCGGTGTATGAATACACACGTATTTTTGGCAACGAGGGCGGGGGCCCACTCAATGGTTATATTCGCCAATCAATGTCAATATTTGACTGCCATCTCCTGAATCAAATGTAGGCGATAGCATCTATCTTAGCCTGTATGTCACTACACTACGGGCTTGACCCGATCCCCCTGCAGCTGCAGCAAAAGCGGGGCTAATAGAAAGCTCTTAGTTTTGGCCCATAAATTAACCCAGTTCACCTACCTCCCAAAATTAACTCACTTAAGTGAGCCACACTTTGTCCACAAAAAAAGGGGGGTACAAGTAGCATTAAATTAAAATAATTAATGGCAAACTTTCAGAGATCAAACAAAACTCTCTGGAGGCATGAGCGTGTGGAGCGGTGGGGCTTTGCATAAATTGAACAAAGAGGGAACTGCGAGAGGGCCAAAACCTGACCCAGCTAGGAGCCCCGGCTCGTGGCTCAGCGGCGGCTCATTACAGAGATATAAATTTTGGGAACAATCTGTGCGAATTTCGGTCCGCTTATATTGTAGCTATGCAAAGCGAGTGAGTGGGGGCTTATCGTCGAAATGTGGAGATGGAGTTCAATGATCCGCATGCCCGCCCGCTTCTTTTGGGAACCATTTTTATTGGCTTTAATGTTCCACAAGCTGAGAGTTACAGCGTGTTATTTACGTTCTATGATTGTAAAGAATTTGTCGGGCGATAAGATCTGCTGCTCTGATCTGATCCAATCTCATGTAATTCCGACTTGCGTCATATGTTAAACATAGCCGAATGGGGGCCCACAAGATGATTAATTCTCAGACACTTGGCAGCAACATAATTAATTTTAGACAGCCGACAACTAAAAATATAATTTCAAGCCTCAATCGTACTTCAATTCCCATCATTCGATCCGCTAACCACTCGAAGAGCCGCTGCCTGGCTACAAAGAATCAGAATTCGAATTGGGAATCAGCCAGAACATCATTACATTGCCAAGCGATTTGAAAGGAAATTGCCAAATTTCGGCTGCCACGCTTATATGTACATTATTTATGGGGGCCCCAAGCCGTGCGTTAAAAGTGTGCGCAAGTTTTTTTTGTTCTTCCACTCTTCTTGGCTTTATGTTTTTTTTTTTTTAAGACATCTTTGGTTTTCGTTTTGTCTTCTTCGTGACGGTGGAGATGCGCTGCATGGCGATGGGGGCACTTTCTAGTCGCCGACTCGGACGCTCGGAAGATGAGAACTGGTTTCCAGAATGATTTATCATACATTTAAGTTTTTGGTGGAAAAAAGAGCATCTAAAATAGCTAAAACAAAAGCTGAATTTATCATAAAAGACTAAAACGTGTACTTGGCAAGTGCAAATTATGCGCTTAACATAACGAAAAGTGTATGCTCTTTCAATTTAAGGAGTATTATTGTTAGGTAGAAGGTAAAGTATCTCAAAGATAGGATGTCATTTTAATTTGTATAATCTTTAAACTGTGTTTACAAAAATTTAGATTTAATTATTACTTTATGAAATAATAATATAAAAATATAGAGCTTTAATAAAATTGTTATTTATTCAATCCGATAATATTCCGATGGTAACAATTTTGTTGTTATATTACATAATAAACTAAAAATATAAAAAAAAGGTAGAATCTTATCAACATATTTTATTTTAATAAAAAATACAAATTCATTTTATTTATTTATGAATACAATTAATTAACAAAAATGAATAACATTGGATAATAATATTTTTATTACGTATAATTAATATACATAATTAAAAAATAAAACAACCAATAATAATTAATAAATTCAGTTCAAACTTATGTTTTTAAAAAACATGTTTATTCAAGCTCATCAGCTGATGAATTTTATAAAAATTTCTCACGCCAAAGTTGATCACTAAACCAATGAAAGTTTCCCTCCTTAAGATACCCTTAAATGCAAAATGATCTAGCTCGTGTGAGTATTAGGGGGCCACAGCAAAGGAAAGGCTGCTGCCACGAGAAAGAAGTTTGCCGCCTCCTAAGCTCATAGACAGCGCAAAAAACAAATGGTTTTAATATTAATTAGAATAGAATTTGCATAAATTAAGCCCGAGCGAAATGGTTTTTGTTAGACAGAGCGACGCGGCCCCTGGGATTATGCAAAAATAAAAAAAAAACAAGTCCCACACTTAAGGCTGAAACAAGAAAAGGGGAGCTCTACATGGGGACGGTCTCTGACCAATCTCATCCATTATCCGATAGTACAATCACAGATCTCCTTTCGCTGTTCCGCTCTCCTAGTTTCTATTTGTGGGATACGATACGTTAATTTCGGGGCCCACGTTGACTTATTAAAACAGCGATTGACAATATTTATATTGTGTTTGACCATTATGAGACTTTTTTTGTCTGGGCTGCCGCTGCCATTCTATGGAGATTGGAGATGGGACACAGACTGGGGGCTGCCATTCACTAATTTGCATATTTTTGCGATTTCAGCATAAACATCAATTCCGAAATGGCACTTTTAAGTGTGTTCAGACCGGCTTCCCGGGCATCCGATGCTGATTTCGATGCTGCCTGCTGCTGATGGATAATAATAATACTGATGACAATAATGCGTTGGTCGGCTGATCGTGATCTATTGACTGGCAGCAGCATGTGCGTGTAGAACGTTTATGGGCTGTAGAACTGGACCAGAGTAGACCACAATAGAATATGCTAGAATAGAGCAGTCTCTCAGATTTGGCGGGAGATTGAAATGTAAATTAGCAAAGCCATAAATTGTGCTCGTTAATAGTTTGCGACTCTAGTTTTAGTGCTGCACACAACACACAGGAAATGAAATGATCTACTTCATTGTTTCAGCCGATTCTCAGCCAAAACTAGAAATGTAAGACTCTTAATCTTAATGCATTTGGAGATAGGATAAATTATACAATTGTTATTTGATACTTGGTGTTGCCGAACTCTTTTTTATGGCCCGAGTTAATTAGCAGAAACTGGTGCTATAAACAGAACTATAGAGATCTTCTCTATGGTTCAACTTTCGTCTTGAGGCGCCGAACAGTGGCGCGTGACAACCATCCATCAACCATCACCATCCTCCTCGTCAGAGCCAATAGACGTCCGTCAATAGCTCTGCTTCCATTTGGGGTACCCCGATATTGTCGAGTGTTTCCATGACCTCGACTTTCAGAAGTGTACATAGACCCATCTATAATAAAAAATATACATGGTTTATGCTGTGTATTTAGAAGAATCAATCAGCATCTGTTAGTCATCGTTTACCCTTCAATTTTACGGAACCGATTAGTTCTTAGCCCCTCTAACGAGCCCTGCTTCTCATGGCTGTGTGTTTTCGGCTATCGATCCGTTGCATATAAACTTTAACATTGCCAAATCTTTCTCCTACTTTGAAGGGGATCATTAATCATGGTTATGGCTACTGCTGCATAAAACAATTGCTATGTTTGCTTTATCTTTTAACAAGTCGATCGGTGGTATAGTGCTAATTGATAGAGCGTAGGGGTGTATTTTATTTATAGAAGATGTTTTTTGTGGAAGCATAAAACGTTTTGGCACCAATAAGCTTTGCATATTCCTGTCCAGGATCAACAGACGAGTCGATGTAGGAAAAGACTATAAAATACCAAGAAAAAATCAGGAACAAAGTCCATTTCAATTTTCGTTCGATGTTTCGTGGTATTGGCGGGCGGTGTACTGATACCTAAATTCTCTTCTGGGTTATCCTTCGTTCATGCTTTGGGCGGCTGTGTCGGTCCCAGAATCCAACAACAATATACACAGCTTGCTAATTGTGTTGTATTTGAGTTACTAAAATTACAGAAAATCATCTTTGTTCCTAAGTTCATAAGTCTCCTATCCTCCTTCGATATAGGATTTACAACAGATTTTTCACTCTTTGTTGTTGGCATTCTTGAAAATAATCACAATAGGCGAAAATTCGATATCCGGCAGTCAGTTTACAAAAAATTGCCTAATTCTTAGGCAAACAGCACAATTATATAATCTTTTTCCATAAACTGAATGGCGCGCTTTGGCAGTTCCTATTTGTTGATTAATGAACAGCGACGACAGACATGACAAACAATGAGCTGATGCTGCCTCGGCCTGTGTACGGATACTATCGGAGTGAGCGAATTTTATTGAATCGAATAACTCATCATTTGAATCTAAATCGAGCGCAATTTTTGCGGCGGCTTGAATGGAACAAAGCAGCCCCAAAAACAGCAATCAGGCACAAAGAGGTGTAAACAACATGAGAGAGCAAAGTTGTTTTGGGCTCGAATGAGTGTGTGCGTATGTGTGTGGATCTGTGAGCGCTCGACTTGTCCAAAACGTTGATGTCCATCAAAATCTTTTGCATATGCTTAAATAAAACAATTAAGAGAATCCGTGCGAACGATTTTGGCCATTAAACTTTTTATTCCATTTTCAGCTTCTCTCGAGCTTTTTGTGCGAATGTAAGCGTCGCCGTTGCCGTCGCTGTCGCAGCCTCTGAGCGTGTTAGCCGAGCCCCAAGTGAGGCTTAGAACCTCTGCAGAGCCAAAAGCCGTGCGAATTTACAGCGCGTCCGAAGATGGTCCGATCGTGGGCTGCGGCGTCGGCTTCGCCGTCTGCGCCGACGTGGACGGCGGTCAGAGCGAAATATGCGAGCTCTGTAATGTGCGGCGGTGGCGAAGAGCAGAGAATTTGTATAAATACCAAAAGGTTCTGCGTATTCATCATTAGAGTTTCGGTTTTACTGGTGTGAACAAGCAGCTCAACGGACAAGATGGTACGCAGTGTAAGCCTTAGGGCGAATCTGTCTATAGAAGTATAGACACCCAAACATTTGGAGACAAGCCAATCGCGGCTTTAAAGGACTATTTTTTTTCTGCCTGAAAATGAAACTGATTGGCATATCGTTTCCTGTGTTTTTACAGAAATTCTTCCTGATCGCTTTTGCCGTGATCGCAGCCGTGGCTGCTGATGTCAGCCACCTGCCCTCCAACGAGTACTTGCCCCCAGTGGTGCAGGAGTCCCAGATCATCGCTGCTCCCAGCAACGAATATCTGCCTCCCGTCCAGGCCGAGGCGGCCCCCGCCCATGAGCTTGCCGATGATGGCTACCGTTACAAGACCCACAAGCGTGTGGTCCTCCGCCGTCACCGTCGTGATGTCAACGAGCTCTCCAACGAGTACCTGCCCCCTGTCCAGGAGGCTGTTGCTCCTTCCAACGAGTACCTGGCTCCCGCTGTCGATACCGTCCTGGCTGATGATGGCTACCGTTACAAGACCAACAAGCGTGTGGTGATCCGTCGTCATCGTCGTGATGTCAACGAGCTCTCCAACGAGTACCTGCCTCCCGTTGCCGCTCCTTCCAACGAGTACCTGCCTCCCGCACAGGTTGCCGCCCCTGCTCCCATCCCAGTCGAGATTGCTGCTCCCATCCAGGTTGCCGCTCCAGCCCCAGTTCAGATTGAGGCTGCCCCAGCTCATGAGCTCGCCGATGATGGTTACCGCTACAAGACCCACCGTCGCGTTGTCTACCGTCGCCACCGTCGTGATGTCAACGAGCTGCCCTCCAACGAGTACCTGCCCCCAGTCCAGGAGGCTGTTGCTCCTTCCAACGAGTACCTGGCTCCCGCTGTCGATACCGTCCTGGCTGATGATGGCTACCGTTACAAGACCAACAAGCGTGTGGTGATCCGTCGTCATCGTCGTGATGTCAACGAGCTCTCCAACGAGTACCTGCCCCCTGTCCAGGAGGCTGTTGCTCCTTCCAACGAGTACCTGGCTCCCGCTGTTGATACCGTCCTGGCTGATGATGGCTACCGTTACAAGACCAACAAGCGTGTGGTGATCCGTCGTCATCGTCGTGATGTCAACGAGCTCTCCAACGAGTACCTGCCCCCTGTCCAGGAGGCCGTTGCTCCTTCCAACGAGTACTTGGCTCCCGCTGTCGATACCGTCCTGGCTGATGATGGCTACCGTTACAAGACCAACAAGCGTGTGGTGATCCGTCGTCATCGTCGTGATGTCAACGAGCTCTCCAACGAGTACCTGCCCCCTGTCCAGGAGGCCGTTGCTCCTTCCAACGAGTACTTGGCTCCCGCTGTCGACACCGTCCTGGCTGATGATGGCTACCGTTACAAGACCAACAAGCGTGTGGTGATCCGTCGTCATCGTCGTGATGTCAACGAGCTCTCCAACGAGTACCTGCCCCCTGTCCAGGAGGCCGTTGCTCCTTCCAACGAGTACCTGGCTCCCGCTGTCGATACCGTCTTGGCTGATGATGGCTACCGTTACAAGACCAACAAGCGTGTGGTGATCCGTCGTCATCGTCGTGATGTCAACGAGCTCTCCAACGAGTACCTGCCCCCTGTCCAGGAGGCCGTTGCTCCTTCCAACGAGTACTTGGCTCCCGCTGTCGACACCGTCCTGGCTGATGATGGCTACCGTTACAAGACCAACAAGCGTGTGGTGATCCGTCGTCATCGTCGTGATGTCAACGAGCTCTCCAACGAGTACCTGCCCCCTGTCCAGGAGGCCGTCGCTCCCTCCAACGAGTACTTGGCTCCCGTTGCCAACGACGTTGAGGCCGCTCCCGCTCACATCTTGGCAGATGATGGCTACCGGTACAAAACCCACAAGCGTGTTGTGATCCGTCGTCATTAAACCATGCGAGATCTGTTCTACTAAGTGATCGAGTTGTACTCATTTTGGAGTGCAAACTTTATAATAAGAATTTTTTTCTGCATTCCTTTCCTTTTCATTGAAGAAATATAAAAATACGATAACGATTCCATAAATATTTTTGTTGTTTTTCGTTTGGGCTTATTCAAGGACCTTTTTAATGCGTTATTCCTAAATAATCCGACTAGGATTAACTTTTTGGGAACCTTAGTTAATTATATCTGTTATATCAATACAATAGATCTTCGATTATTTCGAATCTATTTCATCAATCTGGATTGACACTCCTGGTGTCTCTCTCGCCGATCTTCTGTTCGCTCTGTTTTTGTGGTTGGGAATTCGCCTCGTAGCGAATCGCTCGTTTTTGCTTTGTCTAGGGATCGCAATTGGCAATAGCCAACCCACATATGTATGTATATCTATGTGATCTAGTTTGATATCAACTATTTCGTGTCTATTTTAAGTATTTCGAGATTGTGTAGGCATCGGTGCTAGTCCACAGATTTCATTCAAGCAATCGTCTTAGACAGTCAGAGCAGAGCTTCTCTTTCGACATTGAGATCGTGATTTATTTCCGTACGTACATAAGAGGTGCTGCTCTTTTTGTATCAATATGTTGAGTATCTTAAACGGACCGGCCTTTTCTCAGCTACATCCGACTACTCATCATGTTTTATTGAGGAGTCATAGAACTCGATTAATTCAAAGTTGATTAAACCGAAATATAATTATAAGTAATTAAGCAAATGGAGTTCGTGGATCAGCAGCGGCACGCGTTCATCTGAGAGAAATTTCACGAGTGCGGATGGATGTCACAATGGAACCTGATCTTTGATATGGGGAATTGGGCATTATTGGTTATTAAATGGATGGTTCATTGTCGGATCCGCGCGGGGAGAAAGGGGGACCCCCAGTGGGCCGGCAAAAGCAATAGCACACGCGGCGGGAACTCGACTGCCCGAAACCCGTTGCAAAACCTGATTGCAAAAACTATAATGGATATGTTTTGGCGGTGTCACTAAATACGAAATTCATAAATTAAGAAGACAAATGCTAATTAGGTATAGCAGTGGCCGATGATTAGAATCATATAAATAAGCAGCAGAACTTTGGCTAAGGCATCACTTCCATTTGCATTCTACAATCGACTGGACAGCCGACCAAGCCAGCAAAATGGTACTACTACCGTCCTTCTCGAAAGGATTACCCACACAGCCGCTACAGGATAACTAATTTTTTTAATTTTTTTTTTTCGCAGAAACTGTTGTTGATCTGCGCATTTGTTGCCGCCGTGGCAGCTACTTCCCCTAGCAGCGAGTACTTGCCCCCCGCATACGGTGCCGCCTCGGCTCCAGTTGCTTCCTACGCCGCAGAGGCTTCGGCTCCAGTTGAGTCCTACTCTGCCCCAGCCCAGGCCAGCTACACCGCTGCCGCTTCTGCCCCAGCAGTGTCCTACTCGGCCCCCGCTCAGGCTGTGTCCTACTCGGCTCCCGCTCAGGCTACCTACACCGCTGCCGCGTCTGCCCCAGCTGTGTCCTACTCGGCTCCCGCTCAGGCTGTGTCCTACTCGGCTCCCGCTCCAGCTGTGTCCTACTCGGCTGCTGCTTCGGCCCCGGCTGTATCTTACTCTGCCCCAGCTCCATCTTACACCGCTGCTGCTTCGGCCCCAGCTGCATCCTACTCCGCTCCTGCTGAGTACGAGACCGCTGCTTCCGAGCCCGCACACACCTTCTCGGCCAACGATGGATACCGCTACAAGACCCACCGTCGTCGCGTCATCCGTCGCCACCGTCGTGATGTGAGCCACCTGCCCTCCAACGATTACCTGCCCCCCTTCCAGGGAGCTGCTTCCGCACCAACCTCTGAGTACCTGCCCCCAGCAGCGTCTGCCCCAGCTCCAGTCTACCAGGCCGCTCCAGCTGTGTCCTACTCTGCCCCTGCTGCCTCCTACTCTGTTGCTGCTTCGGCCCCTGCTGCTTCCTACTCCGCTCCTGCTGAGTACGAGACCGCTGCTTCCGAGCCTGCACACAGCTTCTCGGCCAACGATGGATACCGCTACAAGACCCAGCGTCGTCGCGTCCTCCGTCGCCACCGTCGTGATGTGAGCCATCTGCCATCCAACGAGTACCTGCCCCCAGCAGCCTCTGCCCCAGCTCCAGTCTACCAGGCCGCTCCTGCACCATCCTACACCGCCGCTGCTTCGGCTCCAGCTGTGTCCTACTCTGCCCCAGCTCAATCTGTGTCCTACTCGGCTCCCGCTCCAGCTGTGTCCTACTCGGCTGCTGCCTCTGCTCCAGCTGTGTCCTACTCGGCCCCAGCTCAGACTTACTCTGCCCCTGCTGCATCCTACTCTGCGCCAGCTCCAGTCTACCAGGCCGCTGCCTCCGCACCAGCTGTGTCCTACTCGGCCCCAGCTGAATCCTACTCCGCCCCGGCTGCATCCTACTCTGCTCCTGCTGAGTACGAGACCGCTGCTTCCGAGCCAGCACACAGCTTCTCGGCCACCGATGGATACCGCTACAAGACCCAGCGTCGTCGCGTCATCCGCCGCCACAGATATTGAACGGTTTAGCAGTTGAGGCTCCCCCAACAAACCCAGCCAAACACTGCTTTGGTTTCGGGTTCTTCGGTCACTTGTACCGAAAAATTGTTAGGGAACGAAATTGATAAATTCAAAAATAAAACAGTTACAAAATATAACCCATTGGTGTTCACTTTCTAAATACATTTATTCAGCTTTTTTTTTATTTCACAATCACTATTATTTAACTTTTAAATATAGTGAAAAATAGATGTTCAAACAATCAAGTGCCATCGCACTACTATGATGGTTTAATTGATCCCCAATTTAAGGCATGTGGAGATCTCTTTTGACCATTAAGGTCCGAACAAACCGAGGAGCCTCTGATCGCCTTAGGGTCTTCGTTTGCATAATTATTATTATTCTTAGATGAATTTTTGTTGCTTATTTTGGAATATCTTTAATATATAAGAGGACACAAAATTTTCACTTTTTAAAGTGTTCGACTTGTTCAATATCCTGCACGACTCGTGTGGTTTTTTAACAATGCAAAGCCACTCTTTAAGATGGGATGGAATTCGGAGATCGAAAATGAAACCCTGAAAAACAAAATTCAAAATTCTATTGTCTATATGTATGGGCGATCGGCATCTTATTATGAAATAAATTCAATTTATTTAAATAATTAAAAAGCATTTTTAAACCGTATTCGGCCGGAGATAACGCATTCCACTTAGAGCTCGATCATGGGGGACGGTCATCGCCAGTTCAGTGCAACAGCATCAAAACACCAGTGTCATGATCCGAAGATGGTCGAAATGCCATCAGAGGCGATGGCCGCGCCGCGTCGTCTGAAGCCACAGATTTTGAGGTGCCCCTAACGAACCCAGCCAGTAAATCCAGTTTCGATTTTCGGGTTCTTCAGAAGTGCAATCTTGAAATATATTCCCAAAGTTGATCACTTTCTAAGCTATGAAAACCGAGAACAGGAAACCAACAAAAAGTAAAATCTATTCAAAGTGAAGATTTGTATTAATTACGAACTAGGATACATAAAACAATCGATTTCTGTCGTCAAGCACGAACACAGAATATCACCGGCAGCGAAGCGGAAACTTGTTTCATGAATCACAAGTTCATTATAATTTATACAGGTTCAATTTGGCTTGTGAGCTGCTTTGAAGCAACTTCTACGTGAATTTTACATGAAAAAAGCAAATGAAAATTGTTTGAGCATAGCATACTTTTGGGGCTCTGATATTAGGGATAACGGAGGCTTTAGACACTGCTGATTCCATGGGGCTTATACGAAAACAAATCGGCCAAATTTTCCGACGAAAAGTGAAGAAAAATTAGAAATTTTGGATGTTTTTGTTAAAAGAAATCGCTTCAAACCACCCTATCTGATAGAAAATTGCTTGATTAATCCGTTAAAAGTCCAGATGGGAGAACAGATTTCAGTTCACCATTAAAATTTCTTCATATTCGGCCATTTGACGTCAAAAAAAATGGCACAAGTCGTTAGTGCATTCGGTTGAGATTAAGATTAATTATGCAAAGAGGACAGAAAAACAGTAAAGATTCACTCTCGTTTCTCACTTGCCTTTTGGCCCATATTCTTGGGCGGATACGATTTCTTTGCTGCATTTGCTGCTCCTTTCCCTCACACCGGCAATTCTGTAAAACGTGGACCGTTAGACTACGAAACCGCGAACGAACGATTTACGAGACGAAAACGCAAACACACACAAGAACGACAAAAAAAATTCCATAGAAATTTCAATAAGAGCACATATTTATGGTATATTCATATAAGGTGAGCCAACAGGAGTGAAGTTTCGTGTGGAAGCACCAACGAGAGAGAGTCAGATCACCAATATTATGAATGGCCCACCCCACCTCATAATGAAGCACTTGGTACGAGAGAGCGTCGATTCTAAGAACTCACTCTTTGTTTATTGCGAGTTCCTCTTCTTCCTCATTGCGTGATTTACATGATGGAGTGGGAAAGGGACACAGCTCGGTGCTTGTTTTGCATTTTGCATTCGAAAAAAGAAACACACACACATTGCCAGAGATCAAGTGACTGAGGGGAAAAAGGGGTTGTGCATTAAAAACGTTTGTTTATTGTACATTAAATGCTACACTTTTTACACTCCACTTTCAGTTTTGTTTTCCTTCGCCGCTCTGCATTTTTCATTTGCCAGTTTGTTGACTGTGTGAGGGGGAGAGGGTTAAAGTGTTGTGCATTTGCTTTGGCATGCGGTGGGAGAGAGAAGGAGAAGAACAGAAACGATGAGAACTTCCAATATGCTCTCATCTTCTCTCTGCTTTTGCAGTTGTGTGAATAAGGAAGAACAACAAAAAATGAGCGGGCACTAATCCACCTACGCATCTCTTCAGCTCTCTCACACTTTCATTTTTTCACCCGGCTTAAGCGCGCGTTTCCCAGTCAGCTCCGCGTTTCAGACCCGTGAAAAGAGGGAAAAGTGGAAAATCAAACGGGAAAAAAGTCGCACAGCTTTGTAGAACTGAATAAAAACAACAAATATATCACGAAATTTAAATAAGAGCACGAGAAAGTCATTAAAACAGTGCGGGGGCGAACCCAGCGGCAAAATTGCTGAGTAAAATCAACGGAAAATGTGTAAGTGTACATATGTGGAAGTGAAGTGCAACGAGTGTTTTGATTTTTTTTTTTTTTATTTGCAAAATTTGCACATGACATGCGTTTGGTCACGTGATCTCGCGTTTTAGTAGATGTCCGAATGTGAAAAAAGGCGAGAAGAGCGCAAGAAGGGCGCAAGGAAGGAGAGAAGGAAGCTGAACGAATGTGCGAGCGCTCTCCATGCAAGTGTGTCAACAGTATAAGGTGCGACATTTCAGATCGTGGAATATGTCCCTCTCTCTTCGTTTTCATAGTATGCGCATATCGTGAGAGGGTAACCTCACCTAATGTCCTTCCATTGGAATTACTCTTACCAAATCGATTTACGTGCATGCGTGTGCGGAGCTGACTTCGGTGCTTAAAAAACGACAAAAACGGGAAACTCGCGCGCGGTAAAAAGACTGCAGAAAAAGGTGGAGAAATATGGATGGAAAGGTTAGTTTTATTTATTGTTTCCTTGTTATTGTTCAACTCTAGCCATACCGGTGCGTGACGCCACTTGATGTGCTTCAATGCCGAGTCTATATCGGCATGCATGCCTGTCCGTCCGACCGTGTGTCCGTCTCGTTTAACCCCTAGCTCTTACAGACTAAGATTTGATCTCTTCTGATGGGAAAGGCATTCCTGGTAAAATGTAAAGATTAAACCCCAACAATATTTAGTGGAGTATCCCAAATCGACTAAGCCCAAAGTTGAGATAAATTATAGATTAACAAACACACGATTAACATTCACATAGGTCGTTTAATTTCGGCAGCGCTGCGTAATCTTTAAAAAAAATTTAATAAACATATTTTAATGACTAAGTTCGATCGTAGAGTTCGCAGGCAGGACCCTGGTATATCATTAAAATTAAGTATTAAATTAAATTATTACAGTTAATTACAAATATTCAATTTCGTACGTTCCTAAGGATCACTATGTGCACACAGAGGCAATCGTGTCATTTGATCAGTGATCGGTGCGGGGGTGGAGGGGCGACGGATGAGGGATCAGAAATCAAAGGCGATCGCTGGCTTCGGATATGAGTAGCCGTCTGTCTTGGGCGCGGGAGGTGGGAATGGAATGACTGGCTTGGGATACTCGTATCCCTGCTTAGGCTGTGGTGGGGGGAGGTACTTGGGCTGTGGTGGGCTGGTGGGCACAACGGGAGGCAGGTATTTCTGTGGGGGATTGGTGGGTGGTGGGAATGGGATGGCTGGCTTGGGATAGTCATAGCCCTGTTTGGGCTGTGGTGGTGGATTCGTTGCTGGTGGGAATGGAACAATTGGCTTGGGATATTCATAGCCCTGTTTGGGTTGCGGGGGTGGCAGGTACTTGGGTGGTTGTGGCGCAGGTGTGGTGGTGGTGGTGATGGGTGGCAAGTATTTCTGAGGTGGATTCGTTGGTGGTGGGAAGGGAACTGCGGGTTTGGGGTACTCGTAGCCCTGCTTTGGTTGCGGGGGTGGCAGATATTTAGGCTGTGGTGGGAGGGTTGCCTTTACCGGAGGAGGCAGGTACTTGGGTTGTGGGGGGATGGTTACCCTAACGGGAGGCAAGTACTTCTGAGGAGGATTAGTTGGGGGTGGGAATGGAATGGCTGGCTTGGGATACTCATAGCCCTGTTTGGGCTGCGGTGGTGGGAGGTACTTCGGCTGCGGTGGGCTGGTTGGTTGCACAGGTGGCAGGTACTTGGGCTGCGGTGGGTTTGTTGGGGGCAAGTACTTCGGCGCCGGTTGTGGAGTTGTTCTTACGGGAGGAGGTAAATATTTCTGTGGTGGATTGGTCGGTGGTGGGAATGGAATGGCGGGCTTGGGATACTCATAGCCCTGTTTGGGTTGAGGAGGTGGCAGATACTTGGGCTGTGGCGGCAAAGTGGCTTGGACGGGAGGTAGGTATTTGGGCTGTGGTGCCTGGGTGGTTGCTGGTGGTAAATATTTCTGTGGTGGTGGGAATGGAACGGCGGGCTTGGGATACTCATAACCCTGTTTGGGTTGGGGAGGAGGAGGCAGGTATTTCGGCTGTGGTGGGCTAGTGGGCTTTACAGGAGGCAAGTACTTGGGTTGCGGTGGTTTGGTTGGGACAACGGGAGGAAGGTATTTCTGTGGGGGATTGGTGGGTGGTGGGAATGGGATGGCTGGCTTGGGATAGTCGTAGCCCTGCTTGGGCTGTGGTGGTGGATTCGTTGGTGGTGGGAATGGAACGACGGGCTTGGGATACTCATAGCCCTGTTTGGGTTGAGGTGGTGGCGGCAGGTACTTCGGCTGGGGTGGGAGTGTTGGTTTGATGACTGGTGGCAAGTATTTCGGCTGTGGCGGCTTCGTAGGCGTCACGGGGGGCAAGTATTTCTGTGGTGGATTCGTCGGAGGTGGGAACGGAATGGCTGGCTTGGGATAGTCGTATCCCTGCTGCTTCTGCTGAGGTGGTGGCAGATACGTGGGCTGTGGTTGCACTGGGGGCAGGTACTTAGGCACTGGTGGGCTCGCAGTCGTCACAGGAGGCAGGTATTTCTGGGGCGGGAGAGTGGGAGCTGGGAATGGGATTCTGGGTTTGGGATAGTCGTAGCCCTGCTGCTTCGGCTGTGGGGGTGGAGTCCTGGGTGGTGGTGGTGGGAAGGGAATCGAGGGCGTGGGATAAGCGTATCCTGCTGATGGCGTTGGCGGCGCGGTCACTCTGATCTGCTGGGGCTGCGTCGGCGGTGGGAATGGCAGCGCTGGTTTCGGGTAGGAGTATCCCTGAACCAGCTTCGGCTCCTGTGGAATGATCTGCTGCACCGGGGGCCTGTACTTGGGCTGTTCCGGCACGAATGGCACCAATGGCTTTGGATACGAATATCCGCTGCTCACTGTGGGCGCTGGCGGTGGGAACGGTATGGCCGGCTTCGGATAGGAGTAGCCGTCCGAAAAGGAAACCTTCGGTACTGGATAGTCGTATCCTCCGTATTCCTGCGAATGTACCTTGAGTATCTTGTGGATTCGATGCGGCGCCATCTACTCACCTGTGCCAGGGCAGAGGAACTGAGGGCGATCAGAGCCAAGCAGAGTAGTCGGTGTTGCTGCAAAGATGGAGGAGATGGAGATGGAGATGAGACACACAAATCAATTGGTTGTCGAAAACCTTAATGATCTTAAATCAAATCTTGGACATTTATATTTAGCCGTCTGACTGACATTTACTTGGGCCTCTTGGCCGTTTATGGCAATTTAGCGGTGTTTCGGTGTTTCAGTGTTTCAGTGTTTCGGTGTCGGTGGTAGCGTCGAAAATTTCCGCATATAATTAAGGCCCTCGACAATTTGCTATTTGGCTGTGTGAGACGCCACCAACGTCAGCTCTTTTGACACCAGCAGTGCGGTTTTTGGCGAATCAATTGGCTTGGCTTTGGTGCGACTGTGACAGTGACTGCGACTGCGACTACGGCGACGGCTGCCAATTGGGTCACGCTCTACGAAGGCAAGGCTCTTTACGCACATTATTGATTGAACAAGCTGAAAGCGTTTAAACGCATTTTTCTACGATAATTGTCGACCCCGATGGCGATTGGTTAATTAATTATGGGCAGAGCCAAGACCCAACCCGCATGGTGAGATCTACGCCAACTATTAGCTGCCCCTGCCCCTCTGCGACCACGCACACATAGTCAAGGTCAACGCATCTGCCACACGACATTGGTTACTTGATCGAGCCGCTGCGAGAAAAGTTCTAGATACGCGTTGTAGTAGGCAAGTGTTAATGGCCTCCGGCTCCGAATGAAATACTGGAGCTTGATGGGAAAGTCACGGCGACCGGTTCGATAAACCCCAAGAGATGCTAAAATAAAATTAGAAATAGTTTCTACAGCCATTTGGAATTATGTAAATGTGCGACTATCAATTCGCTGCGAACTAATTGAGCCACGGCCAAGAGATACAGAGAGAACCTTTGCAATCGTCAATCTTTGGAACTGGAACCCGGAATTCCATTTCTCAAATTGAAACACATAAATCTGGGCGAAATAAAAACTACACACAAAATAGCAGCAGCATTCTTAAGCGGCATTTAAGGTTTTTCGCCGAGTGCGCTTCAAGTCAAAGTCGTTAAAGTCCGTGCCCATTAAAATAAAAGCCAAACTTTAATTGAATAGAAACAATGGCAGCAGCCACCAGACAAAAAATTCATCAAAAAGAAGCCGAGAACTGAGAGCAGAGAACTGAGAGCTGAAAGCTGAGAGCTGAGAGCCAACAGCTCATCTCAAACTCAAACTCAAACTCAATCAAAATGGAAATAGTTTCTAGCCTCCCACGCAATATTCTTTTACACATTTTGATTTGATTTGATTTTTTTTGTTTGCGTGTTGTTTTTTGATAAATCGTTATGGAAAAATGCCACTCGACAGGCACTCCATTCAACTCGACTCACTCAAGCCGCTTGTCAGCTGTCGGGCCTTAATTTCCAGCGGATTTGCCAATCTTCTTGAGACTTGCAACAGACGGCCAGGCCAACCCCCGAGTGGCAAGAATCAGAATCAAACTAGTTCTTGCTAAAACCGAATCTAATACACATACATACATATCTATTTGGGGTTTGTTTTGCTATTAGTTGACAACTGTGTGATGTCTGTGGCCGTTTGGATGTCCATTAAAGTCAGAACCCAATTAAGTTTTGTGCGCGAGATGTTTTTTTTATGGCATGTGACTCAGGTGTCGCATAACATGAATAATTCTTTCGTGGAGCCAAGGCAGGGGCAGGGACAGAGGCAGAGGCAGAGGCGTATCTACAAAAGGCAGTGCGGAATCTCACCGAATCTTTTTCGGTAATCCAAATGAAACACGGATTTATCTATATATCCGTTTTCCTGCTTGACCTTAATTGATAATTTCATAACAACAAACCCGCAATTAAAGCAACCATTACAAAATGTTGCCGCGTCATCTCAAGTGGCAAGTGCCGCGTGTAAAGTGGGTGGGGTTTGGGCCCGCAATTGGAGCATGCCGCCAGAGAATCTCCCTCGAATCTTGTCAAGTCACACACAAAGCATTAGGCCTCCAAAAGGCGGAAAAACTTTTGGGGCGACAAATGCCGCCATGGAACGGGGTGGAGCACGGCGTTAATTGTCACAATTGAAGCGTGTGAAATCCCATAAAAAAGACATAGTAGTATACACAGATATGACTACGAGTATGTGGTCTGTGCGGGACGACCTTGTGCGGCTGGCGTTAATTGGAGTTGCCCAACACTGGCTCAGCCTCTGGCTGTGGTTCTGGGCGCGCTTTGACTCATTCAAGCGACGACTGGCGCTTAATGTGCGAGGTTCAGCCTTAGCCTTAAAGCGGTTGCGCATTCGCGGCCCACCGATTGCCAAATCTCTTGTCCAGAACGAACACGCGCATGCGTGAAGAGCACGAAAGAGTGGCTGATGATGGGGCTGGGCTGGGGCACAGTTATGAGCGTTTCCGGTCACAGCTTTGGAGTCCGATTCAGAGTCGGAGTCGCCCTCGAGTGAGTCAGCCATCGGAATCGGATTCGGATTCGGAGTTCGAGCTGGAGCTGGAGTTGGAGTCGCAGTCAATGCATTCGCCGTTGCGGCAGGTCTCAGTCTCTGATGGAGGGCTGCCAGCTGTTTTCTGTTTTGCTGTTTTTCTGTTATTTGTATTTGTACTTGTACCGATTTTCTTCAATTGTAGCGCCATTTATGCAAATTTACCATGCGACGACTCCTCCACTTGACTTGCTGTTTTGGCGTTGTTTGTTTTACGCTGTCGCTCTTAGAAAACTCCATTCGCGTCTCTAGAGTTGGGCAATTTTGTTTGACAGACAACCCTCATGGGATGCCAGTGCCGCCAGGCAGGCAGGCCAGCAGCTGCCACAGCCCCAGCCACTGCCACTGCAACTGCACCTCAAAAAAAAAAAGTGTGGAATATTTCTGGGATGGATTCTAGCCCCCTGGCATCTTGGCATCTTGACATCTTTTATGGTTATGTCTTGATTGTTCATATCGTGCATATGGTGTACACTTTTTGTGGATTGAACACTCACCGTCTTCATTCTCGATTCGTGATGCAACAACGCGAACGGATCGGATCCACAAATCGCTCAGGCACTTGCGTCAGCACCTAAAAAAAATATATATATATTTCTTAACGTTTACAACGGCTCCATCAGCGTATAATGTTCTATATAGAAGTGTCTGACTGTTCACTCTGTTTATGGCCAACGGCTACCCACTTGTAAGCAAAATCACACACAAACACGTATAGGGCGTATAGGCTGCAGAAAACGCTAAGAAAACGCGCGCGTTTCGCTAGCGACTCGAACGACAACGATGCGAACTCGAGCAAATTTGAAGTTCAAATAACAAAAGCTGCGCCGACGCACACAGTATTTATAAGAGCAACCTCTGCGCCTGCGCCGACGCAGAAGACGACCGTCGACCGACGACAACGACACCAAGACGCCTGCCGACGCTCGGCTCGACGTCCGACGTCCGACGTCTACGCATGCGCAGTGCAGCAGCAGCGGCAGCAGTCGGAGCGCGCGCCGAGAGCCCAGCCCGCCCGGGGGCTGTGTGTGCAGAGACCACCTGTAGATGGAACTAGAGTTCGGGATCTGTTTCGTGTCTGTTAGCACTTAGCCGGGCCCTAGGCGGCTAATCGATATTAAAACTACTCCGCCTCCTAACGTAATTGCTGCGTTGGCGTTTGGCCCAAGAGCTGAGCAAACTTTGTGTTTTATGATCTGCAGAAGCAGCTCCAAATTGCCATAATTATGTGCCAAAATTAGCACTGGAAATGACCTTGAGGCAGTTACATAGCATACGCTGGAATATATATATATATAGAGTGGTGTGCTGTGGAGTTTTTCTGGGGTAATGGAGACCTGAAACCCTTGGAAAAAAGGGAATACTATATATATTTAATATAACTACATATATGTATGCCCCTTGATTCAAGCAAGATACCCTTAGCATTGATTTGTTTTGCAGTTTTGGCTACTGTTTGAAGTGAGTTTTTGAGACGACCCTGATATCGAACGAATATCGAACGAAGAGTGCAAAAAGAACACCCAAATCAAAGCTTGAAGCGATTTCGTTTTCGATTTCATTTAGGTTGCTCGAATGACCTTCCGCTGCCGCTCGATTGGTGGCGGCTGGGGTGGGGTGGGGTGGGGTGTCAGGGGAAAAGAACAATCGCAGCTGAGGCTGGGCCACAAAGTGTGAAAAGCGTTTCATCAATCAACTGGCACTGCACCCTTTCATGATTTTTTATAGAGTGCAGGAGGAGGGGGTAAACCTTGTTCGTGCCGCTTTTAATGGCTAATTAATGTTGGAACTCCACAAACTTATCCTTTGGGCTGACAAATTAGGCAATCGATCAACTAACAGTTTCCATTAAAGTGAACTCTATAAAACAGACCCTGCAAGCAAACGTGAAACAAAGGCAAAAGGCAAATTCAACAAAAAAAGATGCGGGTCGGGTCTGTTGTGTGGGGTTTGGGGTCCGGGGTCGGTGTTCGCTGCTCGTCAACAAATAGAAATTCAATTATGAATAATAATCATAAATCGAACAAAAACCGGAAGATACTGCTCGTACAAGATGCGGTGTTGTACATCCATTTGGTGTGCTGTTTGATTCGCGTCAAGTATTTCAACTTTCAAAAACTATGTTTGCCGCCACAGCAACAATCATAATGAAATGCCATTAACAACTCGAACAAAAATCGTTATTGCCAGCCGATAATTAAAAGCTGGGCAGCAGATCAACAGATCAACAGATCAGAGATGATCCGAGCTCCGAGTTTCCGCTGGAGTTCTGTTTCATAGAGAACTGGAAATTCTGTTGGCCTAAGCGGGGCTTAGCACTGAAATCTAATAATAACACACACACGAATGTGGGGGGGTGGAAAACACTTGAGAACGTTAAGCTTATGATTGCACAATTTTGAGTTGTGCCTCGCGTTTGGGGGGCTAGTCCGCACCGATTTGCATGGGCAGGGCATGGCATGGCATCGTGCAACTAGGATGTGCTGAGGCCTAGAACCTGGCTGGAATATATGTGCACACCACTTGATCCATAAATAATATAGTTCGGGTGAAGTTTTTATGCATTTCTCGCCCATGGCATACAAATGATTCGTCAGCGACAACGACAACGACAACGACAACCGCAAGGTAAACACTCATAATACCAGCAGCAGCCACAGCAACAACAGAAATCAGCAGGTGATTCAGCCCTCAATGGTTTTCACCGAAAACAGCAAAAATCCAACAGCCAACAGCAGTTCATTAAACCTCAGAGCGAGCGCCTTAGCACTTGTGTAAATCGAACTGATACAAAATATTCGCAAATAAATAAATAATTAAATATGAAAAATGAAAGCAACCGAGATTTGACACATGCCGCAACTTTGTTATACTCTTAAATGGGGGGCAGAGATAGTCAAATAATTGGTAGCCGCCAAGCGAGAGATATATTTTGGCCAGAAAAAATATTCATAATAAGTAAGATTTTTTTAAATATGTATATATAAAGAATAAATAAAAGAACGAAACTTAAAAAATTAAATTAAAATATTTATATTAAAATTTGTAATAAAAGAAATAAATTACGATTTATGTATGTACAAAATATATATGTAAATTAACATAATAATTGTTTAAAGCACTAGTCCTTAAATACATATATGTAAATCTTTTGGCACTAGGTTAGAAATAAACACTTCTCTCTTGTGATTTTTTTTTTTTGTTTGTTCATAAAATCTGCAACAAAATCAAAGTACTCTCTCTCTCCGTCGGAGAGTGAAAAGCTCCCTCCCACAAAAGGCAGCATTCATCAATATCTAATTGCGTTCTGTGACAATGGGATCCCAACGATGTAATGAATTTAACTGACTAATTTATAACAACTTTCGGAGCGATTAGCTGTGAAGGGAGATCGAGCACGGAGAGATGGATCGGGGCGTTGGTTGATTTTCATTAAACACACATTTTTTTCGGTCATAAAGCCAGGCCGCTCGCCGAACAACGGGGCGGCACACCGCAGCAGTGAAACCGGCGACCATAACAAGTTCAAGTTAATTACAACCTACACACAGAGTCCGCGTCCGAGTCCGAGTCCGACTCTGGCTCTGACTCTGAAACATCTGAAAAGATTTTTTGCACTCGAGCCTCAAGGTCGCTGCGGCATCGCTGCTCTGAGAACAGGAATCAGCAGCTTAATGGCCAACACATGGCAACTGTGTCTGGACCCTGATCCTGTTACAAAAGGAGGAAGTGAACGAGAACTGGTTCTGCCACCGATCGAATCGAGAATGCGTGACCTTAGGGGCACAGGCACAGGATTTATGCCTTTCTAAAACGGAGTTTCCACTTCGCTTGCTCTTGCTCTACACGAAAACCTGGCCATAATTCATGGCTAGAACCGAGATGAGATGAGAGCTTCCTGTCAGCACTTCTGGCTGCAACTAATGGAAATTTATCTGACTTGGATTTGGGGTCTATTGTGCGGTCCGGCTTCCTAGTTCCCAGTACTGGAGCGGAGCGGCTGCTAAGCGCTTTAATTAAAGCCTAAACTAGCATAGCAAATCGAAATCGAAATGGAAACAATTGCCATAAATATTTGTGGGATCTTATAGGAGTTCCTTCTCGCAGCATGAGTTCATAAATCACTTTCAGCTTTTTCGAACGCACCCACAATGGATACAGATACGGATACGGATACCTTGCTCGGATAGATACACGTACTCGTACATGGATAGGTGGATGTACAAGCCGAAACGTCATGGCATTCTTTTGGCGCAAATGTTGCGGAAGTTAACAGCTAATTAAAGAGCTTGACTCTCCGACTTGGCTGGAAATTAAATAACGAGCAGAGCAGTCTCCAAAAACTCTAAAAAGAAACCAAGATACATATATGTATTCTTTTTTATTTGGGCACGTTTCTGGTCGGATGCATTTGGAGCAGAGTGGAGTTCTCCGAGTGCCCACAATTGATTGCCCTTGCCGCTCTCCGTGGCTGCCAAGTCGAGCATGCCACACACACACATTAAGGCACAGCCAAGAGCAACAGCTCCCTGTGGCGGGGCTCTATTCACCTACATGAAGATCAGATTGTGCAAGGTCAAAGCCAAAAAGATTTAATGCCTTTGGTATGCAAAATGCCTCACCATTACAATCGGACCAAAGCTTGCCTCAACCACAAAAGCCGCAGAACCAGCAACCCGCAGCAGCAGCTGCCACAAAAGCGAGAGAAGAGAGATAACTGAAAACGAGTTTTGCTGCCAGTTCAATGGCCAATTTTGAGGGTCAGCTGCCAGGATCGGGGATTGGGGTTCAAGTGCGTCCAAGCCGCAGCGTCCTTGGTGGCAAGCAAGGAGCCAGCCCCACCCTAGGGCAGAGAGAGATTCCGGGACTGTGAGCCTCGATTGTTGCTCGACCGCATACGTGACTGACATGATAATTCCAGCGAAAGACGAAAGACTAAAGACTTAAGACACGAACCTGTCGCAGCAGGAACTTCTCAGCACCGCTTAAGCCAGCAGCTTGCGACACCTTTAAGCCCTGTCTGTCTCTGTCTGTGTCTGTGTCTGGGTCTGGGTCTGTTATTGCCCCTGGCATATAGATTGATAATTTACGACGATTTAAATTATTCCCCGCATCTGAGGGAGTGCTGAGTGCGTTTTGAATGCAATTGCCACACTCACTCACTAATGATGATCGTCTTAGCATCTAATTGAGATATAAAGCGACCCACGCATGGCTGAACAAATAAATCGAAATTACTCGATCAGTTTTCAGTTTTGTATAATTAAAGAAAATGTTATCAAGTGCACGATGGCCCATGGATTCAATTTCTGCTCTGCTTATACGTATTCATGAAATTCATCCAAATATATATTTACTGGCCTCACTGTTCAGCGCTTCTGACATTTCGTGCACTTGAACTCGAGTATCCACTGCCTCTAAAATTGAATGAAAGACAACCAACCAAAAAATACTCGTACAATAAATATCTCAACATAATCAGCGGCAGGCCGCAGCCACAACAAAGAAGAAAAAAATACTATTGAAAAGTGAATTTCAGGTGAAGTTTATAATAATTTTTTCACGAATTTAAAAGCCAATCTGCAGAGAGAGAGAGACAATGAAAGATTTATCAATCATTCGGTTAATTCATCCACTGCTGACGAAAGCGAAATGATCTAGAAATCCAGCAATTTATGGGTCGTCTGTGAGAAAGTGCAATGAATGTCGGGACGGGACCGGAATCGGCGACACATTCGGGCTTAATTTATTTGCCAAAATAAACCGAAACAGAAGTCGCCCAAAACTCTAATTAAAACGAGTTTTCGTGTCTATTTGGCTAACGATTTAATTAATTTTCGACCTCAAGTGACTCACCCCACACCGACGGGGGGAGACAGAGGAGGCAGGCCAGTGAGATGGCTAAATCACAAAAATTGATGAATAAATAATAATCTCTTGGAGGCAATATTTTGAGCTCGGTCACGCTTCGGATCACCACAATGAAATGCTAAACGATAATTTAATAGCCAATTTAATGCCATTATTGTCCACACAAAAATATCATATCTCTGGCCATCGGCAGAAGATCGGCGGACAGAAAGCGATGGCTAGCAATGAATGGGGCCAAAAACGTTCTTGATTTTGACATTTATAAGCCAAAGAGAGAAGAACTCAATCGATGAAGAGGTCAATTCTCGGCTACTGGCTTAACCTTACACTTAAATTTATGCAGAAATCGTCTGTGAATTCAAACGATTATTGTCGCACCTTAGCCCCCTCCGACAGCCGTTAATCTTTGATGTCCATTGTCCATCACTTCCGTGACCTTTCCGAGGCGATGAGCAGCTGAAGCTGACTTCCAATATCCGATTGTTGCCTGTCAAAATCCGATCAAGACAAATTGTTTTCGACGCCTGGCAGCAAGTCTCTCGGTGTGTGTCTTAGACAATTGAGACAATTGGCTTACACAATGGAAGTCTGCTGAGAGATCCGCTCGGAGGCCCCCGGACCATTCCTCATAAATTACGCATACGCAGCGTGGAGCCACAGAAGTCACTGAAACCACCGACATTTGCCTGCTGTAATTCGCTGCCGTTTATGGCCAGACTTTAACCAAATTCTTAGCAATTTGAACAGTTAATGTGGATGCTGAAAATAAAACCTTAATTAGATTAACCGAACGATATAAAACTAATGTTTGGATGGTAACAATTTGAATTGCAAATTACTCTCTGGGCTTTTATGCGATCGAATGCCATACTCCCGGCATTTGTTAACGATGAGGCATAAAATAACGAAATAACGAACCAAAAAGTAGAAACCATCAACGGTCGTCGGATTGGGTTCTCGATTTGGCAGGCATTCATTGCGTACAATGTATAACTTTTATTTTTGTAACAAAACTGATTTCTTATAATAAATAAAATGCACTCATTTAACAAAAAAAAAAAAAAAAATATCTACATAATATTTTGTATGTGTTTTATTTGTTATTTTTTTTTTTGTGATTTTGTTGCTTAATTGAAGCAATTATCCTTGCAATTAATCGGGCTGGCTTTGCGGTCAAGAACGCATCTGAGTGGCTATTGAGGCTAGTGCTATCTCTTTCTATGCATGTATCTCTATATCTCTCTCTCTCTCTGGCTATTGAAGCTAGTGCCTGGTGGATGGTGTCTATGCAGTGCTGCTATATCTCTATTGAGGCTTGAACATAACTCCTCCACTCGGTTAGTAGTAGTGTCCGTAGTGGCCATGATGATGATGCAGTCCATAGTAGCCGCCGTAGTAGGGATAGCCTGCGGATGGGGAGAACACACGTAAAGAGTGTAGTCGTGATGCTCTCTGCCTGTAGTCACTTACCCAACCCACCGCCGTACCCACCTAGTCCGTAGTAGCCACCGCTGTAGTGGGGCCAGTAGCCACCGCCGTAGTATCCCCCGAGATAGGGCGACGAGTAGTAGCCGTAGCCGAACGAGGAGGCTCCCTCCAGGTCCTTCTCCTCGGCTTCGACAGCAGCGGCTCCGGCCTCCAGGTCTCCGCCCTGGTCGCGCTCCTCCTGGGGCCGTGGCAGGGCCTCCGTGCCGCCCAGGAACAGGGCAATGAGGGCAAAGGCAAGCAGCAGGCAAACGGATCTCAGCTGGAACATCTTGATGGGTGGTGGGGTTTTTGTCTGGTGTTTTCTTTGTCGGATTTGGTGGAAATGCCACTTGGGGCGCTTACAGCAACTGAATGACTGACGCTGGGAGCTTACAACGGGCTTTTATAATGGCCAAAAAACGCGATTCTTGCAACGCGGCGGCTGCCATCAATGCGCAGCGACAAAACAATTGTCTGAACGCAAAAACGGTTCCCCCCTCCCCGTCCCTACCCCTCCGATTTTGGGCGACTCCAGCTGCGTGTGCTTCTAACAATGCACCACCCACCCCCACCTGCCGCAGCGTATGCCCGCGCCATCCGAGTATCAATGAAGCGGGGAGCACCCAGAGGGAGGCGGCTTCTATTTCTTGCATGACCGACTACTAATTACAATGCTTTGGGCCAACTTATGTTTGCTTGTTTTTCTTACTCTCCCCCGCCACCCTCTTGGCCGGCCAGCCAGCCCCCCCCTCCCTCACTCCCTCCCTGTGCTCAGTGGGGTCAATGTCGCAATGGGGCAGAGCATAACCTTCTTTTCTTTCGGCTTAAAGTTCCCCCAAATCGAAGGGAGGGAACGAGCGAACATTTGCTTACATAATGTCGAGCGGAGTGATTTCTTTCCAATCTAATTTATCTGTTCGCCCCGCCAACACACAGCAATAATAATCATAAAAAATACATCAAACGATACAAAAAACAAACGAACGCTCTCTATAAATTAAGCATCTTCTGTCAAAGTGGCTGGACAACATTCTAAAACCATAAAAAAAAGCACAAGCCCCAAAAAAAATGTCTAGCCAAAAACGAAGGTGGAAATGAAAATTTAAACCCAAGAACTGCCAGCAACCCAAATACTGAGAGCGAGCAACCCATAGATTCCCATAAAATGAGGCACGTACTTAAATGGAGAGACTCGTACGAGTATCTGCCTGAACCAATTTCCAGCAGAGATCCATTTCTAGTGGAGCTTGTGCAAGAAAGGTCAGGCGGGATTACCATATGACGCCCTTCCCCTTCCCCTTTGTCGCGTCGCACTTCCTTCCTCAATTGGGGTACATATGCATGTATTTTTGTGGTAATTCTCGACGACTTGGGGGCCAAAAGTACACCCAGAGAAATAAGACTATACTTAGATTTAAATATTAATAAAAAGAAGTGGGCTTTTGAAAGGTGAGTCCTTTCAACAATTTGAAATATTTGATTTAAATGTTTTCCATTTTTAAATATTTTAAATAAATATTGTTTTATATATTTAAGTTAAATACTTGTCATAGTTAAATTAAATATATATCATGTTTTAATTAAATATATTTCATATTTAAAATAAATATTTTCCCATTTAAATGAAATATATTTCATACTTAAATTAAATATTTGTCATATTTAAATTAAATATTTGTCATATTTAAATGAAATATATTTCATATTTCACTTAAAAAGTTGTATGTTTTGATTATATATATATTTCCTATACATTGAATATATTTCGTTCAAAAATACTACCTAGTACAAGTGAACTCTATTTGATTTTAATATTTTTATATTTAAAACCCGAATATTTGTTTTAAAAATGGGTGTTTCTTTTTACCATGTCATTTTTCTCCGAGTGTTTGTATGGCTCTTCCCCTTCCTCAATTATCGGGTACATGTGTATATGTATACATATATTTCTCTTGGTGGCCGAAAATACGTAGAGTTTTTCTCACACAGGTTTGCATGTTAGGCGGGGTCAGGGTTTCAGACAATGCGTTTCGCACGTTGGCGGGTCTTAAGCGGGGTGGCCCCAGCGGGGCTGGCTAATTGCCAGTTTGGGCCTTATCTAAATTGCCGCATTAGCCAAGAACTTGTGACTGCCGGCTGGGCCCTCAATGTAATTAGTTGAATTAAATGCTTGGCTGGCCAGCAAGAATCCCATAGCCCAGAGATCCCAGCGAACCCAGCAATCCCAGAGATCGTGGCATTGAAAGAGCTGCGGTGCCAAAGGTCTGGGGAAAGGTTCTCTCTTTATTTCATCTAACTTACAAATAGATAAATAAATTACATACAAAAAAAATGGGGAAACAGGGATTATATTACTCCAGATCCAGGGTGGACACACTGCCATCGGCCTTGGGCATGTCGGGAAAGCGGTGGAAGAGCGTCGATGAGGGCTTCGTTTCGCTGTCCAGCCGCGTCTCATAGATCTTACCCTCCTGGTTGATCAAATACCAGCTGGGCGTGGGCGTGGCCCACTCCAGCTCCTCTCGATTCAGACCCGTTATGGGCGCCACTGTGGGCAGTCTCTTGGACAGCTCGTCCAGGTCCTTGAGGTACACATCCAAAGCGCGATAGTCCGTGTTGTTCTGCACTTCGTGGGGGGCGATGAACTGGGGCGGTGCTGCCCCAAGGAGATCTTGCTCCTGCCACAGATGACGTATATTTGTCATAATATCCGCATAAAGTATGGAATCATCGCTTCGGGCCACCGATCCACCATCATTGCGGTTGTTATTTGGTGATTTACGTGAATTTCGCAGGCGACTGGCCAACGGAGTTGCGGAAGTCGTTGAAGTGGCAGTGCCACTCAATGCTGCTGCTGCCACTGCCGCTGCTGCTACTGATTTGCCTGTAGTTTTTGTAGTGGGTATTACTTGTGTTGTTGTTGTTGTTGGTGGTTGCGCTGTTGTTGTTGTTGTTGTCGTTGTTGATGTTGCCTCATTGCGGAAGTTGCGACGCCTCTCCCTCAGTCTCTCCCTCTGCCTTTCCACTGCTTTGGGTGGCTTGAACAGCCTTTGGCGACGTCGTCGACTGTCGCAGCTAGTTGTGGCATTACCGTTGCACGCCGGTGACTTCTTCACCTCATTGGGCGCCTCCGGCTCCGGCTTCGCCTGCCCCTCGTCGTCGGGCAGGTACAGCGTGGCATTCCTCAGCAGATCCCCAATGTGCGCCACCAACTTCAGACCCTGCTGCACACCGTAGGCGCCGTCGGCCTTGCTCCTTGTGTTGGTCTCCCGCTTCATGCGCTTCTGCCGCTTGTGCTCCTGCTGGTTCCGACTGAGTACCGCTCGCAGGCGCTGCTGCTGGCCCCGCTGGTAGAGCTGCTGCTCCAGGGATTTCTGGGCGATCAGAGTGTGCGACTGCCGCTGGATGTGGCGCTGTCGGACCAGCGGCAGCTTCTGTCGCTGGCGATGCAGCAAACGTTCGGTCTTCCTCACTGAGGCCAGTATCTCCATGGGAAGTTGTAGGTTATTGCTGTTGCTGTTGCCGGCCAGGGGCATGTTCTGGGTCTCCTGGGTGAGGAGGTCGCCTGGGCGCGGCTGGAGCTGTGGCTGGGGCTGGGGAGGCGTTCGATTGGTGCTAAGTTTGCGTGGCTGCTCCCAGACGACAGCGGGACCCAGGGGCTGCCGCTGGCGGAGACGCTTCAACTGCTGGAAGTGCTGCGGCGGCTCAATGATCCTGATCACATCTCCCGCATCGTCATCCACATAGCCTGGATGTCGGACGATGTCCTGCAGGTGCGAGGGTACCCGCTTCTCCGGCTGCTTGGGCTCTGGCTTGGACACACGATACACGGGTGGACTCGAGGTGTTGTTGCTGGGGACGAGTACTTCCCTGAGCACGGGGATGGTCTCCACCTTAATGCCATGACTGAGCTCTAGAGCCAACAGCAGCAACAGTATTTTCCCCATGGAGCCTGACCTTGTCACTAACCAGCTAGTGACCACTTGTTGCTTGCCACTTTTACTCTCACTCATTCAAGGCCAAAGCGAAGCGCGATTTTTACCACTGGCAAACTTTTCACTTTTCCCGAACGGCGGCTGCTCCACAACTGTGCAGAAATTGTGCTATCATTGGGCCTTTATAAAATTTCCTCCTCGGCGTTTTTCCAATTTTCCAGTTTGATTGGTCCGAAGCCTTTCTTCTCGTTTCTCCTACTCTCCCCCAGCAGAGGCAGTGGCAGTGGCAGCGGCAGTGGCCGAGGCCAGGCAGCAGGCGGCAGCATGACGAGATGTCTTTGAAGTCGTCATCGTCATCGCCATCGTCTTCGTCATCGCTCGGCTCGGCTGCTGCAAATGAAAGCGAAACTGGCAACACGGCCGAAGTGACGTTGAAACCCGCAACACACAATCGCGAGTTGCAAGTTGCAAGTTGCAACGTTCAATGTTATAACTGGTCAAAGTCGAAGTCACAATCGAATCGAAGTCTGGAGCCTGGAGCCAGTTCGTTTCGCTTTAGAAACCCACTTTGCATATGCGCACCGCACCACTCTCGGCGGTGGTTCGGTTTGGCACATTTCAGCCACCAGGTCTGCCGCCCTCCCTGCCTCCCCAACCTCCCCGTCCTCCCCCCTTCCGGTTGTCTTTCTGGGGTTTGCAACTTTCTGACTCCACACGCTATGCGACACACACAAACTAGTTTCGTATCGCATCTGCAAGTGATTTTATTTTCTCGGAGCTCGTATCTCATTAGCGGTCGCCGCTTGACCCTCAACTTGAACTTCGCCAGAGCCCCATAAATAGACAAGTATTTGTGTCAGCCTAGGCGAACGGCGAAACCGAATGAAATAAATCGCCATTTGGTACACATTTATTAGGGTTAATATCATATACGTAGTTCGCAGAGAAAATGAAATATATCATCTTGGAGAAGACTTAAACGTTAGAGATGATAAAACATGAATATCTGTGGCAAAAAGAGCTGAGAAAGGTTGCTTAAAAAACAGTCTGGGTTCATGAAATTGTTTTGCTAGGACTTTCCTCTATTGGTCAACTTATCTGATAGATAATTGAACATTTGAAAAATTTCAAATCCTATGAAATTAAACTTAAGCCTATGCTACGCTCAGACTTTTACGTGTCGAAGGTTTGGAGACCCCCTAGCCTAGCTCCCTTACCTATTATTATTTATGACTAATATTTGTGTGCTTAAGTGATTTTGGACCAAAATTAGTTTGTAATCCTCATTTTTAGAATTTGAAATATACCACTAACATAAAAAAACCCGATCTGGTGAGTTGTCTACTTTCATAAATTTTCCTCGGCTTTTGCAAAGCCAACACACAAAGCAATTAATAGATTGATTAGATAATATTCTAATCTTTTAATGTGATTTGTTATTCGTGTCGATGCAATGGCTATACCAGAAGAAAAATAGAGACAAACTTGAAGTTTTCCACCATTTTTAATGATTCTTCAAGTTTTGGCTTTTTTAAATTTATTTTTTTGTATTTTATGGTCCTATTTTTAGACTTCAGTTCTTCAGTGAAATTATTTTCCAAGAAAATAAGTTACTAATCATTAAAATTGTTGAAATATTGAGAAAGTTACAAGTTTTTTACTAAATCAATCCTATTTCATAATACTTTAGGGAATGCTCGTTTTGAGATTTTGGAAAAAAAAATCACCTTTAATTTGATTTTAATCTCCAATTTAAATTATTATTAATTTTGAATTTAGTTCTTGCTTTTTCCAAGTCTTTTATTTTCCGAAAGAGTTCCATAGCAGCTAGCCTTTAAGCGCAAGCTCCAAATCGTTAGTTCAAAAAGCAACCGCTACTAACTGCTAGGGGCGCCACCGCATAAAAGGGGAGGAGAACAGCGGAATCGAACGATTAACTGCGAATCGCAGACAGAATGGGTATTCAAAGAATTTAATCTATTTAAAAGGTATATACATTTCTTCCGTTACTCTTTCCACATCCCACACAAACACAAAAAAACATTCCCAAAAATTCAATAAATTATATTTTATTGCTAAAACTCTTGCGACGATCCCCGAAAATAGGTCTTTCTTCCTCTTTTTTTCACTACACACTACAAAATAAATAAATAAATAGATAAACATAGATGGTTAAACATTAGAAGGGGGGGTGGCATGGGGGGAGTGGAGATTAGACAACTACTTGATTATGCTCTTCCTGGAGCCTAGGAGAAGGGCAAGAGAGCGGCAGACGAGCACACGGTTCGGCGCTGTTAATACGTTAGAGGAGGGGTAGTGGGATTTCGAGTTGGAGGCAGGGGCGGAATCATGCGACTTATGTATACTAGGGCGCCACAACCATGGGCTGCCAGGCATTGTCATTGGCAAAGCCCTGCCGGCCGCCACCCAAACCAGCACCAGCACCACCGAGACCACCCACCACGCCACCAGCGCCACCAGCGCCACCAGCACCACCAGCACCAAAGCCCATGCGACGCTCATGGGAGGTTGTGGGAATCGGAATGGGATGCTGAAAGACTCCAGTGGCCATGCCAGTGCCAGTGCCTGTGCCCATGCCGATGCCGATGCCCATGCCCGCAGCTGGACGGACACGCTGCTCCATCAGACGTGACTCCTCCATATCGTAGTCTCCTAGTCCTAATCCTAATCCTCCGGGAGTCACTGCCAATGTCTGCTCTGCCCTCCTGCTGCTCTTCTCGAAGAAGTCTATGATGGGATGGTAGTTGTAGTTGATGCGCTTGGTGCCGTTACTTGGCCCAGCCGAGGCACCATCGACGCTGCTGCTACTCCCGCCGCTGCTCGTGTAAATGGAGTTCACATGGTAGACGGAGGCCGGCGGCTGTGGTAGTGGCGTCGACTGATGTTGCTGCTGGTGGCCCTGCTGTTGCCGTTGCTGTTGCTGTTGCTGTTGCTGCTGCTGTGTGGTGCGCTCGGTCGGAAGAGGCGACGCTGGCTGGCTGGCTGCCACTGAGATTGGGATTGGTGCGACTGCCAGGGGCGTGGTCGCTGGGGGTGCATAGAAGCGGGGTCGCGACTTCCCACCACTGCCACCGCCCCCGCCCCCACCGAGGTGGTGGTTACGCTGGTTGAAGGCAGGCTGAGATGTCGCAGCTGTTGAGGATGCAGCAGGGAATGCTGCGGCGGCTGCGGCGGCTGCTTGATGGGCATGGGTGGCATGATGGGCACTGGAGCCACTGGAATGGGAGCCGATGATGGCAGCGGTTCCTGTTCGGGCTGGTAGGCTTGTGGTCTGTGGTAAGCGAAGCCGGACTCCTCCAGCGGACGATGCAGATGATGCAGATGATGATGCTGCTGCTGAAGTTGCGGCGGTTGCGGCGGCTGCTGTGTTGGGGTGGGTGGAGGTATAAATACGCTTGCGATTGATGGGCAGACGCTGGATGGGCTTCTCCCCAGCACTGAGCACTGGGCCAGCAAATGGGTTTACGTTTACCTCTTGGTCGGTGTGCATCTCACTTGGCGCCAAATCCAAGTCCACTCGCGCCTCATTCTGCTGCTGCTGCTGCTGCTGCTGATGCTGATGCGGCCGGCGTCGGCTCACCTGGCTGTAATATTTCTTCGAGCTAGCACCGGCTCCACCCTTGTGGTTGTGGTGGCTACTCTTGTAGCCACTGCCAATGCCACCGTACCGTTGATCCTCCTCGACATCGTCATCGGGCGGACTCAGATACGGGCCCACGCTGGTCGAGGCGCGCATCTTCTTGCTGCCGGCATACAGTTCGTTGGTGTCGCGCCCGTTGAAGGTCGGATAGCGCAGGCCCAGACCCAGCTCATCCTCCTCGCTGTCGTCGGCATAGTCCAGGTCCTCCTCATTGATGGTGCTGTAGCCATTCGAGCCGACACTCTCCGGCTTAAAGTTGGCCAGCGGCGAGTAGTCCTTGGCCTGGATGGAGGACAGCGGCGGGAACTGCTGACGATAGCCATCCACCTGGCAGGAGCAGCAGGTGGGCACCTTGAAGATGTCCACATGCAGGCCCCGCACCTTGTCCCAGCTGAGCAGGCGATGGTAGTTGTAGACCTGCGAACAGTGCGAGCGGTATGTCTGCGCCAAGTACGAGCAGCTCTCCCCAGGATTGCTGCAGGGAGAAGAGTGTTGAGATGGGAGTCTCCACTGATACATACACAGTTCCTTCCAGCTTACCTGCACTTCTCCAGTCTCAGTGTTTGGGTGTGCTGGCCCGTGTTCACGATGTACTTCCACTCCCCGGAAGCGGACTTGGCCTTCTGCGGTCGGGCATAACGCACCACGCTCAGGCACATGCCGCCGGCACTGTTGCCCTCGTCCTCCCGCCTGTTCGGAGACCAGAAAGAGATTAATACCATTAGAGAGCTCTCGGAGACGCCACTTACCGCTTCTTCGTGAGGCTGAAGTCATCGAAATCCTCGCTAAACTCCAGATTGTTGTTGGGTTTGTCGTAGAACTCGGCCAGAAGAGCGGACATGGCGTTCTTGTGCCGCCGTATGCTGCCCATGATCTGTTCGCTGTTGGAATTTTTGGTTTTTTATAAGAATTTATCTGCAGATACCATCGAACCGACCCGCACCGAACCGTAACCGTAAACGTAAACGTAAGCATAAGTGCATAAGGGATCATATTCAGGCGTGGGGGGAGTTCCATAAATTATTGTTTTTATTTTGTTTTAGACTAAAATATTCACTAAACTAAAGACTAAGAGTAGGACCTTGACCAGGATCGGCACCGAGCACCAACTAGCTACAGGGATCGGATCTTACAGCGGATAGTCATCGGTGCGGATGCACATGTTGCTGGTGAAGCGTTCGCATTTCCGTTGCGCCACCGCCGGCGGCACCACCAGTGGCTTGTGGGAGCTGGCCGAGGTCTTGGGCCTGCCCCGAGACCCGCTCTGTACCCTCTTTCGTTTGACGGGCGCCGCCGACTTCTGGCCAGGATGTGGCCGCTTGCCCAGACGGTACCGCGGACCGGCAATCAGTTCTTCTGGATTCGGCAGTGGCTCCTCCGGCAACGGCTCCTCGGCACTGTTTCGCTGCAGATCCAAGCGCTCGTCGGCGTTCAGGGGAATCACGTCCGTGCCATTGAGACCGGCAAACGCGAGATCCTCGATCTCCACGTAGGACTGATTATTGGCGCCGCTGCTGGGCTGCTGAAAGGAGGTCGTGTTCAGGCGGATGGTGCGTCCTGCTATGCCCCCCAGGAGCTGTTGCTCTGTCACCGAAATGGGCACGGAGCGGGTCAGTTTGTGGACAAACTCATTGGCCGATCGTCGCACCCTGCTCCTTGCATCCTTGCTCGAGGAGTTCCTCTTCATGTCCGCCGACTGCAGGGCCTCATTGATCATCTGCGGATCGAGCACATCGGATTGCATCTCTTCGAAGAAGTCCTCCAAAGAGGCGGCATCCTCTGTGGGTGCGGCACTGACATCGATGGTGCCCACATGATCATCCTGCTCGGACTCCTCCACCGTCAGCTGATCCTGCCTGCGCTTCAGCGGGGACTCCTCCACAGTCAGCTGATCCTGCTTGCGCTTCACTGGAGCCGTATGAAGGAGTGCTGCCGAAGCCAGGTCGGAGCCCAGATTGAGATACTTGCGGGTGGAGCTCTTCACCAGATTGGCCAGATCGTAGACAATGGGCAGAATGAGCTTCTTGTCATTGCCAAACATCATGCGGACCTTCAAAGATAAACGAAAGCAGAGATGGTAGAGGGGGACTTTCATGGGGAATGGGGAAGCGGTTTACCAACCTGTTCTAATCTCAGATCGTGTCCCTGTTTGGCATTCATCTGGGCCGAGATGAGAGCCGAGAGAGCCAATCGCTGCTGGGAGGAGAGCACCCGGAGAATGGGCATCACCTCGACGAACTTCTGGCGCAGACCCTCGTCGGTGAGGGCTTTCGACAGGGCATTCCGCAGCACCTTTTCGCGCCAGTCGAACTGTGGGATCTGCCTCTCTGGCTCCGGCTCGTCCAGATCCACACTGAAGTCCAGCATATTCGACTCTAGCTTCTGTTCGGCCTGCTGCTCCTCCAAGTCGTCCAGCTGCCAGTCGTCCGTGATGGAGGGGTCCTTGGCATCCGCAAAGTCAAAGTCCAGCAGCTCGTCATCGCTGTGGACGAGGTCCAGGTAGAGCACACAATAGAGCAGGGCCCAGAAGAGGCAGCCAAAGGCGCGGCCAGCTTTCATTTTTATTTATTTATGTTTTTTTTTCGTGCCTCTGTGGCTCTGCGGCTTTTGTTTCACTCGAATGCCAAACTGAAAAGCAAACGAAAGTTAATGCCGGGGCGGCGGTCAGTTGCTGTTATTAAGGCACATTTAATTTCCCAAAAACAAAAACAACAACAACAACAAATGACAGTTGGTTAATTGTTTATTTATGAACGCCCAGCTCCAACGCCACTCACACGCTTTCAAAATCCACCTCAAGTTATTCTTAGAGTTTTGTGCTTTTGTGTTTTTGTTTTGTTAGAAATGTTGGCTTTTTGTTGTTGCTGGTTTGGCTTTCCTTTGAAAGTAAAAGTCATTAACATGAGCATAAAAGACTATTATAGATGGAGGGGGAGGGGGAGGGGAGGACAAGCCATCATCGTCTTGGCCTGGCTATTACAGCAGCCTGACTCTCTGACTCTCTGACTCTTTAGCTATGGCCATGGCTTTTAGGTAATCGCACACACTCAGTCATCATCATCTCATCGCTCACTTCGAGACACATTTGCTGACTGCCCAACAAGGCGTGAAGCACCTGGAACCACCTCTATAACTGTTGCTCCGGTTGTTGCCACTGATGTTTTCAGCCGCGAGAGGGCAGGGGGCGGTTTATGACTCGTCTTTTGCGGTAATAAGCCACGCTAAAAGGTCGTGTGATTGATATGTTGTGTTGAGGGGGGCTTCATCATTTGAATAAAGACATTTCCCTTAACATGTAAGCTTGAGCTTGTGCTTTAGTTTTCTCTTCTTGTCTCAATGCAAATATCTACGATGGAAAGTCTTTCTTCTTTCCATAGGCCATAGCTGACTACTCCCAAGCGGAAAAACGGTCTTCCAGCTCCTGCAGCTGCATCGATGGCTGCTGGATAGATGCTGGAGGTGCTGTGACCTTTTGTGCAGATGAAAAGTGAAAATTCGGCACTGCCAATGCCACTGCCACTGCCACAACCGCAGCAGTTGACAGTTTAGAAAAGGCAGCCAAGGCCAGACCACAGCCAGCATTTGGAAACTTGTGACGGCAGACGTGGGTTAAAAGATTGGCGAGAGATTCGTTTGTTTTTCAGGCTTTGTCTGGGCCCAAGATGCAGGCACCCAAGCACCCAAGCAGCCAGGAGGCAGGCAGTCAAGCCAAACAAATAATTGAATGAAATGATGCGCAAAACTTGTGGCACGAACGTGAGGATGCTGCCGTTTAATTTATTTCGCACACCTGCACAGAGAAGGCCCATCATCGGGCGCTCTGCTAATGGAGGAGGCGCGCGCGAGGAGGCGAGCGAGCGCTTCTGGTTTTCGGTGTACAGCCTTTGCATACGGCCCATGGCTGGGAAAGTGCTGCGATGCGATAAATCAAATTAAGCCAATAAGTCGCCGCTTTGTTCCCATATATGTACGATGTGTACGAACAAATGGCGGCCATTATTTCGCCGTTCCCAGGCATCGCATCCCAGCAATTTGGCGTGGGTGCTTCTTCGCCAAGAAAGTAAGTACAAATTGTAAATGCCAATGGAATGGCAGCTTCAATGGGAATTAGCTAAGAGTGGGAGTTGAAGATGAAGATGCTGCTGCGGCTGCTGCGGCTGTTGGGGCTGGTGCAGCTGCAACTCGTACGTTGCATGCCATTTCTCTTCTGCGAATTCTTTGGGCCACATTAATTAGGCTGTAATTTGCGTGCGTTTGCTCAGACAAACGAAACGGGGCCAGAAAGCAGCCACAGAAAGAGTAAGCCACAACAAAAATTGAAGAAAACGAATTAAAGCGCAGCAAATGGCAGGCAGAAGCAACGCAAGAAAGTCGTCGCACTGACAATCTCCAAGAGAATCCTACACTAAGCAGACTCTAAGCAGAACTAGGTGCTAACCGACTAACCTAGTAAGCGAACCCGCTGAACCACTAACCAGAGACGCGTCGGGCCACCGCCAACCGAACACCGCCAACGAAGCCAATCAAGAATCAATATCTACTGCGATCTGATCTGTCATCACAATCGAAACCGATTTGGCGGGGCCCTAAACGAAAGACTTAAGACACAAACCTCAGCGGCAGGCACACGTACACGCACGCGCACACGCACACAGTCACTCCCATTAATAAACACACACGCACACACCATACGCCTTAAACAGCTCGGTCGGACTGACACAATTTCCTCGGGCGTAAAGAATAAAAAGAATTCAAATTTTTGTGCGTCGCTGGTCGGTCGGTCTGTGGAGTGTTTTTTTTTTTGTATTTTTACCATTTAGAAAGTTGTTTCCATTTCACATATTTGGCTAAAACACACACACACATACGCACAAAAAGAAAATAATAAAAAAAAGAAATAAACGTATTTTAAAATTCGAATTTCGATTTTGTTCCGTTTTCTTCTCTTTTCGATTTTATGATTAATTTATAAAGCAAGAGACTGAGCCTCAAGAAATCACCTCAGATTGGGTCCACTCCTGTTCTGGTCCACTCTCTGCCGCCTCACACTGCTCTGATCGCCTCCGATTCTCCTGCTGCTATTTCCTGTTGCAAGCGCCAGAACCACTGTTTTTACTCCACTTAAAAAAAAATAATTTTCACTTTTCTATGGATTTGCTCTTCCGTTTCGCTGATTTTCGGTTCGAATGCTGCTGATTTTTTTCACACTTTTCACAGGCGCCTTAATTAACAGATTTTCTACTTTGCCACACTTCTTGACGGCTGATGTCTGATGGCTGCTCGGCATTCACCTTCTTCGCTTGGGCTGGTTTACGGCCTGGCCTGCTTCTTCCGCTTGCTATGTCTTAGCGCTTTCAACACTCGCCGCAGACTGATATTGCTGACTGCTGCCTGCTGCCTGCCTCAGCTGCGGCTTTCTGCTGCTGCTGCTGCTGTTGCTGCTTCTGCTGCTGCCTCTTCTGTGCTGCTGCCTCGCTTCTGCTGCTGCTGGCCATGCTGCCAGCTCTGTGAACGTTCTGGACCGGGACAGGGACGTGTTTTGTGCATTGAAAATGTCTTTCGGCTAATTGCTTTTCTTTCTGCAGGTTCGCAGCAGTTCATTGAACCGTTAGCTGGCTTCGATTTGCATTTCTCTGGCATAGGTGCGGGTATTATGCGGAAACTAAACCGATCCATCAGGTAGCCAAATACTCACTCGCCAAGTTCGTGTCTTAAGTCATTTGTTTTATTTTTGGCAAACCATTCGGAGTGGGTCAGGAAGCAAATGGCCGTAAACGGAAGCAGGCAAAAATTTATGTATTTAAACGGCTTTCTATTGGCTTCATTAGCCGTGGCCAAAACATTTTGGCCACTTCACGGAGCAGCCCACTAAACCGTCCGGGGGTCAAGGAAAATTAATTTCACAGCCAACGGCAGGCAGGCAGGCAGGCACTTTCGTTTTCCAAAAGCTCTCGGCCCTCGATGGCAGCTTTGGGCAGGCTGTTAGCGCCTCCGCCTTTTGGTCAGAGGCGCCACAGCTTGCACAGTGGCACAAGCACACACGAAACATTAAAGGAGAATGTGAAAACAAAAGAAAACTGGGCAAACATTTCCTACGGAGATTGTATGCCACTGTCCTTTCTGCCACTGCCACTGCGGCCAGTGCCTCTGCGTCAAGTAATGGCCATTGTCGTTTCGCTGTTGTGCGCTTTATTGTTATTTCTTCATCATTGGTTTAAAGTTATTAACCATCCAGCAGCAACGTGCTGCAGGGCAGGCAGGTTCCAACTGTGGCACTTTCAATTGCCACTTTGTGGAGAGCATTTTCTTCACACTTTCGTTGGTAATCACAGCGCCAAAACGGCTTTGGCTTTGGCTCGGATTTTCATTTCACACGCAATGCGTTCCAGTCTTAAACGCATTTTATCTTAATGTCCATTTGGAGGCATTACCGCATCGTTGGCCGTGTGCTTTATTGCAGCGTCATCAATCAGTCGACTGGGGGGGGGCCGGTCCGCGTCCAAACTGTCGCTTCCAGCTGCACCCAGCCTCCACTTCTCCCCACTCACCGTTTTTGCATACGAGCATAGATCTTTCCGCCATCGGCTCCGACCGCATGCATTTGGCTAATTTGCACATTACATTTTTTATTTTTATTTCCCCTGCGCTGTAGGTGTTCCGGTTGAGGAGTGGACACACTGACCACCGCGGAGTGGTTGACCTCTTGTCCATCCCATTAGATTGGGTAAGCAAAAGAACTTTGACATTGAAAAAGATGTGCTTTGTTTTCCCACCACATTATGCAGTTTAGTATGACACCAGTATTCCAAATATGGACTAATACGGAGGTGTTTATGCGTGAATACACGTTTTAAACTGGAGCCCATAAAAACCCACTCCAGTTTTCCCAGCTCATCAAGGTTTTCTTTTAGATATTCGAATTTGAATGCCTTCGATGTGGATGAGATATGCTAAAGATGCTGAACAAGCCTTTATGCTGAAAAATACTTGAAAAATATACCAAACTATGCATCATTCTATACCTTTGAAGTCCAATACTGAATAGTGCTTACGATGTTTCAAATTTACACCCCAAATGATCATCGCAGTTAGGCATTCAGTTTGTATATTTTCCTACCCAATAAAATAATATCCCCAAAAAGTTAAATTTTGGAATGCTTCTGCCTCTTTAAGCATGTCTTTGCATTGTGAAACTTTAAAAAAACCGCGCACTCCATTGAAATCTTTTGAGTGAACCGAACGAAAACTTGCAGCAGACTTGCCGGATGTATGGAAACAGTAGAAAACTTAACAGACCAATGTTGCCAGATTTTTGTATAAATATAAAACAAACCAACCATACAGTATATATAGATTCAAACCCAAGGTTCGGCTCTGGGAGTTCCCAGTTCGACCAAAGACAATGTAAATAGTAAGAGACGCCCATACGTTTCTGTGGTAGAAGAGCAACGAGCTCTCAGGCCTTTTTGGCATTGCCTGACTGCCGTCGAAATATACCCTTTTCTTTAGTATTATGACACTTTTTGAAGACGCTTGCCCCACACTAACAAAAAAGTGTTATTTAAAATAACTTAT